CATTCAATACAGACAACACACATGTCAGTTACTAGATTTTTGTGATGGGCAAACTAGGGTAGAGGTTAGGCTGCTTGCACAAGTCACCCAGCTAAAAAGTGGCAATGCTAGGATGACAGCTCAGGAGGAGGACTCCCCAGCCCATGCTCTTAACCATTAGTCTACACTCCCTCATCACATACAGTTGTGCTTCTATGACAACTGTTTGGAAATTGCTGATAAATTCTCACAGAATACTAATATCTTCTCTGAAAAAATGAGAATAATAATTTCTAGCCTAAGGTTTGTTGGGACCAGTGAGGTCACAGTATGTGAAGTCTGTCCAGTACATGACATGTCTTCATTTTCTTCCCAGGACATTTATAGTTAAATTATACTTTTCAAGATATTTCTCCACGTGTACAGCTAAGAATTTCTCATGTCCTATACAAAGATCAAAGCTACGAGATTTGACATGACTGTTCACTGTCTCAGGGCTCAGGTGCAATAGTGCCAAGTCAAGAATCTTGGACTCCAGGCCACTGGTTGGAAGTCTTGGGCCAATGACCTCTGAGGGAAAGTGCAAAGGACACAGGAAGATGCCAGGGAGACTGCCTCATTAAATAGGAGAGGAGATGGAGGTTCCAAATGGACCCAGCTTCTCCCTGAGGTTTGTAACCAATGGCCCATGGACTCCTTCCCAAGTGGTCCATGAATCTGATAGGAAAAAACCATTATTTTTCCTTTGATTATGAATGAAAGCAGAAAACCAGTGTGGCATAAGCAGTGCCCAGGACTCTGGCACCAATAGGAACCACAGGTGTTTTCACATCACATTACAGCCAGGCACATACGGTCAATGTCACTCACACGCACTGCCACTTTGAAATCACCAGGCATTGGCCCTGTCCCTAGGTTTTATTTAGTGCTCTAAGTAAAAAGCACATGTATCATTTTATGACAAACGTAGTACTTTAACCCCCAGAATTCCAATAGCATTCAGTTCTTTTGGAACCCTCTGAATCTTCCTTTGTACTTAAAAACATTCCTCTGAGAAAGGGGAGGGCCTTCACCTACTGCCAGGGAGGTTCACAGCACAAAAGGAGACGGGGAGAGTAACGCCCTCCACTGGATCTGGAGGTTTCTGGAAGACACAGACCGCAGCGCTCAGATACTAAACCTGCTCTTTCTACCTGCGGCGGCGGCTCCTCCAGCTGCCTCTCCAAATACTCCAACAGCGCCACGACCTCCTCCCCGCTCTCTGGGCGCTGCTTGCGCACCCAGCGCTGCAGGTCCCCGGGCAGGATGGTCAGGAACTGCTCCAGCACCAGCAGCTCCAGGATCTGCTCCTTGCTGTGCAGGTCGGGCCGCAGCCACTGTCGGCAGAGCTCCCGGAGCCGGCTCAGCGCCTCGCGGGGACCCGCGGCTTCTGGGTACCGAAAGCCTCGAAAGCGCTGGCGGGATCGTTCGGGGCCCGGAGCGGGGCTGCCAGGTGCGCTCGCCGCCGCCGCCGCCGCCACCGCGAACGCTTCCTCCTTTTCTACCTTCACAGTCAGGAGCCCTGTCTGGTCCTCGGCAGACTGGGCGTCCGAGCCTGCGTTTTCTCTCGGATTGTTAGCCATCCTGAGCCCAGAGACTACTAAGGGCCTCACTCTAGCTGCGAGCTGTGTATCTTCAGAGGAGTCCTCAATCGCCGCTAGCCAGGAGAGCTGCAGGTGGCCCCCTGCTGTCATGCCAAGGGTCCAGGACACCCCGGACGCGCAGCGCTGAGCGTGCTTTGGCAGCGTCCTCCTTTGCACCTCACCCTGAACCCCACAATAAATAATTTCAAAGGAAGTCCTCAGGGAGAACAAGAATGTTCTCTAGGAGGAGAAGTTGAGGCTGGGGCGCAGGAAGCCTCGGTGGGAACCAAGGCCACTTCCTGGGCTCTCTAGGAACTTGCTCTCTGTGGTTTCCTCTGAATTAACCCCTTAGCGATCCTGTCCTTACTTCCGCTCCAAGGAAGGGTAGTCAGGGGAAGAAAGGATGACAGGCCCTGGATCCTAAGAAATACGCATGGCTCTTTAAATCCTGGAAGGATTGTCTATGCATCGCTCCCCCACCCCCCCAACACACAACACACACACACACACACACACACACACACACACGCATGCTTTCTGTTGCAAAGCTTGACTAACCCAAAGGCAAACACTGACCCTAAAATTCATCCAGAAAGCAGGATTTCCACAGAGCCCTGAGAACTTCGGCAGGAGGACCATCAGTTTCTCTCCTAAACATCAAACTAGTGGAACCCATCACCAGCCACGTGCTGAGGGAGGGCGGTGACTGCTCCCTTCTCCCTCCTGCATGGGCTGTTTTCATTCCTCCTCTTCTAGGCCGAACTAACTGAAAGAAAGCCCTGTCCACCAGCTTCTCTGGTTCTCACCTCCCCTAAACCTGAATACATTATAGGCACTAAACTGCCAAAGTAGCCATTCTGTTACTTTAACCATTTATCTGGCAAAAGTAGAGCGAGATCCCTTCCTGCCCCGAAGTGTCCACCTTCCATGACCTCCTATCAGACAGCTAAGCTCACACTGCTCTCCACTTGGAGAAACTCCCTAGGATCCAGCCTCAGAGACGCCAGTCTCTCCTTTCTGTCTCTTCCCCAGAGCCTTGCACCATCATTGAATGCACACTCAAGTCAGCTTGCTTGAGTAGCCCCGGCTTCACCACTTATTCTAACTGGATGATTTCGGCAAGCGACTTATTCTAACTGGATGATTTTGGCAAGCAACCTATTCTTCCATGCCTGACTTTCTCAATCTGTACATGAAGATGGCAGTAGTAAATAGTGATGTCATGGGCATTAGAAGAGATTTGATCCTGTTGTGAACATTATTATGTAACGTGTGGCATGTGACAAGATGGGCCTATCCTAAAATAGAAGGATATACAAAGGATGACAAGGAAGAGAGAGAATTTAAGAAACAGAAATCCCAAAGGCATTGCAAAATAAAACTGCAAAATATTGTTTTTCTTGATGAACTGCCATAAGAGGTACAGCCTCTACCATAATGTATTGTTAGCAAAATAAGCAAACCTGGATTAAATTAAGTTTATGACTCCTATAACTTTTGTATAGGAGCAAGTTAAATTATCAGTAAATTATCAGTTTTCATATTCATTACACATCCACACATGCAGGTGCAAGGTTGACTGCTGCCTTTGGTTCATGTCTATTCAGACTCATTAATCTGTAACAGTCCCTTTCTCCCCTGAAATTTTTTTTAAATGACATTGATTTGTTTAAGAATCTGAGTCTCCTGTCCTAGAGTGCCCCATAGTCTAGATTAGTCTGATTGCTTTAAACTATCATTTAATTCCTACTCATTGGAGTCATCAGAGAGCTTTTAGAACAGATATCTTGGCTGCAAGCATCAGGAGCCAGATCCTGATATGGAACTCAGGTACTCTGATGTGGGACACTGGTTTCAACTGCTACTCTAAACATGCTTCCCAACTCTTTTTTTTTTTTTTAACCAATCCATTCCTCAAAGTGGTTGTGCAGTTGGTGATCTTGAAGCTCAGATAACAGTTCTCCTGGCACAATTAGCAAGTTTCCTTAACCATTTGCTATTAAAGCTGCAGATTCCTTTAAGCCAGGCTTCCCTGGATGCGACACAAGCACACTGTGCAGCTATCATACACGTTTCCTTGCTCCTCAAAAGGCCTGGTTGTCTTGTCTCTGTACACATATCCTGCTACAGTAGAAGCATGGTTTATGGCATCGCATCAATCCTTATCCATGTCAACCAATTTGGTCCTAGTCAATTTCATTTTCCCACCGTATTGTTTAAAGTCATAGCATCAGGAAAACTGCCTTTGCAGTCTTTCATTTTTCTAGTCTAGCAACTGACTAGATCAATTCAACTTGAGAGAATCAAGATGATGGTAATGTCTTTGTATATCATAAGATGAGGGAGGAATGATATTGCATGAAATGTCTGCCATTTCAGAAAGTAAAACCTAAAATATGTTTATAAGTGATTTGTTCTCAAACTACAATTTCTGAAGAAATGTCCCTTGATAGGGAAACATATAAGAAAGAAGGTGCTTCCATGTGTTTTTTGGATAAAAAAAAAGTCTGTATGAAATAATTAAAATCATGACTCTGGCCCCACGTGGCACAAAGGCTAACCTTAAATCTATTACAAAAGAGGTTTTGGTTCTTGCTTTTAGTAGGAAGAAGGGTTGGAAAATTATTAATAAGTGTATTTTCACCACAAAGATGGGGGGCTGTAGTGGGCACCGTCCAAGTGTTCACAGTGCGGCCACAGCCTCTGAATACTGGACATGGCTGCAGGCCTGCTTCTGTCTAAGCAGGCCTTGTGAACGCACACCTTCCTAAACAGCATGCAGCGGCAGTAAGCAGAAGGTTTGGGTTATTAGATATTGCTTTAAGAAAAACTCCTTATCATACTTCAAGGGCATAGAAGATGAGCCAGGAACAACATGACCACCAGGAGCAACTTGAACTCTCGCTTCCCATCATAATATGTCACGCACTTACCCCGCTTGCTTGTGCCGGCTCCTTATTCTTTTACAGTGATTATTCCAGCAGTACACTCCTGATTGCTACGTTATTGGTTGAACCCTAGGCTAAATAACAAAAAGCTGGAGCTATCCGGCAGTGCTCTTCGGATGAAGGCTCCCGTGTTGCAGCTCAGCATTTGAAACTCCACAGTGGACAAGTTCCATTTTAGGGGGACGGGTGCCCGGGCAACCGGGGCTAGGAACACTGGGATGAAGACAATGATGGCAGAAAGGGAGAAAGGGTGAGCACCAACTTGGGAATATTCAAGTAGAGAAGGGAGTGTTTCAACAGTAGAGGGCCTCACTGATGCGAAATTTCCCTCTTACGGCCCCGCGGGGCTCAGGTGGGGAAAACGACAGTCCTAAAAGCAGGGGCGCCCACAGCCCTTTACCCACGGGAGCGCGCGGCCTAAGCCGACTCCAGCCCGTCCAGCAACCCCCCCAACACCACACAGCGCATGCGCGCGTTCCATTTGCGCCCGGCGCGGGTCGGGAGCGCGGAGGTTGGGAGAGGCGCGGCGTTGCCAGTGCGCCTGCGTAGGCGGCCGTCTTGGCCGCGCTCCCTAACCGTCTCGGCATCGCGGTTTGAATTGTGCTTCATGGCCCCGGTATTCAAGTCTCATTCTACCGAGGACACCTCGGGCTCTCGGAGACTGGCCCGCGGCTCGTCCGGGAGTCCGCCCACCACTGAGCAGGCCGGACGCTCTCACTCCAGAGGCCGTGAGGGCCTCAAGCCTTCGTGGGCCGCGTCGGACCCGGGCGCTGCTTGCCGCCTGAGGCGCTCTGGCTCTCGAGAGCGGCCCCCGGCGCTGCACGACTATGCCTTCTCGTCGTCTTTAAGCTACTACGGCGGATACCTCCACTATCACCATCACCACCACTACGCCGGCGACCGGCCGTGGGTGGAAGACTATGAGGAGAAGGAGGAGAGTTACAGGCACAGGAGGCTGAAGGAGAGAGAGAGGATTGGGGAGCTGGGGGCGCCTGAGGTGTGGGGGTTGTCTCCCAAGCTTCCCGAACCGGATTCTGATGAGCATACCCCAGTTGAAGACGAAGAGGACAAGAACCAAAAGAGTAGTGGTTCGGATTCCACCTCCAAAGAAAAAAGGAAAAAGACCAGTCGTGCACAAAACAAGAAAAAAGGAAAGAAAAAGACCAAAAGAAAACATAAGAGCTATTCTGGTAATAATGACAGTAATTCAGACTCTGACACCAATTCCAGCCCTGATGATGACGATGAAAAGAGAATCAAAAAAGCCAAGAAGAAAGAGAAGAAGAAAAAACAGAGAGTCAAGAAAAAGAAGAAAAAGAATAAGAGGTCTAGAAAAGAATCCAGTGACTCAAGCTGGAAAGGCTCGGAGGAGGAGTTGCCAGAAGGTGTGTGGATGGAGCAGTCAAAGATTGTAGAGACCATGGATTTAATAGGCCCAGAAGCACCTATGAAACATTTTAATCAGGACGAAAAACCTTTGAACTATGGCCATGCTCTGCTCCCTGGTGAAGGTGCTGCTATGGCTGAGTACGTGAAAGCAGGAAAGCGAATCCCACGAAGAGGTGAAATTGGGCTAACAAGTGAAGAGATCGCTTCGTTTGAGTGCTCGGGTTATGTCATGAGTGGGAGCAGGCATCGCAGGATGGAGGCTGTGCGGCTGCGGAAAGAGAACCAGATCTACAGTGCTGATGAGAAAAGAGCCCTTGCATCCTTCAACCAAGAAGAGAGACGGAAGAGGGAGAATAAAATTTTAGCTAGTTTTCGGGAGATGGTGTACAGAAAGACGAAAGGGAAAGATGACAAGTGAGGACTTGGTTTTTGTATGGCAGGACTTGAAGCAGTTTCATGAGACCAAGATAGTTTTTAAAGCCCTACAGGGCTGCTCACTATTCAGTGGGTCCCTCAGGAAAAAGCTGCTATTACGGATATCTTTAGCAATTTAATTTTTGGTTTCAATCTAAAGTAATAGGTGCACATGGTCTTAAAAATATTCAGACATTACAGGTGGAAAGTTAGTAAAAAGTCAATCTGTAACCCCAATCCCAATTCTTTTCCCCAATCTTTTTTTGGAGTCTTTTTTTTTTTTAAATCTGTCCCTACTTCTGTGTAGCTACAAGTGTGTATGTTATGGATAACAGAGATATTAAACTGAAGTGCTTTTTCCTCCTCTTTCTCTGATTTGTCTCTTGGATGGCTTCATTGCCTCATGTTGCCAATCATTTTCTTCAGGGAGGATGAAAACAAGCTCAGAAAGAACAAGAGATTCTAGTTGCAATTAGCAGAAAGAGTTGTAAAAGATTTATTGGCTCTTACAACTGGAAAGTTTTGGAGGAGGATAGATTACCTGTACAGCTTTAATAGAACTTTGGTTTCTTTCTCCACTTTCTTCATCTCCCTTCACCATGGGTCATTTTACTCAGGTTGGTCTCCCTTTAGAGGCAGCTGGTGATAGCTCAAATAAATTGGTCCCTGAAACCTATGTGACTTGAGTTCCTGGCTCCAAGGTCTGGCTCCAGCCAGGGTAGATTGTTGGCATTTGGTGAATGAACCAATGGTTAGGAGCTGTTTTTTTTTTTTTTTTCCTCCTTCTTCTTCTTCCAAGATTTTATTTTTAAAGGCAGAGTGACAGTGAGTGAGAAGAAAAGAACTTCCCATCTGCTGGTTCACTCAGAACTCAGTCCAGCCAGGAGCATTAGGGAACTCAGTCTCAAGCAGAGCAGCCAGGACTTGAACAAGTGCTCTGATAACAGGGTGCCAGCAGTGTAGGCAGCAGCTTAACTTGCCATGCTGCTAGGCTGGCCCCAGGATGGGAGCTTGCTCTTAGTTTCTGTCACTCTCTCTCTCTCTCTGCCTCTCAAATAAATTTGATGTAAGATAAAAGGAAAAAAACCACCACCAAATCTCCTTAGTTTGGTTATAATTTTCCTAGTCAACCTTCAAGTAGAAAACCAAGAATCTGGAGATGCAGCCTCATTGGATCACCTTGATCTCAAAGCTACTCAAAAGTGCTGTTGCCAGAGAAATAGAATGGCTTAATGCACCAGAATGGGTACCTGAATGAAAATCATGGCATTATTGGGCAGGGAGAATAGATAATGTCCACTGTAGTTTTGAATTTTTTTTAAACAGTACATAAGCTGAAAGTAAAAATTTTCTTGAAGAAAAACACTTTGACTATTAGAAGCAAATTCTAATGGAAGAGGACTTAGGCTTTATTCCTAAACAGAGATATAAAAGAAAATGTGAAGATCCAGGGCACTTGAGTCTTCCAAAGAGTAGATTTGGGCCACCTTGACTAGCAAGAGAAAGAGAAAACAGAAAATAAAGAGGAAGTAATTGGTAGGACTCAAGAGGAGGAGATCAGATCAGGAGGAACCACATGGACAGGAAAATAGGCACTGATGGACTGGCTAGCACCCGTCCTGGGAAATACTTTACAGTGAGCTCCATTCACGTCTGTGATAAGGCTGCCTTTGTCATTCAGTGATATCTGCCTGGATCTGGAGATTTTAGTTTAATACTAACCAAACTATCTCTTTTGAATAACTTCCTGTTCAAGGCTGCAGACACTGCACTGATAAGCCCCATGGAACTGAGGGTGAGGGGATGGGATTCTAGAATCTGGCAAGACAATGTGATGTGGAAAGCTACCACCACCCCACTAGAACACATCAGCTTGAGGTTTTCCCCAAAAGAGGACAGGGGAACACTGATGAGAACCATGGTGTTACACACGCATATTTCCATTTTCAGAAACCATACCATACTACATACATGGATTGATACCTTGATTTCTTCACTTAAGTACATCTTAAAGATATCTTCCATCAATACATGTAATCTCTTCATCACATATCTTGCAACTATTTCCCACAGTTAATTTGCCTTTGGACTTACTTTTCTGGGAGAAAAGCATCATACTGCTCTATAAAGACTAAAAAGATTCCATGACACTAGCCAAAAAGGTATCTTTTTGGGAAAAAGATGTGTCTGAGAAATTGTGACTTCTAAGTAAACCAAGATATAAAGAGTGGATATCTTCGCCCCCCCCCCCAAAAAAAATAAAATACACAATTTTGTGTAAAGTAAAATGCTGTGTGTGTAATACAGCAAAAACTTGTGACAGTTCTTTTGCTGTAGTTACACTTAACTTGCTGTTTGGTGTTGCTGTTATAGAGAGATCTGGGCAGCAAGTCTGGCTTAAAAGAGATTTTTGAGAGTTTATTTCAGACCACTTTTGTGTCAGGGGATTAGAGTCAGGCTCCATTCCCAGTTCCAACTTCCTGCTAACGCAGCAACCTGGAAAGAAGCAGGTGATGGCTCAAGAACCTGGGTCCCTTCTGCCCATGTAAGAGGTCTGGATTGGGTTCCTGGTTTCCAGCTTCTGCCTGGCGTAGTCCTGGCCATCATAGGCACCTGTAGAGTGAATCAGTAGGCAGGAGATCTCTTTCTTTCAAAGAAAATAAATAGTAAAAACTAGCCATAGTGCTAAATGAATTAGGATTATTTTAACTTCTTTAAAAATTTTACTTATTTGTTTGGTGGGGGGAGAAAGAGAAAGTGCAAGCACTCCCATCTACAGGTCGGTGGCAGTGGGGGGCAGGGAGGGAGGGATGTTGAGCCAGAAGTGTCAAAAAACCAGTTACCCCTGCTCCCAAGGTCTGCATTAACAGAGAGCTGGACTCAAAGTCAAACCCAGGCACTCCAACATGGGGCACGGGTGCCCTACTGAATGTCTCAACTGCTGGGCAAACACCCACCCTACTCCACTTTTAAGTTAAATTTACCTGTGTTTTTCCCTTTTTTAAATTTTTTTATTTTTTTTGACAGGCAGAGTGGATAGTGAGAGAGACAGAGAAAGGTCTTCCTTTGCCGTTGGTTCACCCTCCAATGGCCGCCGTGGCCGGTGCGCTGCGGCCGGCGCACCGCGCTGATCCGATGGCAGGAGCCAGGTGCTTCTCCTGGTCTCCCATGCGGGTGCAGGGCCCAAGCACTTGGGCCATCCTCCACTGCACTCCCTGGCCACAGCAGAGAGCTGGCCTGGAAGAGGGGCAACCGGGACAGAATCCGGTGCCCCAACCGGGACTAGAACCTCGTGTGTCGGCGCCACAGAATACCAGAACTCCTAACAGTAACTTCGTACTCCTTAAACCAACCTTTCCCCGTATCTCCCTCCTCTCTACTCCCCTCAGCCTCTGGTAATCACCATTACACCTTCAACGTCGGTGAGATCAACTGGTTTAGATTCCACATGTGAGTCACAGCATGTTCTGTGCTTAGCATATGCCACTCAACATCGTGACCCCCAATCCATTCATACTGTTGCAGATGACAAGATTTCCTCCGCATCTACAGCTCAAGAAAAGGTACTTTTAAGTGTCTGACACCCGAGGAGAAAAAGATTACCCTCCTGGTAATAGTGAAACTGGTTGCTTTTTTCTTTTCTGTTATAATTTCAGTGCCTATAATACCAAATAAATTATATGACACCGTACACTGGTTCATAAGATACTTAATATTTCAAAACCCTGTCAACGATTAAGCAGAAAATTTAGTTCAGATTTTTAGAGGGTTTATTTTATTCAAGGACTATAAAAACACAGTTTGTGTTGGGCAAGAGAAGGACTATTTCTAGTCTCTGCTGTGGAATTTATTTTGGTAAAGTAAATCTGAAAAAATTTGCCCCCCCTAAAAAAAACTTCATTCATTGCAGTGATACTGATTACTCTCTCCCACAGTAGCAGACTTGAAAACTTTCAATCCAAACATATGTTCATTGTTCATTTTAATTTTTAAAATACTCTGTCACTTATTTTTGCCGTACTGTTTGATGATTTTTTAAAATTGGGAAGGAATGGTGAAGTATGTGTTTTATTTATATGAGGCAAGAAAGTGAGAGAAATGTCACCTGTTTGTGATAACACTCAATAAGCCAACCCGGCTTTACATGAATAAAATAAACTTCTGCTTTCAAATGAAGCAACGACAAAACCCAAGGTTGCATCCTCACGCCCCTCCCAGCCAAGCGTGGCCCGCTTTACCCGCCTCTACACCTGGACCCAGGACACCATCGAGCCGAGGTCCTCCAGTGTTCCTAGAGCGGAGCCGAAGCGGCGGCGGGGAGCGGGAGCAGACAGGCGGCCGACTCCAGCTCGGTGTTTGAGAACGTTTGGCTCCTCCTGCAGCCCTTGGCTGGGTGAGTGGTGACTGGGTCCAGGGCTGAGGTAGCACTGCTTCCTAGAGCAGTGGGGCGCAGCTGGGTCCCTGCGGGTGCAGAGAGTGGCCGCGCGTGGCGGGGGCGGGGTCCGTCCGGGGGCCCTTGATGGGGATGAAGCTGCGTCCGCTGCTAACGGTTCTGCTTATTTTTACCCCTTTGGCGCAGTCAAGGAATAGGAAAGCAGGCCTCACCGAGAAGGTATATCCGTGTCGAAATCTAAGAGACGTAAAGCGCTTTGTAGCTTTTTGGAGCGCGAGCCCTCCAGGTGGAGGTAACAGCAAGGCAAGGGGTCCTAAGGCAGGAGCTTGTTGGGCGAATTTGAGGAATAATGGGGAGACCAGAGTGGTCGGAGTGCCGGGAGAAGGACTGGTTATAAGGAATCTGTTTACGTGACTAGTGGTCAGCTGGCAAGTTTCAAGATCTTCAGGGGAAGTGGGCCAGCTGTCTCATACGCAGGGACCCCTAATTTCGTTCCAGTCAAGCCTGAAGCCCTGAGACCCAGGAAAGCTTACGGTACGGTTCAGCCTGAAGGCCTGCAGGTCAGGACCCTGGAATCGCAGATGTTTCCCCTCAAGACTGATGGCACGGAGAAAAGCGGATGTGTCACTGGACAGGAGGAATTCAGTCTTAGGGTGAGGGTCAGCGATTTTGTTCTAGTCAGACCAGCTGGTCGGATGAGGCCTGCTTTACCCAGTCCACAGTCTACCTACTTAAATGTTAATCTCACCCGAAAACACTCTCATGGGAACATCCAGAATAATGTTTGACCAAATATCTGGGCACCCTGTGGTCCAGTTCAGTTGACATATAAAATTAACAATCACAATACCGCACTTTTATTTTCCTGCTAATAACCATTACTTTCTTGGACTTTTCCACTTCCATTAAGAATGCTGGTCTTTGACAAAGAAAAAAAAATCTCAGCTGTGGAGTGTTCTTATGTACACAACCAGGAATACTCATATGTGACAGCAAGACATACACAGTGATTTAAAGACACGTGTCAACGGTTGGAGGTGCTATTTAGGTCTGTAGAATCACCCAAGAGTAGTCAAGATAAGAGTGCTAAATCCCTGCATTCCGAGGGCCGGCTCTAACGGATGGTGGTGGAATTCTCTGGACTTGTTTTGGACATTTCGGGTTTGAGAGGCTTCTGTAGGATATCCATTATAAGGTGGGCAGAAGGAAATGCAAGTCAGGCATTGAAGGTATCTGGCCTAAAAATTAAGGAAGCCATCAGCATAAAGATCGTAATTGAAGTCACAAACAGATTATTGTATGTATTACTCCTTCCTAGTTTCTGCCTCATATCCCTCCTCCTATTTAGAATCTTACTTTAAGAGTAAATTTTGCTCACTCTGTTTTGTCATTTTCATTGTCACACTGGCTGTTGTCCTCATTCTACTACCAAATTGTCTTCACAGAGATCACCAGTGATTTCTGTGTTTTGGAATAAAGTGGGTACATCTGGTCTTTGATTAATCCACTTTCTTATAGCATTTCATATTTTTTGTTTTGTTTTATTTTTTTATTTTTTTCTTTTTTTGTTAGCATTTCACATTTTTGAGTACTGTCTTCTTGTGATTGTACTTATAAATCAATGAATTTGTATTCTTTATAATTATTATATAATTTATCCCAAAACCACTGTGAATTAGCTACTATATTTTACCAGTGAGTATACTAAGGCTCTAAGAGGATAAATCGCTTGCCTTGGGTCACATAGCTTGTATGTGACAGGGCTGGATAGAACTCACGTCTGGCTGGGGCCCACTGTCTTCACCACCCAATACTTGCAGAGGTAAACCTTGTGTTCTGGACACTGCTGTACTTGGTCTCCTACCTCTTCCTTGTTCCTTTTAATTTCTCTCCCTTACTTACAGCTAATCCCCAGGGTTCTAGTCCCATCTGACCTTTACCCAGCAAGAACTAACCACCACCAGGCTGGATGTTCAACTGTTCTAGACTCAGAGCTCCCTGTCACTTGTCTTTCTGCGTGCGACACAGGAGGGCTCCCATCCAGGAAGCCTTTTCCGCCTGCTGTGGGGAGTTACACGCTTTACCAGTGTCCTCTGCTGGCAGCCTGTGCATCCCTTGTCAACAACACCTTATCCGTTGAACTGTAGCTGCACGTTCACTTAAGATGTTTTTGAGAAACAGGCAGCTATAGAGACCAGGGAGTTGTCTTCTATCTGTGTATTCCCAACAGTGAGGGGACCTTGGTACATAGTGGACAATCAGTAAATGAAATGAAAGATGAATATTTTTACATTCTTTTAGTTAATTTTGACCCCTGCTTTGCTGAATGTATAAGCAGTCATATTTATTTTCCCCCTCAACATTTTGAGAATTTTCAAATCTTACAGAGAAGTTGTAAGAATAGTATAATTCATACTCTCATGTGACAGCTGTAGCTGTCTCTTCACACACCTTTTTCCCCCTAAAACATTTGAAAGTAATTTGTATCATGCATCTCATGAGATTAATGTTCTCTCTCATGACCTAAAACTATTGTCTTGCCTGAGAAAATTCTCTAACAGAGATTAGTAACCTTTTTCTGTAAAGACAGGATAGAAAATGGTTTTTTGTAAGTAATATGATCTCTATGAACACCAGTCACTTCTGCATTATAGTATAAAGCAGATGTAAACAATATTTAACAAATGGGAATAGCTGGATTCCTAAAAATGAATACAAACACAGGCTTCAGGCTCAATTTGGTCTGCTGAGCTGTAGTTTGGCTACTGTATTCTTTTTTTTTTTTTTTAAAGATTTTATTTATTTATTTGACAGGTAGAATTACAAACAGTGAGAGAGAAAGACAGAGAGAAAGGTCTTCCTTCCGTTGGTTCACTCCCCAAATGGCCACAATGGCTGGAGCTGCACTGATCTGAAGCCAGGAGCCAGGTGCTTCTTCCTGGTCTCCCATGCAGGTGCAGGGGCCCAAGGACTTGGGCCACAGCAGAGAGCTGGACTGGAAGATGAGCAACTGGGACTAGAACTGGCGCCCACATGGGATGCTGGTGCCACAAGCAGAGGATTAACCTAGTGTGCCAAGGTGCTGGCCCCAGCTACTGTATTCTGATATGTCATTCATACTCATGTTTCTAAATTCTTCAAAAATATTTTGTTGCTGTTTTTCAAATGCAAGAGGCAAATTTCATACATTGCATTGAGTTATGTCTCTTTAATCTAGAGCAGTAACCTTCCCACACCTTCTTTTTGTTTCCATGAAATTAATTGTTTTGAAGAGCCCATGCCTATTGTGGATGAGCTGCATTCTGGACTTACCTGAGTGTCTCCTCATCATTAGATCCATGTGAAGCATTTTTAGTAATGCATTTAAGCATATAAAGCACATGATGTCAGTTGTCTCAGTATTGCTCAGTTGGATCATTTGGTTAAGTTTGTGACTGCCAGATACATACATTTCCTCCTGGGTATTTAATAAGCAGTGTAGTGATTTTTTTTTTTTTTTTCGAGATGTCTAGAATGCCCTGTTTCCCTTCGGCTCAGTGGTTTTAGTAGCCACTTATGGCCCTTGACCTCATCGTTTATTTCAAGGGCTGGAAAATGATGGTTTTTCACATTTATCATTCCTGCCTTGTTACCAACAATCATCGATAAACCAGAGTTTTCTCATTTTGTAAGTGTGCTTAGGAATGGTTGTTTCAGAGAGAGAGAGGGAGGAAAAAAGATAGTAGGAAGTGTAAAAACCTGAGACAGGATTATTGCCATTGTTGTTATTGTTGTTGCCACTACTGATTCTGTTCCTTTGATTCTTGTGTTTTTAGGAGGAACCCTGAGGATACAGTGAAAACACAGTTCTGCGAAACAGAGTGCAGTCAAAGCTGAGAATGGCGACAGCATTGGTGAGTGCTCATTCCCTGGCTCCCCTGAATCTGAAGAAGCAGGGGCTTCAGGCAGTGAGGGAGGAGCACTACCCTCCTTGGGAACAGGGCTTCAAGCTGCAAGGAAGTAGCAAAGGACTTACACAGGAGCTGTTGTGCAGACAATTCAGACAGTTGCGTTATGAAGAGACCTCGGGACCTCGAGAAGCACTGAGCCAGCTCCGGGAGCTCTGCCGACAGTGGCTGCAGCCCGAGACGCACACCAAGGAGCAGATCCTGGAGCTGCTGGTGCTGGAGCAGTTCCTGTCCATTCTACCCAAGGAACTCCAGGCCCGGGTGCAGGAGCATCAGCCAGAGAACGGGGAGGACATGGTTATTGTCCTGGAGGATTTGCAGCTGGAACGTGGAGAAGCAGGACGACAGGTGGTAAGGGTCAGATGTGTTCTTTTCCAGGGAGACAAGAATTGAGCCTCTGACCAGACAGGTGGACATGAGCTCAGCAGTGGCAGGAAAATTGCTAAGCTTTGGTTCATTGCCTTTCCAAAACGGATGTTTGTTTCTGTAGGTCTTACCTCAGTCTTACCTGCCCCTGGCTGGTGGGAGACTACAGCCAGGATCCCATCCTTTTTTCTTTGCCCCTTTGGAACTTCTCTTTGTTCTCTTTTCTAAGATTGAAATGTTTTTCTGAACAGCAGTTTTCTCACCCAATCTAATTATTCCTACACATACCTAATTGTGCCTAGGACCCAGAGCAGACAAAGAAACAAAACATAGCTGTGGAGAAGACAGCTCCTCTCACAGCAGTGCAGGAGCAGCAGGTCCAGCCGGAGTGGGAAGCTCCAAAACCCGAGAGAGAGAAGGGTAAGAACTGAAGTGCATCTTCTGTGCATGTCAGATGAGGAGGACTGTGCAGTTCCCTTTGGGACCCTACTGAGCACCCTTGGTGTCTTGTTTGTTTTTATTTTGAGTCACGTCTGTCGAGATATAATTTACATGCAGTAAAATTAACTCCTTGTAAGTGTGCAGGTTGATTAGTTTTCACAAATGTAAAATAATTAAGATTGTCTAATCGGCACTACACTCAAGATACTTAAGAGATATAAGATTTTCATCACTGTAGACGTGTTAGTTGACCAGAACACAAGGAAAAGGTACAAAGGAACCTGAACTGTTACCTTGTTCTTCCTCCTCTTCATATTGGGGTGAATAAGGAAAAATAGTCCTAGTTTCTCACCTGAGACAAATAATCCCACTCAGGTGTTTCATTATTCATTTTTTCTTATTGCCTTCAAATTATTAGAAATTATATTGCCTTTTATTTCTGAATGTTAACTGGATTATTTTGTTGTTGTTGTTGTTATCATTCTGTGTCACTGAAATCTCTAATTTCTGTTCCTTGCATTTTCTTTTCTTCTTTCTAGTCTGATACAACACTTGCCTTTCTCTCTAGCTTTGAGTCATCTTGGTATATCTAGTGAAACTAAGTTAACCACCTGTTCATTCTCCATCATGTATACACAGATTCATTAAAGTTTTCCTTCTCCTTAAAACCTTTTATAGTGACGTGGGCAATGTTATGTTATTCTTTCTACTTTTTAAATAGTTGAGTATTTCTATAATAAAAAATAAAATATAAGAAAATTATCACCTTCATTGGCTCCCAGTACCCATTAACAAAAGTGCACATGACATATTCCAGCACATGCTTAATGCTCACCTCTCAGCCTCACGTCCAGCAACACAGTCAAGTTATTCCAGTATTCTTGAGCTTTTACCATCGATGGTTCCGCGTGCTGGGAAGTTCAACACCTCAGTACCAGACAGATGGGCTCAGTTAGTCACCTTGTGCCCACTGCTCACACGGTGTGTTCCCGTCATGTGAGCTCCATTCCATTACCATTGCTCCTTGTTTCTTCTGAGTCTCCTGCTTTGTTTCTTCTGTCTGGAACATGCTTTCCTCACTCTCCCCAACTAATTCCTACTCATCATTGAGGGCCAGTCTTAGATATCACTTCCTGTATCCTTCCCTAAAGTGTCCCAAGTCTAGGTTAGTTTCCCTGCATTCACTCCTAGAGGTCTACTGTCACGGAAGTGGTCACATTATATTGTAATTTCTGGTTTACTTCTCTCTCTCTCTCTCTCTCTCTCTCTCTCTTTTTTTTTTTTTCTTGCCAGAGGCTTTGTTTTGTTTGAGTTTGCTACAGTCTCTGGCTTTGGATAGTCACTCAATAACTTGTCTTTTTGATTACAGGCTGATTTTGTATGTAAAACCATCCTTTACCTACTACTTACATTTCAATTTCCAAGTTTGCTTCAAAGGTCCCATTCTTCTGGGAGCCTTCTGAGTAGAATTGATGAAAAAAAAGAGCCTGCTCCTTCTGAATAGCCTTACGGAAATGAACTTACAGCATATAGTTAATGACAGGAGTATATTTTAAATGCAAATATTGTGATAGTAGGCTTTTTTTTTTTTATTTGACAGTTAGAGAGAGGATGAGACAGAGAGAGAGGTCTTCCATCTGCTGATTCACTCCCCAAATGGCTGCAACAGCTGGAGCTGAGCTGTTCAGTTCAGGAGCCAGGAGCTTCTTCCGGTCTCCCACAGGGGTGCAGGGGCCAAGCACTTGGACCATCCTCTGTTGCTTTCCAAGGCACATTAGCAGGGAGCTGCGGGCCGGGGCATTAACCCATTGTGCCAGAGCACTGGCCCTTGTAGTAGACTCTTACCTTCGGAATCTATTGAAAATGTTATTTTATATTCAAAGTTCAGGTTCTTTATTGGTTTCAATCCCTCTCCCTCCTTTTGTCTATTTATGTTGTTATGTCAGTACTGGCAAAGAATCTCTTCCTTTCCCTTGCCTCTTACTTCCTTCCCTCATATCGTTGTCTTCTTCCTGTTGCAGGGCGCTTTCACACAGAGTGCTTTATTTAATCTCTCCACTCCCCGTATGTGATTTGACTTTCTCTGATGTCTCCTTACTAGTCTTTTCATGGTCATTTTCACTTTTTGGCCCTCATCTGCTCCTTTTTTATTATCTTCAGCGTTCACCTTGCTCATCTTGATTAACCCTCACTTACTTATTAGTACAGTCTGCGGTTTCCCTTCTTAGTCTCTCATTTGGACTCTGCATCCTCATTCATACTCCTGTCCCCCCCCCCCTTTTTTTTTTTTGACAGGCGGAGTTAGACAGTGAGAGAGAGAGAGACAGAGAAAGGCCTTCCTTCCATTGGTTCACCCTCCAAATGGCTGCTACCAAAGCCAGGAGCCAAGTGCTTTCTCCTGGTCTCCCATGCGGGTGCAGGGCCCAAGCACTTGGGCCATCCTCCACTGCACTCCCAGGCCATAGCAGAGAGCTGGACTGGAAGAGGAGCAACCAGGACAGATTCTGGCACCTCAACCGGGACTAGAACCCCGGGGTGCTGGTGCCGCAGGCAGAGGATTAGCCTACTGAGCTGCAGCGCCGGACCTGTCCCTTAAAGGGCCTTTATCCCAGCTGCCCATCCATCTCACCCTTTAGCCTGTGTATCTGAGCTTAGGTTTTATTTTGTCTTCTTTTAATTTTACCCTTAGGACACAGGCCATTAATTAACAAGCATTTGTTTAGTGTCTGTTAGGTGCCAGACAGTGCAGTAGAGAAAGCAGATTCCTCTCTGGATACGCTCATGGTCTCTTGAGATGTTGGGGTTTGGGTTGGGAGAGACAGACATAGGAACAAATTGTGTCAGCAGTGAGAAATAAAAGCTCTGTTGAACCACACAAGAAAGCAGTACCTGCTGTTGAAAAAGATCAGGAAAGTGTTAGGAAAAGAGGAGCAGAACAGAGAGGAGGCAGAATAGGAATAACAGTCATTTTTATGAACTCCATGTTATCCTCAGGGTCTTAAGATCCAATGTATTTGATGAATTGGTGAGGACCCTGAGCCCAGAGGGTGTCCATGATCTCTGTGTGACTGCATAGCTAGTCTGCAATAAACCTGACAGCAGTGCATTTCTTCATTTCCCATGAAAGTGCCATTCTTTCCTGTTGGCTCCAGCATCTTCAGTTGACCTCACTGTGTTCATTTTGCATGGGGCAAATCACTTGCAAGAATATACAGTCATGCCCTTCAAGACAGCTGATTTCTTTGCTTGCTAGTTTGTCTGTGTTGTGTATTACATGATAAAATTTAAACCCATTAAAATAAGTTGTCTTCCATTGCCATCCCCCATCCTTCCACAATGCCTGGCAATATTAATACAGATACTAACAACCTTGACATTTTTACGTTTTACACATGGCTTGATTTAAATATTTTCCACCTAGTTCTAGATTCCTGTCCCCAGGAACCAGAAAATAAGTAATTGGTATTGTCTTTAATGTTTCAGGTGAGGAGACAAGGATTGAGAATGGGGAACTTGCTATAGTGACAGACTCTAGTGGAACAATAGAATCATCTGGGAAAATACCTAAACCCACAGAGGCTCACGATGAGGACTGTGACTTGGAAAGGCAGCAGGCCAAGACCCAGGAGAAGACCGACTGCAAATGCTCAGAATGTGGGGAGGCGTTCATGCGCCACTCTGATCTGACTGAACATGAGCGAGCACACACGAGAGAGAGACCCAGCGCATCTGAACTGTGTCAGAGTTCTAGTGTTACTGGACATCAGGAAATCCTTTCTGGAAAGAAAGGTCATCAGTGTCCTGAGTGTGGGAAAGTCTTTCAGAGGAGTTCTCACCTTGTCAGGCATCAGAAAATCCACCTTGGTGAGAAGCCCTATCAGTGCAAGGAGTGTGGAAATGTCTTCAGCCAGAACGCAGGCCTCCTGGAGCACCTCAGAATCCACACTGGAGAGAAGCCTTACCTGTGTATCCACTGTGGAAAGAACTTTAGGCGCAGCTCTCACCTCAATCGCCACCAGAGAATTCACAGTCAAGAGGAGCCCTGTGAGTGCAAGGAGTGTGGAAAAACCTTCAGTCAGGCCCTGCTCCTCACCCACCATCAGAGAATCCACAGTCACGCCAAGAGCCATCAGTGTAATGAGTGTGGGAAGACCTTCAGTTTGACCTCAGACCTTATTCGACATCACAGGATTCACACTGGAGAGAAACCTTTCAAGTGTACCATATGTCAGAAAGCCTTCCGTCTAAACTCACACCTCTCTCAGCACGTGAGAATCCACAACCAGGAAAAACCTTATGAGTGCAATAAATGTGGAGAAGCCTTCCGGCAGAAGTCCGGTCTTTTTCAGCATCAGAGATACCACCACAAAGACAAACTGGCTGGATGAGGTGGCCTGTGCTTGTAGAGCATCAAAGAGAATGCATTTGACAACCAAACAGCAGTTTAGGGAAAGTTACTCCGACCAACTCTGGCATCAGAGGATTCCTGAGGACCAAGCAAGTCCCTCCCCATTATTTTCCTTGACATCAGGTTTGTACAACAATAATTTCACTCTGGATGATACTGTGGCACCAAAGTTAAACACCATTCTCTACCACAGGACTTCTCAGAGTCTTTAACATGAGAAATTCATGATCGTGTGTTTCTGGATAGTAGAGAGCCTCCCGACGCACAGAGAGCGCTTCCAAGTCAGCAGCAAGTCACAGATTTTTAGGTTAAAATGTAACCTATAAAGGCAGGTTAGTATTTTTGCTTATGCTATAGCAACAGATTCCTATAAAATAAAACTAACGATTTTTAGAAATTTACCACTCTCAAAAGTATCTTAAAGTACAGGTTAATGGTGAACATTTTACACCACTGATTTCATCCTCTCCCTCCCACTGGCTTTACCCCCCTCCCTCCCCTTCCACAATCAGTGGAAGCATTTTGGAAAGCAGTTTTTTGCTGGTTAACTACAGAACGTGCCCTCAGGGTTAACCTCTTGTTTTACATTTTTCCACCGCCAACCCTGCAACATTACCTCACTGATTCAAGTTATGTCAAAGTTTTACTTAGGCTATGGAAGAAATTTCAGGAGACATTTGAATGAACTGTGCTGAATTAATGCACATAGCATCTGTCTCACTTGATGACCCCAGTGCCAGTGGAGTGGCTACTGCATTGACACTGTTCCATAACTGATGGTGAAAGTTGGACTTTTTTCCTTTAATACTGATGATGCAATTTTAAAATGTTGCTTGTTTGGAAATTTTGTAAAAGGTTTGTACAACAATAAAATAAAGTCAGTTTAAGAGATTATGGCCTTTATATTGTGAGCACTATAATATCATGGTAATGACGAACACCAAGCTTAGGAGAGTCCACCCCCAAACACATCACCGAGATAATAGAAATTACTTGCTGATTGGTTGCATTGCAGGAGTAGCGGCAGGAGGAGTCGTGGCAGATTCTTCTTTGTGTGGGTCCTTGCCACCCACATGGGGGACCTTGGTGGCATTCAGGGCTCCTGGCTTCAGTCTGGCCAAGCCCTGGCTGGTGATAGTATTTAGGGAGTTGACCAGAGGATGGAAGATCTCTGTCTCTGCCTTTCAAATAAAATTAAAACAAATAATAAAATATTAAGAAAAGATATGCAAATCATTAAAACTTTTCACAATATTCCATGGTCTTTGTCCCTACTGTTATTTGAATTATTTATAGTTCTGTCACCATAAAGAATATTCCAGGAACTTTCAAAAAAATTAACTTACTCATTTTGAAAGGCAGAGTTACAGAGAAAGAGAGATCAATCTTCCATCTGCTGGTTTACTCCCTTGATGGCTACAGTGAAGCCAGGAGCCAGGAGCATCATCTAGGTCTCCCAGGTGGGCAGCAGGGGCCCAAACATTTGGACCATCCTCTGCTGCTTTTCCCAGGCACATTAGCAGGGAGCTGGATTGGAATTGGAGCAGCTGGGACACCAACTGGCACCCACATGGGATGTCAGCATTGCAGGTAAGGGCTTTACATGCAACACAACACAAGTCCCATGTCAGGGACATTCCTGAACATAGAGCATTCAACTTTGCTTATTTGTTGCATTCCTTTCCTTCACTCAATTCTCATGAGAGCTGAGACAAAAGATAAACATATTTCCTAAAAGTTTTGATGAATTTGCTAGAATACCCTCCAGAAATATACTAATGTGTACATCCTATTAGCAATCTGTAAAAATGCCCAATTTTCCTCACCCACATCAACTCTGTCAGTTATGCTTTTGAATTTTTGACAATCTTTTGAGTATAAAAATGGATTGCTTTTTAAAAGTAGATTTTTTTAGAGCATTTTTTTTCACAATAAAACTAGAGGGGTGGTATGGAGATTTCCCATATACCTCCTGCTTCCACATATGCATAGCCTTCCTGAATTGAAAGAAAAAGATTCAATTTCCCCTACTGTGTAATATCACAGATCACTTTTGTTATCTCACAAGGTGTGTAGGAATGTCTCCCTATAAGCAAACGAGCATTTCTGCAGTGGAGACCAACTAGATGATCCCTAACTCAGTTATGACACTACTTGGAGATGGCATCAGATCCATCCCACGGGTTGAGGCTCTGTCCCACAAGACTGCCCCCACTAGAAACCAGTTTTAAGGCTGGGCCATCAGAACTCCTGACCAAGTGATTACATAGGGTTTCCTTAGTTTCAATTAATTTGAGTGGTTCAAAAAACTCAGGAAAACACTGTATTTAGATTTACCAGTTTATTGTAAATGGTATTTTAAAGGATTCAAGTAAGCAGCCTGATGAAGAGAGAGAGACAGCCAGATGTGGAAGGATCCTGAGTGCAGGAGCTTCTATCCCTTTGGAGCTGGTGGGCTGTACCCGTTGATGTGTTATTAATATTTCAACAAGACTCCATGTTTTCTGCTGTCCAGAAGCTCTCTGGGCCTTTTCTTTGTGGGTTCTTGTGGGGGATTCATTAAATAAGCATAGTTGATTAAATCATGAGCCACTGGGCATCAACTCAACCTTCAGCTCCAACCCCCTCCTTGGAGTTGAGGGGTAGGTGGAAAGTCCCAATGCTCTAATAGTGCATTGGTCTTTCTGGTGACCAGCCCCCATTCTGATGCTACATGGGGAGTACCAGGCCTTTGTAAGATAATTTACGTGCAAAAAAGACACTACCATTTGGGAGAGTCTAAGGATATAAGGGGTTGTAAACCAGGAAACAGGGTCAAAGACTAAATTTTACAATATCACACTGCTCCGTTGTCAACATCCCTCACCAAAGTTGTACATTTGTTAGCAATTGATGAACCTGTATTGATATACCATCACCCAAAGATCATAGTTTGCATTAATGCTCACTTTTTTTTAAAGATTATTTATTTATTTGAAAGGCAGAGGCAGAGAGAGTCTTCCATGCGCTGGTTCACTCCCCAGATGGCTGCAATGGCCTGAGCTGTGCTGATCCAAAGCCAGGAGCCTCAAGCTTCTTCCAGGTCTCCCACGCAGGTGCAGGGGCCCAAAGACTTGCGCCGTCTTCTACTGCTTTCCCAGGCTGGATCGGAAGTGGAGCAACCAGGACTTGAACTAGCACTCACGCTGGAAGCCAGCACTGCAGGGGGTGGCTCTACCCGGTATGCCACAGTGCTGACCCCTAATGCTCATTCTTGATGTACATTTTATGGATTTGGACAAATATATGATAAAACCTCTTCACCATTATTACAGAGTATTTTCATTGCCCTAGAAATCCTGAGCTCCACTTTATTCGTCTTTCTCTGCCCAATAACCCTGATCTTTCTCTGTCCTATACTTTGGCCTATACTTTTGCCTTTTCTAAAATGTCATATATATGACATTTATATATACATTTATATATATATATAGCCTTTTTTTTTTTTTTTGACAGAGTTAGAGAGAGAGAGAAAGGTCTTCCTTTTCCGTTGGTTCACTCCCCAAATGGCCGCTATGGCTGGCGTGCTGTGGCCGGTATCCTGCGCCAATCCGAAGCCAGGAGCCAGGTGCTTCTTCTTGGTCTCCCATGTCGGGTGCAGGGCCCAAGCACTTGGGACATCCTCCACTGCCTTCCTGGGCCACAGCAGAGAGCTGGACTGGAGGAGGAGCAACTGGGACAGAATCCAGTGCCCCAACTGGGACTAGAACCCGGGGTGCCGGTGCCACAGGCAGAGGATTAGCCAAGTGAGCTGCAGCGCAGGCCTGTATATAGCCTTTTTTTTTTTTTTTTTTTTTTTTTTGACAGGCAGAGTGGACAGTGAGAGAGAGAGACAGAGAGAAAGGTCTTCCTGCGCCACTGGTTCACCCTCCAATGGCCACCACAGCCAGCGCACCACCCTGATCCGATGGCAGGAGCCAGGTACTTATCCTGGTCTCCCATGCGGGTGCAGGGCCCAAGCACTTGGGCCATCCTCCACTGCACTCCCGGGCCACAGCAGAGAGCTGGCCTGGAAGAGGGGCAACCGGGACTAGAACCTGGTGTGCCGACGCCGCCAGGCAGAGGATTAGCCTATTGAGCCAAGGCGCCAGCCTTGTATATAGCCTTTTAAGATTGGTTTCTTTACTTAGTAATACTTGTTTGCACTTATATTTCTACCATGTATTTTTGTGGCTTAATAGTCCGTTTCTTTTTAGCGCTATGTAATATTCCATTTTCTGGATGTACAACGGCAAAAGACATGCCTATTAAAGGACTATTATCCAAAATACAAAGAACTATTAAAACACAACAATAAGAAAGCAATGCAATTTTAAATGACCCAAAGACAGCAGAATGCCCATTAAGGAAGATGGTTAGATGGCAAGCATGCACATGAAAAGATAACCAAATCTTACATCTGCTGAGAAATGAAATTAAAACAAAAGATATGATGGAGGCTAGTGTTGCGGTGTAGCAGGGTAAGCCACAATTTGGGATTTATTTGCACATCCCAAATTGGAGTAGTTGGTTCAAGTTCTGGCTAATCTGTGTTTTTAATCTAGTATCCTGCTAATCTTCCTAGGAGGCAGCAGATGATGGTCCAAACAGTTGAGTTCCTGCCACTCATACGGGAGACCCAGTTGGAGTTCTTGGCTCCTTGCTTTGCCTGGACCACCCCCTGGATGTTGTGGGAATTTGTGGAACCAGCAGATGGAAATCTCTCTTTCTGTCTCTTCCTCTCTCTGTCATTCTGCCTTTCAAATAAATAAATAAATAAATCTTTTAAAAACAATAACAAAAATGAGATACCACTATATAAGTAGTAGTACATACCAAAATCCAGAATACTAACCCAATTGCTGACATGGGTACTAACCCAATTGCTGACATGGGTGTTGAACACCAGGAACTCTCATTCATTGCTGGTAGGGATGCAAAATGGTACAGCCACTTTGGAAGAGTTTGGCAGTTTCTTAGACAACTACACGTAGTCTTACCATGTGACCCAGTAATTGTCCTCCTTGGTATTTTCCCAAAGAATCTGAAGACTTACATCTGCACACAAACCTGCACACAAACATTCATGGCAGTTTATTCATAACTGCCAGAACTTAGAAGAAAGCAAGATATCCTTTAGTAGGTAAATGGATAAATAAACTAGGTCTGCTAGTTTATTTTTATTATTGGCGTGCTCAACACTGGCAGCCAATTCACCAGACAAGAAAATGGAAGCCAGGTAACAGTTTTATTCAAGAAGCCAGCAATCTTGGGGAAGAGTGAACTTCTTTAGTTCCAAAAGTCTTCTTCCTAATTTGCAGGTTAGCGAGAGAACTTTTAAAGGAATAAAGGGGAGATGGGGAGAGGGTATCAGATCGAGTTCCATGGTTGGTTCTGATGTCACGTGGTGGAGACTGGTATGAAACTTGGTTTGGGGTTGGTGTTCCTATATTCCATGCATCTCCCTGCAGTCAGCTCCTGAACTTCTTAAGCCTGCATCTGTTGAACGAACATTCTGATCAGCCAGGAGATCAGCAGCTGGCTTTTGTCAGTTCGCACGTAAAAAGGGAAAGAGGATGTACTTCACAGTTGCAGATGTCTCATTCCAAGCAGACTGTGAAAAGGAAAAGGAAGATGTATTCTGCGTGGTTACACATCCTTTTCTAAAGGGTGTTTTATAATTTTTAAAAATTTTTGTTTAATGACTTATTTGAAAAGCAGATTGAAAGAGAGAGCACCAGGGCTGGGACAGGCCAAAGCCAAGAACATGGAACTCCATCCAGGTCTCCCACATGGGTGACATGTGCATCTGAAGTACTTGGGCCATCATTTGCTTCTTTCCCAAATGCATTAGCAGAGAGTTGGATCAAAAGCAGAGTAGCTGGACTTTAACTGGCACTCTCAAATGGGGCCCCTGGTGTTTTATATTTTTATTACTGAATTGAGTATCTTTTTACATGTTAATTGGTCATTTATAATTCTGACTCTATGACAAGGCATGTTCACCTCTGCTAATTTTTCCACTAGAGTCTCCTTTTATTCTTAAAGAGCAGTGTCCTTGAAAATTTAATAGGGAATTGTATTTTTAAATTTTATTTTTAAATTTTAATTTTAGTTTGAGAGACAGTAAGAGACAGGCAGAGAAAGAGCTTCCATCTGCTGGTTCATTCTACAACATGCCTGCAACAGCCAGAGCTGGGGCAGATTGAAAGCAGAAATTTAGAACTCTGAGTCTCTCATGTGGGTAGCAGGTACCCTAGTTCTGCTGCCTCCCAAGTGCGTATCAGTAGGAACCTGGAATCAGAAAAGAAGCCAAGGCTCAAACCCAGATTTTCCGATGTGGAATGTGGGCATCTTAACTGCTGTGCTAAACACCTGCCCCTGTATACCAAAATTTCAAATGCACACGCCCTTTGAACAGGTGCACTGGTGCAATTGTTTATCCTAGAAATGAATTCACAAAAGAATGTACACATGGAATGCTGATGCCTACAGAATAGCTTGTACATCAACAGGGATATTAAATAAGTTAAGGTACACCCATAGAGTGGAATACTATTTAGCTGTTAAAGAATAAGTTGTGGGGGCTGGCGCTGTGGGGCAGCAGGTAAAAGCTGCAGCTTGCTCTGCCGGGATCCAGTGTCGTCACTGGTTCGAGTCCCGGCTACTCCACTTCCAATCCAGATCCCTGCTAATGCGCCTGGGAAAGCAGCAGAGGATGACCCAAGTGCTTAGGGAGACCCAGGTGAAGCTCCTGGTTCCTGGTTCCTGGTCTGGCCCAGTCTTGGCCATAGCGGCCATCTGGGGAGTGAACCAGTAGATGGAAGATCCGTCTCTCATCTCTCTGTGTTAACTCTGCCTTTCAAATAAATAAATGTTAAAAAAAAAAAAAAAAGAATAAGTTGTGTGGGCTGCAAAATTAAATTGTGATCCCGTTAAGCGTTTTAAAATACATATACACGAGTACTTTTTCACCAAACAAGAGGTTTATTAAATGCTATACACAAAACATTGACAGTAGTTAGCTCTGGGGAATGAGGCACTTTTGATTTTACCATCTTTGCACAAATTGATTCTTTACATATATAATCTGCATAAAATAATCTGTACAGTTTGCTGACCTGAACTATTGGTTGATCTTCCATTTCTGTGAAGACTCCCGAAGAGTGAGATTCGTCTTTGTGTTTGCTATTCTGTCGCGTTTTAACTGAAAGCCCCTCCGTAAACGTGTGACGCGCTCGGGCCGTGCAGGTGCCCCGGGCATCGCGCGTTGGCCCGAGGCCCGCGCGGGCGGGCGTGGGGCGGCGCTCCGCCCGACGCACCACAGAGAGGAGCGGCCGCGCTCCTAGAGAGGCGCGAGCCGCCGGAAGCTGCGCGTTGAGCGCCGGCACCGGGAGACCGGAGACCGTTGACTCTTAGCTCTGGGTGTGAGACGCGCTCTCGGCCCTTGTCCTCGTCGCAGGGAGCCCCGGGGAGACTCACCCGCCCAGCGAGACGCCGCGGCCCGGCCTCTGGGGAGACTGGCCGGCACCTCCCAGGCCTCCGCGTTCCGGTGGGAACGAGCCTTTCGCGAGGTCGGCTACATCTTTGTTGTGTACAGTTCCTAAACTTTAATGGTCTTTTAACCAGCAGTGAAACACACACGCTTATTGAGTGTCTACCGTGTGCCAGGCGCTATGCGAGGTGCAGGGGTGCAATCTTAGATACAGCCCGCCCCCTCCGCCCGAGGGTGCCCTGGCTACTGGCATCTCGGGTACATCTGCGTGCCTTCGTCAAGAAGTCCAGCAGTGTTTGTTGACTACCAGGTACGTGCCGGGCTCTTGGAGTATATAAGCTCCTGTGTTTAGGAGCATGTCGGGGTGAAGTGAAATGGAGAGAGGGGCGTGGCTTCAGGTTTGTATGGTACACCCCACCTCCACCTGCGTGGCCTAGAGACAGAATAGTTTTCCCGGTCTGTACTTAGTTGGCATTTGCCCTGGGCGTTGGGAGTTTACCATTGGAAGCACAGTGGTGGTGTAAAGGACAGAAGATGGAGACTTGTTGAGTAGCCAGCATGGCAGTGACTTTCGTGAAGGTAGAGGTGAATTTAAATGAGGACTTAGCTGTATGTCTGAAAATAATGAGGCACTCGAAAAGTTGAGATAAATTGAACCTGGGGGATTGAATTTCATCCAAGGAGAAGTATTCAGACGTTCTTTGAGAAGGTTGGTAGGAAAAGCAAACCTTGCAGTCATGCGACAGCAGTCAACATGGAAGCCTTCCTGCTTGACGTTTGCACTGACAGGTAATCAAGCAGTGAGTTCTGCGGCAGACACCAGCTGAGTGTGTGTCCTCTAATTCAAGTCGCATGTGACATGTTCTACCTGGAGAGAGTGACATCCCACGGGTTGAGGGCTCAGTCCCAGAGGACTGCGCCCCACTTCCTTATGTCAACCATAAGCACCAGGTGGTTTTTCTTGTGCTTCTGACGGACTGGCTGTAAACCGTGTTTCCATTACCCTCTCTTTGGATTTGGTTCATTTCCTAGGGTGGCTCACAGAACTCAGGAAAGCATACAGTGTTTACTGGTATATTGCAAAGGGTTTTCCCAGTGATGTGGATGAAGAGTTGCACAGGGCAAAGTATGCGAGAAGGGGCATGGGGCATCCACACCACTCTCCACATGTTCTGCTGTCCAGCAGGTCCCCAAATCCTCTCCTTGTGGGTTGAGGAGCCTTCATTACAGAGATTAAGTCATTGGCTGTTGGCCGTCAACTCAACCTTCAGCCCGTCTCCACTCCCCTGAGGCTGGAGCTGGAAGTCCTAGCACACTAATGTTGCCTCAGTCTGTCTGCTGACCACCCCCATCCTGAAGCTACTCAGGAGCTTCCAGCTGTCAGTTGATCCTAAGCATACAAAGAGACATCCTCACTTCCAAGATTTCACGGATTTGAGGACAAATACCAAGTAAATATTTCATAGTGTCACAGGAGGTGTGTTGAATGTTGTCAGAATTGTGCATTGAGAAACTGCTAATCCTGTGACCATATAGAGAAGGGACTCAAGCAGGTCTATCACACAGAAAATTATTAGTCCTAGTTAATTAAACTGATAGTAGGATAAAAGGAAAGAACAGCTGCAAGAGGCGTTCTGTAGAAAGACTTGACTGATTTTAATCCTAAATGCATGGAAGATGGCAGTGATATGAATAGAAATGGACAAATACATGGTGAAATACAGCCTTGAGGGGATTTCAGTTTGGGATCTATTGAAATTATAGTGCAGGAGAATCCTATAGCTGGAGGTATCCTGCTGGCATTTCAAGTTGTAGGTCAGGGAAGTAAAAGGTCAGTTAGAACCAGACAGAGATTTGGGTGGTTTTGGAAGAGATAGATATTGACATTGTGATAGAGATCACAAAAGGAGAAAGCAAGGAGAGAGAAAAAAGGAACTTGACGCGTGTGTACTGTTTCAGTTATCTTAAAGGAAACCCTAAATTTAGTGACTTAAAACAGTTTCTCAGGATCTGTAGGCTGAGTGGTCAATTGTACTGCTGGTCTCACTTGGGAGTCACTCATATACAAGGTTTTCAAAAAGAATGCAAATGCATATTATGAAAAAACTGTGCATAGGTAAAATTTTTGCAGCAAAATAAACTTAATTTTTATATTTTTAAAACATTTATTTATTTATTTGAAAGGCAGAGTTACAGAGAAGCAGAGAAAGAGAGAGACAGAAAAAGATAGTCAGATAGCCACAGTGGCCGGAGCTGAACTGATCCGAAGCCAGGAGCTAGGAGCTTCTTCCAGGTCTCCCACGTGGGTGCAGGGGCCCAAGGACTTGGGCCGTCTTCTCCTCTCCCCGGCCATAGCAGAGAGCTAGATTGGAAGTGGAGCAGCCAGGACTCGAACCACCACCCATATGGGATGCCAGCACTGCAGGTGGTGGCTTTACTCGCTATGCCACAGCGCCAGCCTCAATTTTATTTTGAAAGTCAGAGTTAAAAGAGGAAGAGAGAGAGATCTTCCATCCTCTGGTTCACTCCCCAAATGACTGTAGTGGCCCAGGCTGGCCAAGCCAACGCCAGGAGTCAGGAGCTTCATCTGGGTCTCCCATGTGGGTGACAGGTCCCAAACACTTGGGCCATTCTCTGCTGCCTTTCCCAGGCCATTAGCAGGGAGCTGGATTGGAAGTGGAACAGTTGGGACACAAACCCCCACCCATAAGGGATGCTGGCATTGTAGGTGGTGGCTTTCCCTGCTGTGCCACAATGCTGGTCTCTTGTCTTTTAATTTCATTTTTCCATTAACTTTTTGAAGTATCCTCATATAGCTGCATTCAGCTGGTGAATCATCTGGGCACTAGGCCTAGGTGGGCTTTAGCTTGGAAGCCTTGGTTTTGATCCACATGAACTCTCTATATGGCCAGCTTGGGCTTCCTCACAGCATGGCAGTGTGCCAAGAGCTATAGGGGCATTTTCTCTCTTTCAGTGTCATTTCTACCATTCTTCATCGGTTAAAACACATCAGGGAAGGAGAAATAGACTGCCTCCTACTGGAGGAGTGAGTGGAAAACTGATTGCAAAAGGTGTTTGGGGATAGGAGACTTAGAGTCTACCACACTAACATTTAAACTAAAATACTCAATATGCAGAGATAAGTGAACTTCAGGACTGTATTATCCATCTACAAAGACACCTATGTAGGTCTTCCCCAGTAAAGTGACCCCTTTCCTCTGCTGAAGTGTAAGGGGCTCAAGCATTCTTGTTAACCCTTCTTCCCTCATTCTGTATCCCTTTTCTCTGGGTTCAACCCCTTAGTGTTCAAGAAATACTTAGGGTTCGCTTCTCCAATAGTAGAGGCAAGCAGTCTCAGCTTTTGAGTGCGTCCTACAGTGGAGACAAAGATATAAGTTAAGTTGCACAGCTTTGAAGCTTTTGTAATGTACATGTTATTGATCAGTTCCTATGCCTTAGATGTGTATTTGGGAAAACACTTCTGGAAGCATAGACCTTAGATAAGTGAACCTTTTTCTAGCCTCTAAACTCAACATGTATGAAGCTTTGCCAGGCTCTGCTCCTGAAAATGAAGACGGCCTTGTGAAAGTGAAGGTGGAAGACCCCACCTGGGAGCAGGGGTACAGCTCCCAAGAGGGCAGCCCCCACACTCAGGAGCTTTGCCGCCTGCGTTTCCGGCAGTTCTGCTACCAGGAGGCACCTGGTCCCCGAGAAGCTATGGCACAGCTCCGAGAACTTTGCCGTCAGTGGTTGAGACCAGAGATGCACACGAAAGAGCAGATCCTGGAGCTGCTGGTGCTGGAGCAGTTCCTGACCATCCTGCCAGAGGAGCTGCGGGCCTGGATGCAGATGTATCCTCTGCAGAGTGGGGAGGAGGCAGTGACCGTGCTGGAGAGTCTTGCGACAGGACGTGCAGACGCAGGACAGCAGGTGGGAAGGGAGTGTGTGAGATGGTGTGGAAGAAGAAGTGGAAACGTGTGTCTGTTCATTTTTAACTTTTTATTTAGAAATAATTTATAACCTATAGAAGCATTGGGAGAACAATACAAATAACGTTCACTCCTCACCCAGATTCACCGGTTGTTAACATTTGTTTCATGCTGTGTTTGTTCCCCTGTCCTGCACATACTCTTTTCAAGTGTGTTGTCCCAGTAGTGTTGTTTGTAGAATGAATTATATTGATCCAGCATATAAGCTAGCATTACATGTTGCATTTAGTTGCATGAATTTGCTCAGTCTTTCTCTGTCATGACATTGATGTTTTTGAAAGATGTACTCCTGTTTTATTGGAGTTTTTGATTTGTTTTATATTTTCTCATGATTAGTTCTAGCCTGTACATTTTGGCTAGCATGTCATAGAGCTGATGTATTCTCCTTAGTTTAGCACTTCAGGAAGCAAACATAATGGTTTATCCCACTACTGGTGAGTTTACAGTGGAATCTGACAGATTTCCCCATGAGAAAATTACCATCTTCCCTAAGTAATTTGTGGGAGACCTTTTGAGACAGTGTACTTACCCATTCACACACTGGTTTATCATCCGTCTGTTTTTTGTGTCTCTTTTTCTGGGCAAGGATCCTTTGTCTGTCTTACCTGCCATGTTTGCTGCTGCATCCCCAGCACATAGAACAGGGCCTGGCTCTTTGTGGGTATACAGGCCATATTTGCTGAATAAATTAACGCCTGTATCCCACTTGTAGTGTCTTTAGAGGATTAAATGGAGTTTGTGGTAATCCCTATCTGCTGTTTAGTCCAGTTCCCTTTAGGATGCTTTTTCAAGGTGAATCGTTTGTCTCCAGGCCTCTTTCTACATTCAGGGACAAGACATGCACCTAGTGGTAACAGAATATCAAGGAACCTCTTTGGAGTGTCAGGGTCTCCAGCTGTTGCCTGAGGTAACCACCCTGAAGTGTGAACCTCCACAGCTTCCCCAAGAAGTGAGTGGTGAGTGCCAGAGGGTGAGTTTAGTGAGGACAGAGGGACCAAGCCACCAATAGCTGCATGTCTTCTTAGTAGAAACTTGTGTGTATCTTCAAGTTTTTGTTTCTGTTTTTATATGCATCGTGAAATGATTACCAGAAGTTGTCATTGTCTGTTACCTCACAGTTAACCTCATGAGTGTGTGTAAGAATATTACATAAGACCTCCCAGCAAATTTCAAATATGCAATATGTTGTTATTTGCTATAACCATATTATGTGTTACATCTGCAGAACTTACTACAATTTTGTACCCTTTGACCAACATCATTCTGTTTTCTGTCTCATCCTATATCTAAGCAGGCTTTTAAAATCTGGGAATTGTAAAATGTTAGACTTCTAAGGTCTTATTCATACCGTCAATTAATAGTTGTGCCAGCACCGTGGCTCACTAGGCTAATCCTCCGCCTAGCGGCGCCGGCACACCGGGTTCTAGTCCCAGTCGGGGCGCCGGATTCTTTCCCGGTTGCCCCTCTTCCAGGCCAGCTCTCTGCTGTGGCCAGGGAGTGCAGTGGAGGATGGCCCAAGTGCTTGGGCCCTGCACCCCATGGGAGACCAGGAGAAGTACCTGGCTCCTGCCATTGGATCAGCGCGGTGCGCTGGCCGCAGCGCGCCGGCCGTGGCGGCCATTGGAGGGTGAACCAACAGCAAAGGAAGACCTTGCTCTTTGTCTCTCTCTCTCTCTCTCTCACTGTCCACTCTGCCTGTCCAAAAAAGAAAAGAAATTAGTAGTTGTGAAAACTGTACAGAAGAGAATTTAAATGACTTGTCTGGTGTCAACAGAGCCAAATCTACCTCTTGAATTTTAATCTCCTAACATTTGACCAAAACTTTCTCTACCACATGTCTCTATTCTACAGTTCTAATTATACTCTACCAAAAAACAGAGTGGCTCAAGCATAGGCTGGAATGGATATTGTGTTATACTGTACTACTCCACAGGAAGCACTCATTTCCCCAGCTGTTAGTAGAGTCGGGCAGAGGCTGTGGCTCTTGGTCACACCCCTCTGTGGGAATTGCTCTCAGTAGATTGGCTGCTGCTCCCAGACGTCCTACATCTGCTTTGCCTTGTCTCTGCTCCCTGTCTTTCCATTCTGTGTTATCTGCTTGCTCTTAGCTTTTTTACCTTTCTTCCCCTCTTTATTTAATCTTGATTGTTTAGTTTCTCTTTATGTATGTGAAAATGCATCCACTTACTACGAGTTTATAAACTCCACTCCGTTTTGTGGGTGGGACTTTATAAAGTTGTAGAATTTCAGGCCCCTGACACAGTGAAAATAGCTGCGGTGCTCTATTTGAGACAGTAAGGTCCACATCTCAGTTTGGATATTTAGCAAATGTGAGACTCGGGGTGGGCAACAAAGGGTACTCCTAAAGGTCATCTTGTCTCACTTAGGACTCTTGTCTCCTTGCTCTCCAGGGTTTGCTCCTCAGGGACCAGCCATTCTCCAGGAAGAAAGCTCCAGAGACAAGACAGCAGTGCCTGAGCTAAACCCATCCAGGTTCCAGGTGAGCAGAGTGCCCAGGCTTGTGGAAACCTCAGTAGCAGCCCTCCTCCTAACTGGTTCTTTGCTCTTCTGTCGGCTCACGCTCCTTACCCCGAAAACATTTCAGGTGGCACAGTGCATCTGCTTTCACTGTGTCACGGAGTGTCACAGATCGTGTGTATGTCATCCCAGGGCTTTTGTTGATTACATGCTTTTACCTCGCTTCATACCATGCTTAGAGGGTGCATCCAGACCTCAAGGTATGGCAGGCAAGGGTGGAGTGAGGCCCCTGGTTTCCAAAATTACCTCCTCTGATTTGATGACAAGTGATATTTTATCTTTAGGGGTCTCTGGTTTCTCTCTCTAGCTTAAGAAGCAGGACATTTTCTCACATTGCTTTATACTGTCAGTGGTCAGCACATATCTAACTAATTCACCCCAGAATTATGTATTTCAAAATGAAAATTCTTGGACATGATAATACCTGAGCAAATAACAAAGTAATTAGATGTTTACCCTAATATATAAACAGTAAATCTAAATTAAGGAGGAATAAAAGAATCAGAAGTCTCCAAAAATTGAAGGGCCCTGGTATAGGTGAACAGTAGAATGAAATTAGTATTGAGGGGCCAGTGCTGTGATGTAGAGGATAAAGCCTTTGCCTGCAGTGCCAGGATCTCATTTGGGCACCAGTTCGAGTCCCGCCTGCTCTACTTCTGATCCAACTCCCTGCCAATGTGCCTGGAAAAGCAGTGGAGGATGGCCCAAGTGCTTGGGCCCCTGCACCCACATGGGAGACCTGAAAGAAGCTCCTGGCTTCTGGCTTCAGACTGTGGCCATTTGGGGAGTGAACTAGCAGATGGAAGACCTCTCTCCTCTCTCTCTGTATCTCTGTTTTCAAATACATAAAATTCAAAAATATTTTTTTAAAAAGAAAAAATTAATTTTGAATCAGGTAATTAAAGACAAGAAAGAGAAAGAGAGAGAGAGAGAACGAAAGAAAGAACCTTGAGATAGGGGTAAGATGTGGCTTGAATTATGTCTCCTACAAGAGGTGTTGAAGTCCTAATCCCATGAACCTGTGAATATGACCTGATTTGGAAATAGACTCTTTTTTTTTTTTTTTTTTTTTTTTTTGACAGAGTGGACAGTGAGAGAGAGAGAGAAAGGTCTTCCTTTGCCGTTGCTTCACCCTCCAATGGCCACCACAGCCGGCATGCTGCTGCCGGCGCACCATGCTGATCCAAAGGCAGGAGCCAGGTGCTTCTCCTGGTCTCCCATGCGGGTGCTGGGCCCAAGCACCTGGGCCATCCTCCACTGCACTCCCTGGCCACAGCAGAGAGCTGGCCTGGGGCAACCGGGACAGAATCCAGCGCCCTGACTGGGACTAGAACCCAGGGTGCCGGCGCCATAGGCGGAGGATTAGCTTATTGAGTCACGGCGCTGGCCTGGAAATAGGCTCTTTGTAGACGTAATCAATGGGGTTATACTGGATACTAAATCCAGTGACTAGTGTCCTTATAAGAAGGCCATCCAAAGAGGGAAAATGCCATGTGAGGACAGAGGCAGAGGTTGTGTGGTCCATCTACAGGCTCAGGGAACACCACGCATTGCCAGCAACCATCAGAAGCTAGGAGGGGCCAGAGAAGCCCTCCCTTAGAGCTGTCAGAGACAGCATGGCCCTGCTGATGCCTTGATTTCAGACCTAGAGTCTCTACATTTCTGTCACTTTGTTAGGAGAGCCCAAGGACACCAATATAAATATGTTGAGGCCAATGAATTGACAAAGGGAAAAGATTTAAAGGAGGTGGGCTTTTTAGTATCAGAATAATTCTGTACTTTGACTTAGGACTGGTGGAGTGATAAGGAAAAGAAAACACATCTTCTGTCTTAAGCCCTCCCCCACTCCCGGTAGCAAAACAGACATTCAATCTGTAAAATTCTGGGCACTGTGGCCCTGGCAGACAACAGGGGAGAGGATAAATGCTGGAAAATTGAGCAGAAAGTCAGGAAAGTAATAAAAAGCCAAGAGAGGCCGGCGCCACGGCTCAATAGGCTAATCCTCCACCTGCAGCGCTGGCACACCGGGTTCTAGTCCCAGTTGGGGTGCCGGATTCTGTCCCGGTTGCTCCTCTTCCAGGCCAGCTCTCTGCTGTGGCCCAGGAGTGCAGTGGAGGATGGCCCACCTTGGGCCCTGCACCCGCAAGGGAGACCAGGAGGAGGCACCTGGCTCCTGGCTTCAGATCAGCGTAATGCGCCTGCCATAGCGGCCACTTGTGGGGTGAACCAACATAAAAAGGAAGACCTTTCTCTCTGTCTCTCTCTCTCACTGTCTAACTCTGCCTGTCAAAGAATAAAAAAATTAAAAAATAAAAAGCCAAGAGATAGGTCTTGGGAACAGAGTCAGATAAAGGTAGAAAACCATAGATGCCGCCCAAATAAATATTTCTAACCTAGATATCTTATGACTGCTTTTGAAATATTTTAAAATGATGTTTATTAATGAGACTCAGTGAGAGCTCTGCATTTATATCAAGTTCCAAGTCTCAGAACTTCTCAATTATATATTTGTAATCAGTTCAGGTACATTTCTAGTAACTACAATATTGTGTGTTTTTTTTTTTAGAGTTTTTATTTATTTATTTGAGAGGTAGAGTTACAGACAGTGAGAGAGAGAAACAGAGAAAAAGCTCTTCAGTCCATTGGTTCACTCCCCAGGGGCCACAATGGTTGGAGCTGCACCAATCTGAAGCCAGGAACCAGGTGCTTCTTCCCATCTCCCACACGGGTTCAGGGGCCCAAGGACTTGGGCCATCTTCTGCTGCTTTCCCAGGCCACAGCAGAGAGCTGGACTGGAAGAGGAGCAGCCGGGACTAGAACCGGTGCCCATATGGGATGCCAGCACTGCAGGTGGAGGATTAACCTACTGTGCCACAGTGCTGACACTGAAATGCCATATGGGGCGCCAGTTCCTATCCTGGCTACTCCTCTTTAGAACCAGCTCTCTGCTTGTGGCCTAGGAAAGCAGTGGAAGATGGCCCAAGTGTTTGCGCCCCTGCACCTACGAGGAAGATCTGGTAGAAGCTCCTGGCTCCTGACTTCGGATTCGTCCAGCTCCAGCCATTGTAGCCATCTGGAGAGTGGATGGAAGATCCCTCTCTCTCTCTCTCTCTCTCTCTCTCTCTCTCTCTCTCTGCCTCTGCCTCTCTAACTCTACCTCTGAAATAAATAGATAAAATCTTTAAAAAAAAAAAAAAAAGTGAGTAGAACACATTAAATGAATCAAGTTTGGTGATGTCTTTATTCCATGTAAGCCTCCTTCACTGTAACATGATTAAATTACTTGTTCCCCAGTTTTCTGCTGTAAAAAAATTTCAAGATTCTTAGAATTAAGTGTGTCTACTTGATATTGATTATGGGTTTATTCAGCAGTACTCCTAGAAGTCCTGCAGGATGCAGGACAGTGTGCTGTAGCGTGGGACCATGGGACAGGGGACCATGGCAGGCTGTCTAGCATTTCTGGCCTCACCCTCTGAATGGCACTGGCATGAAGTGGTGATGGGGCATCATTGCTATACCCAGAAAGGTTCCCGCAGAATTCCTACAGAATACACTGAGGGCACCATTGGGCTGCCTTGTGGTGTTCAGCACAGTGAAAGTTAGGAGACCATTGTTTGCCTTTTAGATGTTGGTGAAGACCGAGGGCGAGGGAAGTCCAGCTTTTGCCCCAGAGCGGTGGTCACATCTGGCTCTGGCGAAGAGGAACCCGCGTGAGAACTCGGCCCAGAAGATGACCTGCGTCAGTCTGATGAGTAAGGACGGGCTCTGGCTGCTCCCCTGTGCTTGCTGTCCTTCTCCCATCACTGACGTGGCCCACGCTTCCCGCAGACCCTCACCCTTCCTTTCCTCTGCTCTCTACTCCTGGACTTGGCTCAGCCTTTGCCACCTGGTGTCCCTCCCAATCACGTTTCCTTCTGTAGTGGAACCACCCTGCTTACTATGAACGTCTCTGAGCCTCCTTCCCCAAGTCCCACAGTGATTCCTCCTCGGCTTCCTTTTTACTTCGCTATCGAGGGGTCCGTATAACTTGTCGTTTTCCGATATCCTTTTACATGTGGGAAGCCCATGGATGCTTCTGCCTGTCCCTTCACCACAGGGAAGTTCTCTTCCCTGAGAGCAGTTTTGGCCATGTTTAATTTTCCTTGAATGTGCTGTGCCCCGCTGGGCCCCCTCCCCAGCAGGACTTTGGTGCCCTAAATGATTTTTCTTATTTCCCTCCCATACTCTACCTTATTTTGTAGGCTTCCTGAAACCATGACCCCTGAGATACCTGTCAATGTTTTGTTTTAATTTGACGTATCTATTCCTTACCCTGGAGGGTTTTTTCCTAAATTCGTGTAACAAGTGACATTTCAATCACTAATGTACTATTACAGATGAAGAAATTGTGACTAAAGATGGATTGACTAATGTAGAGCAAGAAACTTCCAAAGAAATGGAACAGGGTGGAAAGACTTCAGCAGAACCCAACAGGTGAGTGTTCTGGCTCTGGTAGATCAAATCATAGATCTAAGACTGAATTGGAATGAAACAAAAGAAACTAATCAGTGAAAAGCCTGCTTCCCCGAAGAGTACAGGACAGATGCCACCATCACTTCTGTGATCAAGACGGATGCCAAGAGGGTGACCTGTCAATATACGTAATTGTACAAAACCTTCAAGGTAGCACACACTTGGCTCCAAGAACCCTGACCTGACCCAGTCTGTCCTGCTTGATAATTCTTCCTCGGGCTTCCTTATGCTTTCATGGAGCTGTAGATAAACAAACATAAAGAGAATTTAGATGGGAGGGAATATCTACAAGCGAGGCTGCCATGACAGTTAAGAAAGAAATACTAGAACAAAGAGGGTGTTTTCAACCTCTGTTAGGAGAGCTGAACAAGAGATGGATCAAAAGGAAAGTCACTCTGATAAAGAAGGAAAATTAATGATAGGAGCAGGTGTTTCATGAATGTTAGTTGTGGGAATGAGTCAGTGTAATACATACTCCTAAAACTGAAAGGTAGGGAGCAAATCCCAGGCAGAGGGTTGGCTTCTGGTGAGGCCATTAACTCCTTAGAGACTTGAGAAAAAAGGAGAAAGCAAACAGGTGGGATGCTTAGGCTAAGGAACAGGGCAGTACTGATGTTCAGTCATTTTAAGGAAGCAGGGAACTAACTCTCAGCTAAAGTTGAAATGACTTGAAGCTTAAGAGATGTAAAATTTTCATTAAGCTAGTGAGGACTGAGCCACGCTGCACTAAAAAGAAATCTAATATTCAGGGGCTTGGTGCAGAGTTATTACTGGAGAATAGGAGTGTGCTACTGTGCCTGTCATGTGCATGCAGCATCAGTAACTGAAGCCGTGGCTCACGATGTCTGTAACAGTCTGAAGGTGAGCTGTTCCACATTTAGTGCAGCAGCTTAACCATGATGTCGAAGCTGCAGCCTACTCAGATCTGCACCTCCCTGCTCGTCTCCCACCCTACTTCCTTGCCTCACTCGTTTTCCCATTTCCCTCACCAGATTGGGCTTAATGCACTTGTAGCTCTGAGAGTCTAGAGTTCTGCTTGGAAAGGCTCTGTGCCATGACAGAATTTAAAGACTGCTGCCAAAGTGGAGAGTGGCAGGGGCCTCTGGGATGAATGTGTTGAAAGCGATTTGCAGGTAGACACTGAAGACACCCAGAACAGTAAATGCATTAGTAAATACATACATGTAGTGCGAGTTAAATTAAAACACACTCTTCTTACAACTTCTTCCCCCTTTTGTCTTCTAAAAGTAGACTAGTTTACAGATAAGACACTAGTAAATGCAAATAGGAATTCACTATTAATTAAACCTTTTTTTTTTTTTTTTTTTTTGACAGGCAGAGTAGACAGTGAGAGAGAGAGACAGAGAGAAAGGTCTTCCTTTGCCGTTGGTTCACCCTCCTGTGGCCGCTGTGGCCCGTGCACTGCAGCCGGCGCACCGCGCTGATCCAAAGGCAGGAGCCAGGTGCTTCTCCTGGCCTCCCATGGGGTGCAGGGCCCAAGCACCTGGGCCATCCTCCACTGCACTCCCAGGCCACAGCAGAGAGCTGGCCTGGAAGAGGGGCAACCAGGACAGAATCCCCCGACCGGGACTAGAACCTGGGGTGCCGGCGCTGTAGGCGGAGGATTAGCCTATTGAGCCATGGCACCAGCCAAAAAAAACTCTAAAAATTTAATTTACTTCCTTGAAAACCCCATACAAATCCATTAATTTGCAATGAATTTGAGTTCCTTTTTTGTTTTGTTTTGTTTTTCCCAAGAGAATTATGTCACCAGATGACTGTAGAGCTAGGAGAGGCTAATTCCTCCTGTGTTCACAAATTTTCTGAGAGGTGTGAGGAGACCTGGTAAATTACCACCTCCTTCCTTGTCCAAGTTCAAGAACAATTGACAGGGACATGGGAGTACAGCAGATGCTTCTGGAAGCCTCAACTTTACCACTGACAGAAGGCAGACTGGAGGAAATGGCTCAGAGACAGAGCTAAACAGGCTTGCACTAGCAGAGAAGGAGTAGAGCGGGTGTCTTCCTGAACAGGGCAGAAAGGAAAGTGGAATGTCTGTAGAGGGAGGGGCTGCACAAAGGATGTCAGATTTGCTTCTCCTGGAATTCACGGTTAGTTATGACCTGAGGAGTGAGTGAGAGGTGGGAGAGGCCAGAAAATTTAATTCTACCTGAAATCCTCCCTACAGAATTCTGAGCAGTGACAAGCAGCCAACCCCCCAACCTTCTGTCTGTCCTGCCCTGGGTTACAAAAGATTTCTGCTTCAGATTTGTCATGTGTGAGAGGCTGAGACGAGGACTTGGTAGCATGTACTCTTTTTACTTTCCCAGAGATTGCGCGCCTCACATCCCTGGTAGTACTGCTGTTCCCACTGAAAGGACGGTCTCCCATTTGAATACGCTGAAGGCCCGTCTCCCACGGGATTCGTGGGCCCGGATGCACATCGCATCCTTGCAGTATGCCGCAGGAGACATTACCCGGAAAGGGAGAAAAAAGGACAAAGCTCGAGTGAGTGAATTGCTCCAAGGACTCGCGTTTTCTGATGACTCAGATGTGGAGGAAGATAACGAGTCCGAGACCCAGCCTGCTCAGAAGAAGCCGAAGGTGTCTGGTGTCCCGGAGAGGAACTGGACTAAACGAGACATTCAGCCCAACTTTCCAAGCTGGTCGGCATTGGATTCTGGACTTTTAAATCTCAAGAGTGAAAAGTTGAACCCAGTAGAGCTCTTTGAGTTATTTTTTGATGATGAAACATTCAATTTGATTGTCAATGAAACCAATAATTATGCTTCTCAAAAAAATGTCAACTTGGAAGTCACAGTTCAGGAAATGAGGTGTGTGTTTGGTGTCCTGCTTTGGAGTGGATTTGTAAGGCGTCCCAGGAGGGAAATGTATTGGGAAGTCTCTGATGCTGATCAGAACCTGGTCAGAAATGCCATTAGAAGGGATAGATTTGAATTGATTTTCTCATACTTGCATTTTGCAGATAACAGCCACCTAGATCAAAAGGATAAGTTTTCAAAATTGAGGCCTCTCATAAAGCAAATGAATAAAAATTTCCTCTTGTATGCTCCCCTAGAAGAATATTACAGCTTTGATAAATCAATGTGTGAATGCTTTGATAGTGACCAATTCCTGAACGGAAAGCCTATTAGAATCGGCTATAAAATTTGGTGTGGCACAACCACACAGGGTTATCTGGTTTGGTTTGAGCCCTATCAAGAAGAATCAACCATGGAGGCAGATAAGGATCTTGATCTTGGATTAGGTGGAAATCTAGTGATGAATTTTGCTGATGTCCTTTTAGAGAGAGGTCAGTATCCCTATCACCTGTGTTTTGATAGCTTCTTTACAAGTGTCAAATTAGTGTCAGCTTTGAAGAAAAAGGGCGTGAAGGCAACAGGAACAATACGTGAGAATAGGACTGAAAAATGTCCACTGATGAACTCAGAACATATGAGAAAAATGAAGAAGGGGCATTTTGATTTTCGAGTGGAAGAAAATGATGAGATAATTTTGTGCCGTTGGCATGGCGATGACATTATCAGTCTGTGCTCCAATGCTGTAGGCATAGAACCAGTCAGTGAGATAAGTTGTTTTGCTGACGATCAAGAGATCCCTCAGGTAAGTCAACCGTCCATTGTGAAATTGTTTGATGAATGCAGGAAAGGTGTAGCTAAAATGGATCAAATTATTTCCAAATATAGGGTAAGAATAAGGAGCAAGAAGTGGTACTCAATTTTGGTGAGCTACATGATTGATGTAGCTGTGAACAATGCATGGCAGTTACACAGAGCCTGCAACCCAGGTGCCTCTCTAGACCTACTGGATTTTCGAAGATGCATTGCCCATTTCTACTTGGGACATGATACTAATCTGCCAGATTAAGGCAAATCAAATGGAAGTAGAATGGACCAAAAGACACAGAAAATTCTAACTACACATTAGATTGTATCCTACCAAAGCAAATTTGATGTATATAATGAAACTAAGTAATTAAGTAGTATTTTTAAATCAGATGTTTATATAGAATTTCAAATACTATTATAAAAATTACCTGTGAAAATGTTGACCTCCAGTGGTACCTTTCTCTGTCTAATTTTGTGTCAGGTGTGGGAAATCACTTATTTGCTGGATTATTTTGTGCAGTTAAAAAGAATGAAATCCTGCCTCTTTAAAAACATTTTCTTTAGAGAATGCCAATTTAAAAATGCAGGCAATGTCAGTACCATAGAATGGCACTAAATCCACAGTCCAAAATAGAAGTAGAGCCCATAAGTAGTGATGATCTAAATAAAACATGGGTAATAAGAGGCTGAAGACTGCAGCATTGGTGAGAAAACTGGCTCAGGTTGTGTGTAGGTGAGGAGGGCTGCCTGGATGTTCAGAGAGGAGAGAACCCTGAAGAAAAGTCCAAAGGTAGATCAATGCCTGTGATATGCAAAGTGGGTCCTGCTCCAACTGTGAGTTAGCAGAAGTCAAAAAAGGGAGCACACAGTGCAACAGAGTAACAGGAGAGTCATGAGAAGGAAAGATAAAAGAGTTAAGTTGACATCATACTCCTGAGGAAACTACCAAAGGAGATTAATGAATGGGTCTGGAATTAGTGTCACCAGTGATAGATAATCCAATGAGAAATGGAAAAGGCAAACCGTAGGAACTGTGACTTCCTCGTCTGGTATTAGTCCACAGGGTAAGGAGAAGACTGATTCCCTTATTCTGTGGGTTACAATCATAGTAACTTCATTTACTTTCAAGTCCTACCATTTATAGTCCCATTCCTGGCAGAAAGGCAAGTGATGAGGCTTGAATTCTTGACATGCATAGTTGTGGTGGAAGTGTAAGCCATGTGTAAACAGAGACAAATTCACAGATTCAACACAAGATTCTCGAAAATAGAAGTTCATTATTTTCTGTAATTGGTCTGGTTAGTTTCTGCTTTGAAGTGATGAAGTGTCTGGTTTATGTAAGAGCCTACCTACAAAAGTCACATTGCAGAAGAGGTCAACACATTTATTATTTTTTTAAGATTTATTTATTTGAAAGTCAGTTACAAAGAGAGAGAGAAGGAGAGAGAGAGAGAGAGAGAGGTCTATCTGCTGGTTCACTCCCCAGTTGGCTGCAACTGACAGAACTGTGCCAATCTGAAGCCAGGAACCAGGTGCTTCCTCTGGGTCTTCCCATGTGGGCGCAGGGGCCCAAGGATTTGGGCCATTTCCTACTGCTTTCCCAGGCCATAGCAGAGAGCTGGATTGAAAGTGGAGCAGCTGGGACTCGAACTGGCGCCCCTATGGTGGCACAGCAGGTGGCAGCTTTACCCGCTATGCCACAGCGCCGGCCCCGTCATCACCTTTAGCTTAGGAATGGACATATCAAAGTTCCCTGTAGCTGTTTGCCTAAAGAGTGATCTGTTTACTCTGCCCCAGCATTGTACTGAACACTGGTGGTGCTTTTGTCCACACCACTTTCATGGTGCCTACACACTGCTGCCTTGCATCGTAATTTTGTTCAGGATGTGTCCTTTACTAGACAGTAAGCTTCCAGGAAATCTCTTGCAACCCGGACTGGACCTGAAATCACTCAGGATACTACGTAAACCTTGCAACTTGGTGTGAAATTTTAGCTATACAAATAAATCACTATTTTTAAGTACTTCAGAACAGTACTTTTCCCCTGGATGGGGATGGGGAGTGGAAATGCAGAATATGGGATGAGAGATGAAGACAAACTGTGATGTAAGATTTTATTAGGTCAGTGTACACAGTAGAAGAGGCCTGTCAGAAGCAGCATTTAGCCTAGCAGTTACGACACCTGCATTAATTCCTGACTCCAGCCTCTGTCAATACAGACCCTGGGAGGCAGCAGCGATGCCTCAAGAAATTGGGTTCCTCCTGCCTTGTGGGCGACCAGGATTGTACTTCTGGCTCAGGCTTCAGCTCCAGCCCCAGCTACTGTTGGCCTTTGGCAGGTGAACCAGTGGCTGGAGCTTTCTTCCACCTCTCAAAAACAAAACAAAACCAAATAGGCTAATCCTCTGCCTGCGGCGCCGGCACACCAGGTTCTAGTCCCAGTTCGGGGGCCGGATTCTGTCCCGGTTGCCCCTCTTCCAGGCCAGCTCTCTGCTGTGGCCAGGGAGACCAGGAGAAACACCTGGCTCCTGGCTTCGGATCAGCGCGGTGCGCCGGCCGCAGCAGCCATTGGGGGGCGAACCAATGGTAAAGGAAGACCTTTCTGTCTCTCTCTCTCACTGTCCACTCTGCCTGTCAAAACAAACAAACAAACAAAACCAAGTGACCCTAACACCCTTCAGTAATCTGGCTAGTTCCTAGGGACTCTTCCAACTAACTCTAGATTTTGCATGATCGGATTTCCCTGAATTCTCATATTCAGGGATCTGATTTTAGGGATTCCCCACAGTAAGGGACCTAGTTAGGAATTCTATAATTACCGATAACTGGGTGCAGACATTAACAGTCTAGTTTGCCTTCGTGCCTGAGTGAATCTTTCCCCCATTTTATGAGTGTCTTTACTGTGAGTCCATTTCTTTACCCTTCAGTATAGACATGGAACTTCTTGTCCACCTGGAGTTTCTGATACTGGAAGAGGTCAGAAGGAAGATAGTGCTGATAAGGTTTCTTTCCAAGATATATTTACCAGAGTGATCAGGTTCACTAAATTTCTGGCAATGCTGAATATAAAAGGAATTTTGTCTTCCAAGGGAGGGCATGTGTCAGTGGCAATACTTCGTACCTGTATGACACAGCAAGCTTGGTAACATCTGACTGTGCTAACAGTAAAATAGGGGTTTTGACCAGTTATAAATGGTTTGCACTCCTGGTATAGCAATTAAGCTCTTTATTTGTTTCACTTGTTCATGCTTTGCTTGCTGGCTTTTCTACCGCACTACCAATTGGTTTTTTTCTTTTTCCTCAACTTTTTTTTTTTTTTTTTTTTTTTTTTTTTGGATTGGTTTTCTTATGCTTAGGAAGTGAGCCCTGAGTCAAGGCGTTGTCAGACTCCTCACATTGATAGGGCCTCTTGCTGGACGTGGCAAGAACTTAGTTTTCCAGGTCTCCTCGAATTCAGGGCCTCTCCTCCCTGGTCACTCCACGGTACTGGGGAGTCTTCTAGCACGGTGCAGACGCTCAGGTGTTGCACAAGGTCACGCTGGTCCTCTGGAGGGAGAAGTTGCCGTGTGGTGATTTACTGTGCGGATGCTGGAAGCCAGGTGAGCTTGGACTGGAGGCCCAACCACCTGCCACGCGTGGGAAGGCTGCTCATACGTGCTTATACGTGTGTGCGCTAAGTTTGGGCCAGGGTGTAAGGCCCGGTCTAAGCGCCCTTAGTGAAGTTCGGGAGGGGGCGCTGCTGCCACAGGCCGGCACGGTTGCAGGGTTAGGTTGGAGGCTGCTCCCACACTTGCTTTCCCTCCCACACTTGTGGGGCTTTTCCCTGGTGTGGATCGTCGGGTTTCAGAGGTCTTGGGACTGGCTAAAGCCCTTCCTATACTCAGCACACAAGATCTTTTTCTCTGGTGGGTTCCTCTCGCTAGTTTTCCCACTTACCACTTCTGCCACCTTTAAAACCCTGAAAAACTTGTATTCAAGTTGGCCTGCACAGGATTGTTCTAGGGGTTTTTCACTTCTTCAGGTGCTTCCTGTTCTAAGGCGGGCTCCTTGTTCTAGCTCGTTGACTCCATATTTTTCAACCTTGAGTTGTTGATCTGAAATACAAAAGAAGTCTGTCAACCCTTCCCTATCCTGGGGGAGGCCAGGAGCAATAAAGTGCAATAAAAGCTGACTGTTGGTAAAAGCTTGCAGGGGATTCCTGCTGTATGCTGAAGACCCAGCAGGAAGGGGCTGAACCAGGCAAGGGGGTTTGGTAATTGTTCGGTCTGGAAGGACAGGACCACCCCACGGGCATCGACCGTCATGAAGAGTATACCAGCATGGCCTGGGGACTTGGTGGCTGTGGAAAAGGAATTACATAGAATTTGGTATTTAATGTTAATATAAAGAATGCTGTAGTCTAAGTTTGGCCTGCTAGAGGAATATTATTGGTGGTCTGCTGTTTAAGGAGAGGCACCAACCAGAAGTAACCAATAGTTGTAGCAGGCAAAAAAGAATGAAGCTGAAGACTCTATTGGACATAATGAAGGGAGATTGCTGGGAGGTAAGGACTGAGGCAAGTTAATTAGATGGGCTGGAGAATCCCAGGAGGACCTCAACCAGAGCAGCCCAGGAAATGAAGAGTCGGTCTACATTAAGAACAGACGACACAGCAGATTGTATTCCTACCAACTCAGTAAGTTGCAAGAGGATTTCATAAGGTAACCTAATGAGCAAGCTGCATAGCACTACTAAGGGACTTCTAGATATTTCTGAGACAGCACAAGTGGTCAGCTTTGATTCCTCTGTCAAAGCATTGGCCTGGATGGACCATGCGTGTGATCGTGTATTGTAACCAGACGTGGGCAGTGGGGATTTGTGGTAAAAGAAGACAGAAAATATTCTGCCAAAGCTCAATGCTGAGTCATGGGGAGCCACGATTTTTGTTTTTTAAATATTTATTTATTTATTTGAAAAGCAGAGTTAACAGAGAGGCAGAGGCAGAAAGAGAGAGAGAGAGAGAGATTCCATCTGCTGGTTCACTCCCTAAATGGCCGCAATGGCCGGAGCTTGGCCAATCTGAAGCTTGTAGCCAGGAGCCAGGAGCTTCTTCTGGGTGGGGAGCCAGGATTCTGATAGAACCCGTACTTTCATTCTTTGTCTAAGGCTGTGAAGCCATCAAAAGTTTGACTCTCTGATTCCTGAACACTGGCATGTACTTGTTTGTATGAAATCTAGATTTTAACATTTAGGAATCATTTAACTGTCATGTTGACTGCTAAGTGTTATCTGGATACCCATGCTTAAATGAGGTACATTAAATGCTTCCCTTTAATACAGATGCAGGACAAATAGTCACTAAAGTGCAACCAGAAAATCACAAGTTGCTGCAATCAAATAAATATTAAGTCTAGGAGACAAAAAGGCATTAAAACATATGAGTAGGGCTTGATGATGAGTTTTTATTCATCTACATTCATCTCGGCTTAAGATAGCCCAATTGTTCGGGGTGGGGTGCTAGTTTGTTGAGAGATAAATGGTGCCTAAAAGTCTCAACTAGGGTAAGGAGAGACATCAGAGAAAGGTAGGTCAAACAGAGGCATTTATGATAATTGGGACTTTGAGGTGTAGATCAGAACGTCTGGAGCGAAATCAAAGTTTGCTGAGAAGGTAGAATATTCAGGTGGGATCTAGGATTTGTCAACACAGACTGAGATACCCGACAGCTCACATCTTTCTTGTGGGCCAGAGGACTGGGAGTTGTCGCTCCCCCTCTTCGTGGAGGAACGACACAGGACCCTGCGCTGTTCTTTCGTCTGCTCGGCCCTCCCCGGGTTTGCTGCTGGTTCTTCCCGGGCTGGCTACTATCCCTTCCACCTCCGTGGAAGGGCAGTTCCCCCTGGCCGCATTCCCCACTTCCGCAGGGGAGCGGCACACCGCCGGCCGGCTTTCTCGGGGGCTGCACGGGTTCCCTTAGATGTTCCCCATAGATGTTCCAGGTGCGTGCCGTCTCTCTCCTCCTTTATAGTCCTCTTCCGCCAATCCCAACTCGGCTGAGTACGCTGCTCTCCAATCAGGAGCAAGTCCTACAGTTAATTGGTTGAACTGGAGGCAGCTGTGCGGAAGCTGTTTACTTCTCTCCCAGCGCCATATTGTGGGAGAGCAGATGCATAGAATAAGTCTTAATTCGAGTAACAGTCTAGTCCGGATTGCTCCCCACAGATCCCCCTTTCTTTTTATTTTTTAGCGTTGATACGCGCCTGTCTTCGGTGTCCCGCGGCACACACTCTGCTCTACTTGCTAGAGTTGCCACAGGCTCTTACAAGTCCTATCAATCAGGAAAACCGAATCCGGGTCCTCTCTTCGCCATGTTGTGAGGAGGTTTTTAGGCGCTGATGCGTGCCTGTATTCGGTGCCCTGCAGCGCATGCTCTGCTCTGCCTGCAGGGGACTTACAAGACCTATCAGGCAAACCGAATCCAAGCCTTCTCATTGCCGTATTGTGGGGGAGACTTATTAGTGTTGGTTCGTGCCTATCTTCGGTGACCTGCAGCTCATACTCTGGTCGAGCTTTGCTGGCGCTTACCGCCTTAAATCAGGCAGACCGAATCCAAGCCTCCTAATTGTTGCATTGTGGGGAAGCTTTACTGATGTTAATTCGTGCCTGTCTTCGGTGACCTGCGGCTAGCCGCCCAGGTGCTCATCGCCTCACTAATCGGGCAGACCGAATCCAAGCCTTCTAATTGGCATGTTGAGGGGAGGCCTTATTTTTCTCTATTTCTCTATCTCCAGGCATTCCTACCTCTCCCATTTCACTTCTATCTTCCAGCATTCCCATTTCTCTTTTACTTCACTTCCAAACTTCTGTTTCTCTTATCCCCGCAGCTTCCCGGCACCTCGCCCCGCCGGCGGGTTCCCGGCTCTGCGCCGCTTCAGCCCGCGTGCCTCTCTCATCTGCGCAGCTTCCCGGCTTTGCGCGGCTTCCCGGCTTCGCGCGCTCCGCGGTCTCCACGCTTAACCCTTTCGCGTCTGAACCACGGCCTACGCCAGCCCCGTTCCCTATCTATTCACGCCCCGTGCTCTCTCTGCACGCGGCGGCTTCCGCGAGTAACACAGCGTAGCTTGCGTCTCCACCACTAGGATTCAATCCAAGTTCCCCGGGCTAGCCTGGCGAATTCAACCCAGCGTACGTCTCCGCCCCACGATTTGGCTTCCCGTCCTTTGCTCCCCGGGCTAATCAGACGGATCCCAATCTGGCTTACGTCTCAGCTTCTGGTTTCAACTTTTCGCCCCCTATTCCCGGGCTAACCTGAGAACCCCAAAGTGGCTTTCGTTTCCGCCTTGGCCTGCCCCCCGCGGCTTCAATTTCCCTAACAGTTTTCTCTACCCGGTATATTTCCCCAAGCTTTCCTCCAACGATATTCCTCCCTCATTTCTCCTGGCCTCTCCCCACAGTCCGCGTCCGAATCTGTTTGTTCTAGCTTTCACTTTCGCTTTCGACCTTAGAGATTTCTCCCAGCTTCCCCCCGTAGTCCGTATCCGAGTCTATGCCTAGGCTTTCAATAGCTTCTTCCGGCACCCTTTTCGTCCGGCTTTTCCCTAGGCTGTTTGCTAGTCTCTCTCTCCGGTAATTTCCCTAGGCTGTTTGCTAGTTTCTCTCTCCGATATTTTCCCAGTTCTTCCCGTTTCTTCCCGTTTCTTCCCTCCTAAGTTTGCTATCCGTTCTAGGTTTCCTAATCCGTCCTAAGTTTTCTATCCGAGTCAGGTTTCCTATCCGAGTCACGGCACCATTATGTCGCTCCCCCTCTTCGTGGAGGAACGACACAGGACCCTGCGCTGTTCTTTCGTCTGCTCGGCCCTCCCCGGGTTTGCTGCTGGTTCTTCCCGGGCTGGCTACTATCCCTTCCACCTCCGTGGAAGGGCAGTTCCCCCTGGCCGCATTCCCCACTTCCGCAGGGGAGCGGCACACCGCCGGCCGGCTTTCTCGGGGGCTGCACGGGTTCCCTTAGATGTTCCCCATAGATGTTCCAGGTGCGTGCCGTCTCTCTCCTCCTTTATAGTCCTCTTCCGCCAATCCCAACTCGGCTGAGTACGCTGCTCTCCTCCAATCAGGAGCAAGTCCTACAGTTAATTGGTTGAACTGGAGGCAGCTGTGCGGAAGCTGTTTACTTCTCTCCCAGCGCCATATTGTGGGAGAGCAGATGCATAGAATAAGTCTTAATTCGAGTAACAGTCTAGTCCGGATTGCTCCCCACAGGAGTAAGTGAAAATATAGCTAGGAAAATGAGAGTGTAAGTTGCTGGATATATAAAGCAGAGTGGATCTGGGAGAAGACGAGAGAAGTAGACAAGATGCGGTGCACTAGAGCTAAGCACTTTGTTAGAAGGTGATGATGTGTATTTCAAGGCTGGGGACACAATGTAGAGACAGCCTTCTGATCATCTTACGTCTGGCAAGCTGCTGCAGCTCTGGGTTCCCCAGTCATCGAGAACCGCTAAAGGATGTTGTCAATGTGTGGAATCCAAACGTGGTATGTCCACTGGCAGTCCTCCTGGAGTTTCCGTCTCCTCCCCAAGAAACACCTGAATACGGCTACCGCTGTCTACCACTCCCTAAAGGTTCTCCTGAGTCAGTGACAAAGTTAGGCAGACGTGAGATGGGATGCTTTATTAAGTAGCCAAAGCAATTCCTGGTTATTCTGAGAGAGAGAGAGAGAGAGAGAGAGAGAGAAAAGAAAAAAAAAACGGAGTTAACCTGGGAGCCCCATCCAGCTGTGAGGGGGTACTTCACAGGGTTCTTAGCACAGCCCTAAGAGTCATGGTTGTGTCTAGAACTGTCATGGTAGCTATACATTAGTATGCACACAGTAATTGCCTGATGGGAAGCTATCTTAAGCTCCTATTCAGCCATTCTCCACAGGTCACGTTCATACTCCTTCATGGTGAGGGTTATAGCCAATTCTCTCCTGTCTGTACTGGGTAAACTGAACACAGCCCACTCAAATGAAAGGACAAACAAGAGGCCAAGCAGAATAAATTCTTTGTTTTCTGAAGGAGTAGATGTTCTGCCCATACAGCTTCATGTATTCATTTAAATAATAAATATTTTGTAGGAGGGGGTTGGCCTAGCAGTTTTAAGATGTCCACATCCCCCATCATGGTACCTGGGTTTGATCCACGGCTTCAGCTCCTGACTCCATCTTCCTGCTAATGGAGGCCCTAGAAGGCAGCAGTGATGGCTTGAGAATTGGGTCCCTGCCAACCAGGTTCGTGTACTCCTGGCTCCAGCGCAGCTGAGTCCCAGCTGTGGACATCTGGGGAATCAACCAGCTGATAGGAGCACTCCATCTCTCAATTAAGTTAAAATATTTTGTACGTATTAGTAGAGTGGGAGATGATAGCAGGGTTTTATGAAATGGGAAACGAATAAAAATGGGCCCAAAGATTACTTTTAAGTCTCCAGCTGGCCGTACGTCCCTCTCAGAAGAAATTCTACTTCTCACCATTCTTTGGAATAGCACTTGGTTTTGGAGATTCTTATTTGACCTGGGTCTTTATGGGCTACAGTTGCATGACTAAAAATTCCCCTATTGACCTCAGAGGTAATTTTTCTTCAAGATTACGTCCCTTTTATGGAAATGGGCTGGATCTTGAATCGTTTTTTTTTGAAATTATTATAGGAATTAAGGCTAAATTCTTAAAGAAGCTTGTGGAATATTGGACTGGAAGAGAGAAATCCGTGGTTCTTTACTCCAACCATCCAAGGGTTACAGGGGTTGCATTCAAAAGGTGAAAAGCAAAACGCCAATCATGATAGCTGCAGCAGGGTCCTGCAGCATGGTCAAAAGCACCCCCCAAGCTGTTAGTGCCCCTCATTCTGGCTTTAGACCTTCCAGTCTTCTACCTGCCCTCTGCCACCTTGATCCATCAGTCTCTTCTGTGCCAACAAGACCACGGGCTCTTATCCATTCTCTGGCGGTGGCCCTCTCATCAAGGCATGGTCAGGAGCTTCTCCCTGCGGTGGGGCTCTGGCTGCACCCTCTGATGGCTGAGCTCCCAGAGACGTCTCAGAGTCACTCAAAGTCCAGGGGAATATTGGCAGCAGAGATGTCTGAACTGTTATCTGCAGACTTCCTGTGAAAGATTCCACGAAGGCTGGATTCCTGATCCATGTGAAGCCAGTTTTTTCAACTTTGACTTTCACTGTCCTTTTCTGTACCCCAACTGGCCACAACTGGACTTTCTTGGCACTCCAGATAATCTGAATTTCCATAATTTAGTAGCAGGTTCACTCTCCCCATTGGATGGGATTCAGGAACATTCTCATTGAGCATCTTGTCGCCAAGGAGTAGTCCTAATTTTTTAAAAGAAATATGTTGAATAAATACATATGTGTATGCATCCATATAAATACACATAATGACAAAGAATTAGTATATAAAGTGTAAATAATTTCTGCCCACTTTAAGAATTTCCAGGGGCAGGTGCTGTGGTGCAGTGGGTTAAAGCCCTGGCCTGAAGCGCTGGTATCCCATATGGGCGCTGGTTCGAGACCTGGCTGCTCCACTTCACATTCAGCTCTCTGCTATGGCTTGGGAAAGCAGTCGAAGATGGCCCAAGTCCTTGGGCCCCTGCACCCACATGGGAGACCTGGAAGAAACTCCTGGCTCCTGGCTTTGGATCAGCACAGCTCCGCCTGCTGCGGCCATTTGGGAAGTGAACCAGCAGTTGGAAGACCTCTCTCTCTTGTCTCTACCTCTCTCTGTAACTCTTTCAAATAAATAAAATAAATCTTAAAAAAAAAAAAAGAATTTCCAGGGGCCACCATTGTGTAGTAGTGGGTTAAGCCAATGCCTGCAATATCAGCATCCTATATGGGTGGCAGTTCATGTCCTGGCTGCTCCGTTCCGATCCAGCTCCCTGCCACAATATGCCACTCATGTGAGAGACCCAAATGGAGTTCTGGACACCTGCCTTTGGCCTGGACCAGCCCCAGTTGTTGCAGCCATTTGAGGAATGAAGCAGCTGATGGAAGATCTCTTCCTTTGTCACTCCCTCTCTTGTCACTCTGCCTTTTCAAATAAATCTCAAAAAAAAAAAAATTAAAAACCTGAACAAAGAATATGAATAAGTAATTCATAGAGAAAGAAAGCAAATAGCTGGGGCTGGCGCCAGGGCTCACTAGGTTAATCCTCCGCCTGCAGCGCCGGCATCCCATATGGGCGCCGGGTTCTAGTCCTGGTTGCTCCACTTCCACTCCAGCTCTCTGCTGTGGCCCAAGAGGGCAGTGGAGGATGGCCCAAGTCCTTGGGCCCCTGCACCCTCATGGGAGACCAGGAGAAGCACCTGGCTCCTGGCTTCAGATCGGCGCAGTTCCAGCCGTTGTGGCCATCTGGGGAGTGAACCAACGGAAGGAAGACCTCTCTCTCTCTCTCTCTCTCTCTCTCTCTCTCTCACTGTCTGTAACTCTACCTGTCAAAAACAAAACAACAACAACAACAACAAAAAAAAAAACAAATAGCCAACAAACATACAAAAATAGGTATAATTTCAAGGTATTCAAGTGTTACAAACAAGATTCAATTACACACCTAACATCCTTACAAATATTTAAAAGTTTGATAATATAAATATAGGCAAGGATATGGCAATAACTGTTGAACTGGTGGGAATGAAAATTGTTACAGCTAATTTGGAGATACTTTGATAGTACTGAAGTCTTAAATGTACGTATCATGTGATTTTAAAATGTTATTTATTTATCTGAAACAGAGTGAACACGCACTCTCCTATCCACTGGTTCATGTCCCAAATGCCCCTCATAGCCAGGACTGGGCCACAACAAAGAGGCAGAAATGTAATCCAGTTCTCCCACAAAGGTGACTGGGACCCAAGTACTTGAGCCATTGCCTGCTGCTTCCCAGGGTGCATATTACCAGGAAGCTGGAGTCTGGAGCAGCGCCAAGACTGAACCTCAGGCAGTCTAATATGGGATGCAGATAGCCCAACTGTGTCATCATTGGGATTCTCTTTTTAAGAAAGAAAGATTGGGGTTGACATTGTGGCGTAGCAGGTTAAGCCTGCACCTGTGCTGCTGGCATCCCATATGGGTGCAGGTTAGAGACCCAGCTGCTCCACTTCCATTCCAGCTCTCTGCTAATGCACCTGGGAAAGCAGCAGAAGATGTCCCAGGACTTTTTGCCCCTGCACCCACGTGGGAGACCTGAGAGAAGTTTTGGCCAGGCTGGGCCAGGCTGTTGTGGCCTTTTAGGGGAGTGAACCAGTAGGTGGAAGGTCTCTGTCTCTCTCTCTCTCTCTCTCTCTCTGTCTTTCCTACTCTCTCTCTCTCTCTAATGCTGTCTTTCAAATAAATAAAAAGTAAATCTTAAAAAAAAAAGATATCCAATTCAAAAAAAAATCAAAACACAAAAGTGATACATGAGAATTAGGATTCTTGACACAGGAGAAAAGTATGGAAAGCAGCCTCTAAGATCTCCCAGGGACCCTATACAAAGCCTTGTATATCCTGGTCCTTTAAGTCACTTGCTTCTGACCAGTATCTACAGCAATGTTGAGAGGGTGTCACTTCCGTGATGAGGTGACAGAGACCTGTAGCTTCTGTCTTTTTAGCAGATGCTGTCTTGGGAGGTTGCTATGGTTTATTTATGACTTGTCACACAAAATTCATGTGATGGGTGCTTGGTCCTCGGTGTGGCAGTGTTCTGGGGAACTGTGTTCTAGTAAATGAAGAAAGGATGAGACCATGAGAATATCGTGACTTTGCCACCTGTTATGAGGAAGAGGAAAAGCTCTGAAAAAGGCCCAGCTTTTTCCTAAAGAAAATGCTTATGGGGACTCAGTAGACCTCCGGGATAAAGATTTCACTGCATTTTGCTGTGCTCACGCAGAGGACACTGCCTTGCTCCTCAAAGCCCTGCCCACTGCACTTCCACAGGCATCCCAGTCTCTCTGGGGTAGGACAGGCAGCAGGGCAGTGTGGGGGAGCAGAGGTCAGAGACTACACACTGATGGAGAGGTCGCTGGCTCAAGGATGGGAAGAAGGCTATTATTTGCTTAGCATTTCAAGCATATTATAAGGACCATAACCATACTCAGGACTGTTCAGCACCTTGATACTCAACCATAAGCCTCCATGAATATGGGATTTGTGTCAACTGATCTGCTTAAAATGCAGACTTGTGCTCTTCTTCTGGCCTTCAGAATTCAAATCTGCCATTCTGACAAGATCCCAGGGGATGTGAAGGCAGTCTGCAATTTGATAAGCATTATTCTCACCTGAATTTAGCTAAATGCTAATTGTTCTATTCGCAAGTAAAATCTTAAATGCATTTAATTTTTGTGTATTTCTAAAATTTTAACTTTTATTTAATTGAAAGAGAAAGACAGATACACACACTCACACACACAGATCTGTCATTCTCTGGTCCACTCTCCAAATGCTCACAGTATCTGGGCTGGACAGGATGAAGCCAGGAGCCCAGAACTCAGTCTTGGTCTTGAGCCATCACTTGCTGCTTCCCACGGTGCACAGCAGCACAAACCCAGAATCAGAAGTTGGTGGAGACTTGAAGCTAAGCACTCAGATATGGGATGCACCAAATACCTGCCCCTAAAGGAATTTTAAAAGAATTTTTTTGGTGTGGTTCCTAGGCTATAAGGAAAATACATATACATAACTTTTAAAAAAATAAACTTCAAAGGTTTACAACAGTATACTTTTAAGCTGAAACTTTCTTCTGAAATTCTGATTCAAATTCTGACTGTGAAGAAAATTATAAGAATGTTAGCACTGACATTTAATATCCTATTTAGTTTTTTAACATGATACTTAAAATTCTACCCACATTTGCTAAATGGTATTAAATGACTTATGTTAATCACAATGCATACTTATTGACAGCTATGTTTTCAGTGTTTTCTAAGTTTGTGTTCTATGGTTTTCTTCCCCTAGTTTACAGATGAGGGGGACTGTAGCAGGGGCATGTTTAGATCCGTTACATGTAAAGTCCCACAGCTTACAAAGGCACAGTCATGATTTGAATTTCAACTGCCTTGTGCCAAAGCACTAATAGCAAACAGCCTGAGCATGCTGTCTCCCTAAGATGCAAACTCTCCAGGGCCAGAGAGTCCTTAGGGCTCAACAATACTGCTCGTGCTGGCACTCCAAGGTACCAGCTAACCCCCAAGCGGCAGTGGCGAAGCATATGCTGACAGAACAATCTGGAAATTAAAGAAGTACAGTGTGAAGAACAGAAGCTTTTAGGCATTATTTCTAATAAAAATTGAGACCTTAAATATTATAAATATTGACCGGCCCTGAGAATCTGAAGTTAGATCTGAAATGGGACATAGATACTTAAACTGTCACGGCTACAGAGTCCCCACCACTTAATGAGTGTGTCACCTCTTCTGATGAAGCACCCCAGAGATCTCTGACCGCGTCCTGGGGGTGGGGGGGCACACAGCAGTAACTCCTGCGGGAATATGACTGATTCTTATTCCCCAAACTTCTGTCTGTGTCAAATGTAACTCATGCAGATATAAAGACCTCCAAGTATCCTTTGAGCTCACCCAACTTAAAGACCTGCATACAGATACTGGTCTTTTAAAAGTTGTTGAGTACTCCACATTAATCAAGAACAGCCCCCTCTATACCACATTTCTTTCCAGTTACGATTCTATCCCTGTAAGGGAAATTATCAAAAAACAAACTAAGGGATAAGGAAGAAGGAGCCACACCCGCCCCCAATCCAGGCTTGCAGACAAGCTATGCCTTTCAACGCAAAATAAATTTGCCAAGAACAGAAAAAATCTTACTTTCCAAGCAGGCCCCACTCAGGAGCCTGGGAGTGCCTGGAATCAGTCCCGCTGAGCCAGAGTGTGGATCCTACAGTGCCTAATGAGGTTGCAGCGAAGGCTGGAGGCTCTGGCGCGCTCGGCCTCTCTCCAGTAGGCTCCTCTGATGTTTGGTGAGACGTGTCCGCCTACGAAAGCTTTTACTGCACTGGCTGCACGGATAGAGTCTCTGGCCAGTGTGGACCCGGAGATGCTGGAAGAGCCCCGCATTCCGACTGAAGGCTTTGCCACACTCGGTTCACCGGTAGCGCTTCTCTCCGGTGTGCATCCTCTGGCGCTGAACCACGGATGAGCTGAGGCGGAAAGCCGTCCCGCACGCCTCACCTTCGTCCGGCTTCTCCCCTGTGCGGACTCTCCTGTGTCTAGTAAGAAGGCTTTCGCACACTCCTTACACCGACAGGGCTTCTCTCGGGTGTGACTCCGCTCAAGTTCATTCAGGCCTGACCGCTGGCTGAAGGCCTTCCCACACTTTTCGCATTCGTATGGCTTTTCCCGAGTGCGGATTCGTGGTGCTGGATGAGGACTGGATTCTGAGTGAAGCTTTTCCCACATCCCTTGCATCTGTGACGACTTCCTCCAGCAGGGTTTCCCTGCTGCTTTTCTCTTTCTGCTCTCTGAGGGCACTTCAGAACCTCCGTGTTCTTGTTCTGAGGCCTGAGGCAGGTAGGTATATTCAGATTCATAAAAGGACTATAGGAGGGGCTGGCGCTGTGGCATAGCGGGTAAAGCCGTCGCCTGCAGTGCCAGCATCCCATATGAGCGCCGGTTCAAATTCTGGCTGCTCCATTTCCAATCCAGCTCTCTGCTATGGCCTGGGAAAGCAGTGGAAGATGGCCCAAGTCCTTGGGCCCCTGCACCCACGTGGGAGACCCGGAAGAAGCTCCTGGCTTCAGATTGGCTCAGCAGGCCATCTGGGGAGTGAACCAGTGGGTGGAAGGCTTCTCTCTCTCTCTCTCTGCCTCTAAGAAACTCTGCCTTTCAAATAAAATAAATAATTCTTAAAAAAACAAAAAAGGGATATTGGATCGCAAGCTAATACTCAAAGAGATCACATGAACAAATAAAACATTTTTTAGAGAGATGGTACAACGGAAGGGCCAGAGTTTAATTCCAGAAAGGGAAAACAAAAGAGGCCCACCTGGACATGGTGGTTTAAAATATGTCCACATTTTAGTGGATATTCGTTGTTTTAAAAAGGTGGAATCTAATTCCCCTGCCCTTCAGTGTGGCTATACATAATGGCTCTCTTCTACTAAACAGAAAATGTGGCAGAATGGATGTTAGAGTAACTAATACAGCAAGCCAATACATTCTGTCTGAATAAGACAGAAATTGGCGAACTCAAAAGGCTTCCATAGCCTTGGCAACTCATGACTAGAGCCTAGGGAGATTACTGATGCCATAAACAAGAGTGTCAAATTGTTAAGTCAACAACAGGAGTCACTGTGTACTTACTTCTCATGTGGGATCTGTCCTTAATGTGTTGTCCAATGTGAAGTAATGCTATAACGAGTACTGAAACAGTATTTTACACCTTGTGTTTCTGTGTGGGTGCAAACTGATGAAATCTTTACTTAATATATACTAAATCGATCTTCTGTATATAAAGATAATTGAAAATGAATCTTGATGTGAATGGAATGGGAGAAGGAGCGGGAGATGGGAGGGGTGCAAGTGGGAGGGAAATTATGGGGGGGGAAGCCATTGTAATCCATAAACTGTACTTTGGAAATTTATATTTCTAAATAAAAATTAAAAAAATATTTGGAATAACATTTGTCCAAAAAATAGATAAACAGATACATAAATAGTAGTAGTTTAAAAGCCTGGTAGAGAGTTAACATATTAGGTATAGGTGGTAAACAGGACATCTAAGACTAGCTATAATACCAGAATTTATATGTGATATAATACAGACCTCAATTGAATATCCAGGGAACAAATAGGAGATTTGGTTATGTGACATTGAAAGAATGTGGCTCAGGAGTAAGTACATTTGAATTAGGCTGAAATAATGAACAAGAATTTATCAGGCATAGAAAGGGTGATGGGAGGGGATTCAACATTATAAAACAAGCAAACAACATGAGTAGAGGCACTGAAGGGTGTACGTAGTGGCTCTAAGAACAGGTGGCGATCTTGGTGGCTTAACCATAGAATGTTGAGTGTGGGTAATATATGTGAGATAAGAGATGAAGTTAGGGGGCCAGCGCTGTGGCATGTCGGGTAAAGCCGTCACCTGTAGTGCTGTTATCCCATATGGGCACCGGTTTGAGTCCCAGCTGCTTCATAGCTCTCTGCTATGGCCTGGGAAAGCAATAGAAGATGGCCCAAGTCCTTGGGCCACTGCACCCATGTGGGAGACCTGGAAGAAGCTCCTGCCTCCTAGCTTCGGATCAGCACAGCTCCAGCTGTTGTGGCCAACTGGGGAGTGAACCAGCAGATGGAAGATGTCTCTCTCTCTGCAACTCTGCCTTTCAAATAAATAAATCTTTAAGAAAATGGGAGGAATGTGAAACTAAAATTCTAATGTATAAGATACAATGGATGTTCAGTCCAGTTGCTGTTGGGAGAATATGAACACCGGACAACAGAATTCACTGAAAAAGTCTAAAGACAAATATATGTCCTATAATTTAAGGGTATATGAGGAAGGGACAAATGTAACTCTCATGTTAATATTGAGAGATTAATGGATATAGACATTTGGCAAATCCATTGAACTATCTATTAACCTTGAGAATTAACAAGTTCCCACACTCATAGAAAAAGACGACTGTGCTGTGGCTGTGAAACAAGTGGCCCATAAGTGGTCTGTTGGATCCCAGTTCACTAAGAACATGCTTTGCAAGCCAACCAATTAGTGACAATGAGTAGCTTTTGAAAATCAGTCAGCAAGGAATGAACTCATCCCAATACAAACCTGAGGGACACGAATCAGCAACAGTCTGTCCCATAACTATGCTCCCACTGATGACATCAGCCCGCTTAAACACACAAAGATCCACCAATCACTGAACTCATGCTTCTCAAAATCCCTCTAAGATCGGTAGTTTTTTCTTTTCGGGACCTAGTCAGAACACATCTTCAGCTGTCTTTTATTTTCAGATATTGAGTGATGGTCTCATCATTCTTTGAGAAGCTGAATATATATGACCTAGCAATTCAACTCCTGGATATATACTCAAAGAAATAAATGTGTATGTCCACTAAAAGATAAATATAGGAATTTCCAGTGCAGCTTTATTCTTAACAGCTTCATGGTAGAACTAACCCAAATGTTCATTAACTGTGGAATAAACACTAGCATTGTAGCAGGTGGACTTCTAAAGTTACTCCTGTGATAGCGCATACAGGGAAGGGTGTAAGTAAGATAACTAACCAGTTGACTTTATGATATGGAGTTACTTGAATGGGACCCACCTATTTACATTAAAAGCAGAGTTTTCTCTGGCTTATGGTAGAGAAGGAAGTCAGAGATCCAAAGCATGATAAGGATTTGGTGCATGATTGCTAACTTTACTATGGAGAGAGCTAAAAAGGATTGTAGCTGCCTCCAGAAGCCGAGACCAGTCACTCACTGGCTAGCAGCCAAGCAAAGAAAGAGGGGCTTCAGTCCTACCTGGAGTTCAGTCGTACACTGTGAGAAGTTGGAATCTGCCAGCAAGAACACGATTGGAAGCCAGTTTCTCCCCAGAGCTTGGACATGAGAACACAGGATCAAGGCTGACATGTTGATTTCGACCTTGTCACACCCTGAGCACAGAAACCAGCCAGGTTATGCCAAACTTCTGACCTACAGAATTGTGCACTAACAACTGACCGTTGTTTTAAGTTGCTAAATTTGTGGTAATTTGTAACAAAGCAATAGAAAACTAATACAAAAGCAGATAGAAATAATCTACTGATAGCTTTTTGTGATAGGATGCACACAGTAGTTACCTTTGGTGGGGGAAAATGAGTAGGAAGGGTAGTATGAGGGCTACTAGGGTACTATTTATGTTTATTGATCTTGGTGATGGTGCTTACATAAAGTCTATTTCCTTTATAACAATTCTTCAAATGTAAACAAAAAATTTGTGCACTTTACTATAAATATGATATAATTTAATAAAGTATTAGACAAAAAGAAAACAATATTAGGAATACAGTGCCTAGCTTCCAAATCGGGGCAGGTGAAATGCAATATAGAAAGTTTTACAAAAAATGAATATAAAAAGGCATATCATCAAAATATTCAGGAAAAAGAAATACTGAACTCACAAGGCAGTTCTCTCTCAGACGTGGCAAGGGAAACACAAAGGCCACAAGTGCAACTATAATGATTTTTCCAATAGCTGAAGTAAATAATGACAGAGGCTGACACTGTGGCATAGAAGGTTAAGCCTTGTCTGCAGTGTCCGCGTTCCATATGGGCACTGGTTCGAATCCCGACTGCTCTGCTTCCAATACAGCTCCCTGCAAAAGTGCCTGGGAAAGCAGTGGAAGATGGCCCAAGTACTTGGGCCCTTGCACCCACGTGGGAAAGGCTCCTGGCTCCTGGCTTCAGATTGGCCCAGCTCTGGCTTTTGCAGCCATTTGGGGAGTGAACCAGAGGATAGAAAAAAAAAAAAAAACACTTGCTTGCTCGCTCTCTCCTTCTCTCTTCCTCTCTCTCTTTCCACCTTAAAAATACATAAATAAATCTTTTAAACAAGAATAATGATAATTTTTGGAAAACTTAAAGCTAAGAGGCAGTATATGGTGCTGATTATATTGTTCTTATATTTATACACTTAAGATTTTTAATGTAAAAAATAATGAAATAAAATTTAAAGGCAAAAATATAGTGAGAGAGAAAGAGAAAACTCAGTCTACCTACCTTCACAAGTGCTCCAATTGATAAATCTGTATTTTACTTAAGGCAGCACTATTTTGATATGCTTTCCCTACGTCAAGTGAATTGTCAAACACTCTACAAACTCTATATTTATTTAATGAGATCCAATACTTTAAAAAAATTATTTATCTAGTTGAAAGGCAGAGTGACAGAGAGAAGGAGAGACATGGAAAAAGAGAGAGAGAGAAAGAGAGAGAGAGAGGATTTCCATCCACTGGTTCACTCCCCAGGTAGCTGCAAACAGCCCCGACCAGGAACTCCATCCAGGTCTCCCATGTGGGTGGCAGGGACTCAAGCACTTGAGCGATCATCTGCTGCTTCCCCGGTACATTGGCAGGGAGCTGGATCAGAAGCAGAGCAGCGAGGACTCAAGCCAACATTCTGATATGGAATGTGGGCATCCCAAGTAGTGGTTCAACCTATTGTGCCACAACACCTGCCCCAGACCCAATTAGTTTTTATGTTTATTTCCAAACTACCACATAAAATTAAGCCTTCTGTGTTTAACACAGTGGAGAATTTGAGTATTGTTTATATTAACGAGCTCTAAGAAGAATTTTCTTTTTAGTTTTTCTTGGTGTCCTGGTTATGATCTAGACAGATACTGCCATTTACTCACTTGTCTTAGTGCATAAATATTCACTGAGCACTCCTGACATGCCATGCACTTTGCAAGGCACCAAGGCTACAAGGATGAAAAAGATAGAACCAGCATTTTTGTTTGTTTGTTTGTTTGTTTTTGCTGGAGCTTACATTTTAATGGATAAGAGAAACCAAAAATAAAAGCAGCAACAAAAATAAAATAATTATGAGTCATGATAAGTGATATGAGACATACAAAGTAGGCACTAAGTTATCAATCAAATGGAAGGCCTATTTAGATAGGTGGTGAGAGATGAGGTAACATTCAAGCTGAACCCTAAAGAGTAACAGGAGTGCATTACTCAGAGACTGGGAAACCGGCTGACAGGACAAACAAGAGCCCCCAAGTCTGTCAAGGAGTTTGAATTTCAAAGTGCAATGGTTGGGGGCGGTGCTGTGGCATAGTCGGCTGAGCTTCCCCCTGCAGCACTGGTATCCCATATGGGCGCCAGTTCATATCCTGGCTGCTCCTCTTCCAATCCAGCTCTCCTTCTGCTAATGGCCTGGGAAAGCAGTGGAAGATGCTCCTGTCTCCTGGCTTCAGATCAGCCCAGCACCAGCCTTTGCAGTCATTTGGGTAGTAAACCAGAAGATTCTTCTCTCTGTCACTCCTTCTCTCTGTCTGTAACTCTAACTCTCAAATAAAAACAAAATCTTAAAAACAAAAAAGTGCAATGGCAAACCACTAAAGGCTTTAAAGGGAACCATCAAGGTTGGGTTTATTGCTTATTTGTATATATATTTCATATACTGGAAAGAGAATGAGTTGAGGGAATGAGGGTGCAAGGCTAGAGTGGAAGTAGAAAAAGCAAGAGTTGAAAGAAAGGTGCGGAGGGAAGCTGTTGCATTGAATTTGGAAAGACTTCCACTTAGGAAAGATGTTACTGTGCTCTCTGAAGTTATTTAACTTTGAACAATACATACAAATAAAAGGAGAAATAGCTCAATCTTTGTAAAAGCAGTTGAGTCATTGGACAGACATTTAGGGATCTGTGCTTCTAAGTGCTGGAAATACATAGGAATTTGCAGCTCATGGGATGCAATTACAATACAATGAAATAAAAGCTGGGCATACTCCTGGAAGTCAGAGGAGCTCATCCTAAATTCAGTATTCAGTTTCTATGCATTACTGTTCATTTCACAAATATTCACTAAGAGTCTATTATGTATCAGGCAGCAAAGAAAGAATGAAACAAGTGCATGTGTCCCCATTTTCACTTTTTGAACTAAAGAAATGGCGGCAGCAGCATAAAAGAACATTTTCTTATTAGTTCCAGTGCTTGAGCAACAATAAAGAGATCATGTAAATCATAAGCCACCTGTATTGTAAAAATAAATCCCTAAGGATACCAATTACAACGACAAGGAAATAGAGGAGCAAACCCAGAAATGGGAGTACGCTATGGAGGGAGGACTGACAGCCTCTCCTCTTCAATAAGGCAATGGGACAGGAAGCAGGGAGGAACAGGGGTAGGGCTACTCTACACTGAAAGAGACTTAATGATCTCGCCACGATTGGACCCTGGTTGGTAAAAAGTTGCACAAGACATCTGCTGGGAACTGGGTCTTGTTCTGCCCTCCTCTAGAAGTCTCTCCACCACCCCAGGGAGGGCGGGAAGCAACCTCCTCCAGCTGCTCCGGGTTCCAGGCCAGCGAGCGTGCCCCCGGACCACCCCAGACACCACAGCCTGAGGGGTCCAACTGAGGGCCGAAACTCGCCCGTGGGTCGCTGGGAAGCTCCAGATCCGGTTGCCTGGTTGCAGCGTTCCGACAACCGACGAACCACAAAGGCCGGAAGTGCGTCACCGCCCTGAGTCCTGCTGCCAAAGTCGAGCAACTTACCTTTCTAGCTCTCTTAACTCTCCAGGAATTCCGGAGGTTGTTGCGTCTTGATGACTGGTTACCAGGCGGAGAAATCTGGCTGTCCGGTCATCTGGGAGTCAGAGTTCCTGTACTCAAACTTCTCACCCGTTCCTCCCAGTCTCAGCCTCCTCCTCTGCTTTTTTGGACATCGCAAAGGGGAGATGGCAGTGGTGGAAATGAGGCCACAGAGTTGTTTTGTTGTTTTGTCATTCTGTTTGCTCTCAACCTATTTTTCTTGGAATCTCAAAATCTAAGGAGATAGACATGTGAACAACTAACGACATAAAACTGACGTGTACGAAATGAAGGAAAAGAAAATAAAGGTTTACACGGCGATTAGAAGAGTCCTTGGAACACAGTAAATGCGCGTATTAGGTCGCATTCGTGGCATGGGAGAGGGAAGCTATCAGAACAGAACAAGAGCAGTAGAGATTTGCCAGTGTACACAGGGAAAGGAGCAAAGGAAAGAAATTTCTGGAAGAGAGAATAGAAGGTATAAAGGTAAGACTTGGGGGGAGATACTTCGGGGTATCCAAAAAATTGGGCAGATCAGAACGGGGCACCTTGGACAATATGTTTGAATTTGCATCTGAAAACGTTGTGGCAGCCTTATAGAGGATAGACTAAAGAGCTGAGACTACTGGGAGAGACACCAGTTTGACTACTTCAAGAATTCAGGGTGAAAATAGTAAGGGCATGAATCAAGGTGGTAGACATAGAAATGGAGAGGCATAGATGATAATCTGTCGTCAAAGGTTGAATAGATTTTTTAAATTAATTTTTCATTATACAAATTCACATTGAATGCAATCTTTGTGCCAAGAGTTTGCTCTGGGAACTGGATAGAATAATAATGCACATAAGGTTCCCACCCTCAGGAATCTTACAATACAAACAGAAATACAGACAGAGGGAGATCCAGCTTCTATCATTTGGGAGACCTTCTTTAAGGAAAATGTTTCAAAATAACAAATACAAACATAGGTACTAAAATGGCAATGCAGAATGGGAAATCACATGGCACTACAAACTTTTTAGCCTTCCAAAGATCATAAACAAAAGTCATAAAAATAATATTTTTGTTGAGCTGTCTGCCACAACTCCAATATTTTTTCCTATTTAATTGGCTTTATATTCTTCACTGCTTCTTTGTATGTTGATTTTATTAATTTAAATGATTCTAGAAAGAGTTTTATAACCTTTTCTCTAGCATGGATGATGAAAAACAACTTTCAATTGTTGAATTTGGATAAACTTCTATTAAGTTTTTTGCAATTATGGGCTATGAGACTTAAGGAGAGTTTGTTTCTGTGTAAGGACAGAATCTAAGAATTTGTATTGATACTTTTTAACTAGCTGGCCTTTTATGTCCTTATTACCAATGGCATCTTGTATTTTCTTGACATATTTTATGTCAAATGTGCATAAAATTTAAATGTGTTGAGTGATTCACTGCTCTTTGTTATACTGAACAATCCAAGAGCCCATTTATTATTCTATTCAAAATGTAGCTTTTCTTCTTAACAAACTACTACTTTCATATAATCTGAAGCTGTTTTTCTGTTATAATTTGCTTCCTGACATCAGAATTATTTCTGTTGATTTTCTTGATTACAGTTACATAATGATTAGTGACAGGGAGACGTTCTGAATGTGTTGCTAGACTATTCTGTCAAGGTGTAAACATAATACATTGTATTTACACAAACCTGGGTGGGACAGCCTACAACCCACCTTGGCTATATGGTATATTACTGGTATATGGTATATTGCTAGTAGGCTGCAGATCTATACAGCATGTTACTGTTCTGCATATAGTAGGCAACTATAACACAATGAGTTTCTCTATTGAATGTGTGTATCTAAACCTAGAAAAGACACAGGAAAAATGTGAGGCAATAGGAATTTGTCAGCTCTGCTATAATTTTATAGGACCACTGTCATATATGTAGTCTATTGCTAGCTGGAACATAATAATGTGGCATATGACTGTCCCCTTATTACTTTTGTTTTCAAATTCCATTAATTTCTAAATTTTAATTTGTTCTTTAATAATTTTGTCTTATAATTTATCATTTATTTCTTTTTAACTTATTTATTTATTTGAAAGGCAGAGTTACAAAAAGAGAGGGAAAGACAGAAAGAGATCATATCAAAATACCTTTCCACATTATAGATAATGTGATTCATTTTTTACCCAGATGCCAAAATTGCTTATCAGTGTTTCAGTGGCACTCAATGAGAGGAAAATATGAGAAGCAGAGCCAGAATTCAGAAAAACAATGGGTTTAAACATTTGTTGCCAAAATATACAATCTTGTCTTCATATTTTACAAATATATGAATCATGTGAACAGAGCATTTGGAGAGACTCATGTCAGTACCTCTTCATACACTTAATGATAAACGCATTTCTGAAGAAATGAGTGCTGCCGTGGAAATAGGCATCTAATGGCTGTTATAGGAAATGCAGTTCCTATCTTTAATTTATCATAGTCTACCTGGAGATAAAATTATATCACTTCATATTTTACCAACCATTTCACGCATACTTACAATAGATGGAAACTTACAACAGTGTAACTGACTCCTTTGCTATTACTAATGTTTTGTAATGCCATTGTCATCACATTTTAAGTCTCAGGTTAACATGATATTCTTTTTGCTTTAAATTTGTTTATAAGGAAAATAAAGAAAACAAGGAAAGTCTTTTATATTTATATACAGATTCACCACCCTGCTTCTCTTCATTCCTCCCTGTAATTCTGTTTCCATCTATCACTTCTCTGAAGTTTGTGTTACTGTATTTATAAGGGGAATTTTAAAACTTTATGACAATGGAGTTAAAAAAATACAAACTTTATTTCTCGACAGAAGCTCCATTAAGTTCAAGACACTTTTTTAAAGAAATTTTTTATCTTATTTATTTGAAAGAGTTACAGAGAGAGGCCTTCCACCCGCTGGTTAACTCCCCAAATAACCGCAATGGCAGGAGCTGAGCTGTGCTGATCTGAGCTTATTCCAGGTCTCCCATGTTGGTGCAGGGGATCCAAGGACTTGGGCCATCTTCTATTGCTTTCTCAGGTGCATTAGTGGAGAGCTGGATCCAAAGTGGGGCAGCCAGGACTCAAATGGGCGCCTGTATAGAATGTGGCACTGCAGGCCAGGGTTTTAACCCTCTGCGCCACGGCACAGGCCCCTCAAAACACTTTTGTAAGCGGTAATGCCAGCCAATTAGTCCGCCCCTAAGGATCTGAGCTTATGGGATTTATAAGACATCATTAGGTGGACCAATATACTCATTAAAGCATTTTAACAGGTTGAAGAAAGAAACAGGCAGAAAGGTTATTTAAAGAAATTGTAGCCCCGCAAATTTGAGGAAGGAAAACGGACATTTAGGTTCAAAAGGCTAACAAATCCAACCAAAATAAGCCCAAAGAAATCTATACTGACACATATTATAATCAAATCGTCAAAAGTCACACACAAAGGATTTCATAGCCAGTAAGAGAAAAATGACTTGTCACACGCAAGTCCGAAGGCTATCAGATTTCTCAGCAGAAACCTCAGAGGTCAGAAGGGAGTTGGGTGACAAAGTTACTGAAGAAAAAAAAATCTGCCACCAAGAATACTGTATCTGGCACAAATTATCCTTCAAAAATAAAGGAGAGATAAATACTTTCCTAGATTAACAAAAGCTAAGATAGTTTATTACCTAGGACATACTTTACCAGAAATACTTCAAGTTGAACTGTATCTGGCAAAAATTATCCTTCAAAAATAAAGGAGAGATAAATACTTTCCTAGATTAACAAAAGCTAAGATAGTTTATTACCTAGGACATGCTTTACCAGAAATACTTCAAGTTGAAACAAAAGAATTCTGACAAATGACACAAAGCACACGAAAGAACAAAGCTTGCTGATAAAGGTAAATACATGGAGAAACACAGAATACAATCATGGAGGTGTCCTAGACTCTCCGCTCATCTTCACAGATGAAGCTTGGGCTTGACCTCTGGATTCTGTGGTTGGGAAACTTTCTGGACAGAGGACCACAGTGACTGAGGAGTTCATCTCATGTATTTTCCCCTCTCGTGTGTGTCCTAGATTGGCCACTGTTCATGTTTTAAAATACTTGATTCAGGGGCCAGTGCTGTGGCTTAGTGGGCTCTGCCTGCCCGCTGGCATCCCATATGGGTGCCGGTTCTAGTCCCAGCTGCTCTACTTCTGATCCTACTCTCTGCTTATGGCCTGGGAAAGCAGTAGAAGATGGCCCAAATGCTTGGGTCCCTGCACCTGCGTGGGAGACCCAGAAGAAGCTCCTGGCTCCTGGCTTTAGATCAGCCCAGCTCTGGCCATTGCAGCCATTTGTGCAGTGAACTAGCAGACTGAAGATCTCTGTCACTCCCTCTCTCTGCCTGTAACTCTACTTCTAAGTAAATAAATAAATCTTTCAAAAAACTACTTGATTCATACATTTTATACAGTTTTGTAGTTGTTTAAAATCTGAGAATATTCTAGTATTACTTCCTCAGTGATGACTGAAAGCAGAAGTCCAAGTCTTGTCCTGGGAAGGAGTCTTCCTTTTGCTGTTGGTTCACCCTCCAATGGCCGCCGCGGCCGGCACATTGCACCGGGATTAGAACCCGGTGTGCGGGTGCCGCAGGCGGAGGGTTAGTTTATTGAGCCGCAGCGTCGGCCAAGTGTTCTAATTTCCTTTGTTCAGGAGTTCATTTGGTCCCAACCTGTCTATCCCTTAATGACTAATGAATTGAGGTCTCTCTCCACATTCCTGACAACTGGAGTCTGCCAGCTTTATAATTATTCTTTGATAGGGAAATCAAGCTTTCTAGGAAGAGCGCCTGTTGAAATTTTGGTTTGTAGTTCTCAGGAAATGAAGGTGAAATAAACTTTCTTTTTCTCAGATGAACAAAAACTGATAAAACGTTTCTAACAGCCATGCCTTACAAGATATAAAATGGAGTTCTTCAGGTTGAAAGGAGGAGACACCGGAAAGAAATATAATGTCATACAGAACACAAAATGTGCCAATATAGGTAATTACCAAAGACAGATTAAGGGACCAGCTTAATCTACTACTACTGGAGGCTACTACTCTTCCAATCCAGCTCTCTGCGATGGCCTGGGAAAACAGTAGAAGATGGTCCAAGTGCTTGGGCACCTGCACCCGCATGGGAGACCAGGAAGAAGCACCTGGTTTCGGATTGGCACAGCTCCGTCTGTTGTGGCCATCCGGGGAGTGAACCAATGGAAGGAAGACCAGTTCCAGCTGTTGCAGCCATTCAAGGAGTGAGCCAGCAGGTGAAAAACTTCTCTCTCTTTGCCTCTCTGTACCTCTGCCTTTCTTTTTTTCTTTTTCTTTTTTTTCAAAGAGAGAGGTACAGAGAGGTAGGTAGAGACAGAAAGAGAAGTCTTCCATCTGCTGGTTCACACCCCAGATGGCCACAACGGCCAGAGCTACGCCGATCCAAAGCCAGGAGCCTGGAGCTAGTAGTTTCCAGGGGCCCAGGGACATGAACCATTTTCCCATCTTTTTCTACTGCTTTCCCAGGCCATAGCAGAGAGCTGGATCAGAAGTGGAGCAGCCAGGACTAGAACTGGCCCCCATATGGGATGCCGGCGCTTCAGGCCAGGGCGTTAATCCACTGCGCCACAGCGCTGGTCTCTAAATTTTTAAAATAAGTAACAATAATCATAGTTATTCTCAAGCCCAGCAGGCTTTTTTTTTTTTTTTTTTTTTTTTTTTTTACCAGAGTAACAACTGTATTTACACAACACTCAGTTAGACAAGGATTGAAAAAGGGGGAGGGAGGCGACAGCGGTCAGCAGGGGCTGCAGCGCTGACTGGCGGCGAGACCCAGGATGTTGGCCTTGAGGAACGACTCCATCTGCTTTCCGGATATGCCTTCCACACGCTCCAGGTCCTCCGCCTGGCTGAAGCGGCCGTGGAGCTCCCTCCAGCTCACGATGAACTGGGCCTTCTGCCAGATGTGCTGCAGGCCGCGCAGATCCCGGGCCGAGCCTTCGTTGAGGAAGTCCAGGATTTTCTGGCGGCCGCGGGCCAGCAGCTCGGGGCTGATCTGCAGCTCCCAGCCGTCCTCAGCCTTCTCCTCGGGCTCCGAGGCATCCAGGGGCTCCGGCTTTCTCTTCCGGCCTCTCTTCTTAAGAACGTGGATTTCCGTGCTTGGGGAGGCTGCCTGCTCCTGAATCAGTTGCAGGGGCATCACCACAGCCTTTTTCAGGGGCTTTGCGACCATGCTAGTGCGCGGGGCAGGGGTCGGAGCAGGGTGGGGGAGTAATTCTCCTTCTCCTTGGGGTCCACAGCCTCCTGGGCCTGCACTTGGGCCTCCAGTTCTTTCTGCTTCATCTTAAGCCTCTTTATTTCCAAGTCCTTCTCTTCCACTGTCTTCATAAGCACCATCCTCTCTCGCCTTGGGGTGCTCAGCAGAGGGGTCCCCTGGCTCCCCTGGGAGCCCAACAGACGGTCCAAGCTCAGGAGGCGCTCCTGCATGGCAGGGTCCATGCTGCTCAGCTTCTGCAGGGGGCTGAGTTTCTGGGAGGCAGAGGCCAGAGCTGCTGGGGGCTCAGGGCTCTTCAGGGCCCCGGGCTCTCTTTGCCTCTGCTGGGCCTAGCAGTTCTTTCTGAGACAGTTTAACAGGTGCCACGGCGTGAAGCTGCAGGCTCTCGTTGGTGAAAGGCCGGTTGATGATTTCCTTGGACCTGGCCGCAAAGTTGAGCGCGGGGGCAATGTTGGCAATGAGGATGCTGTGGGCTGACACATATGTGTGTCATATGTGTCAAGCAGCTCTTTCTCTGCAGACTTGTACTGCCACTTCTGTCACACATCAGTCTCTTACACATACATGTTGTTTTCCTGTTCTACTTGTCTATAGTCGGGCCAGTACTACAGAGTCTCAGTTACTACACATTTAAAATGAACCTGTATATTAGGTAGGACAAATTTTCTGCACCTTCTCCAGTTCCTCAAAAAATTCCTTGAATCTTCCTCATTCTCTCATTATTCCACATAAACTTGAATTAAACAGCCGAATTCCACAGAGATCATTACTGGGATTTTGATAGACTTGGCACTGAACTTACAGATTAATTTAGGAAATAATGACACCTTTACGACATTGAGTTTTCATCTACACAGACAAGGTATATATCTCAATTATTTATCTTTTATAAGATTATATAATATTATAAGTTTTATAACATTTTCATTAAAGTATCCTTTCTGTTTCTTTGCTGCTAAAACTACTGTTGTTTTTTAAAATTACTTTTTGTAACCTGGGCTGGTGATGGGAAATACAACGGTGACTACGAACTTCTTCAAAAAATTCAGCAACCTTGCTCAACTGCTGTATTACTCATCAAAATCTCAGTGTTCGATTATTGTAGGTTTTCTACACACACCATTCCTCAAAGCAGTTAGATATGCATATTTACCATGGGCGTGTTCATTAGGTAAGGCCATCTGCTCTAAAATTAGACATTTAGAAGGGGTACCGTGACACTGCCCTCTCCAACTACACACCTGGCTCCGCACCTGCTCCCGTCTCTTCGCCGCAGCTGGAAGACTTTCCGTGTTCTCGGGGGCGGGCGAGGCGCGGGGACGCGGCGCGGGTACGAGACGGGAGGCTCGCGGCGACCGAGTGCCGCCGAGGCGCCGGCTAGAGAGGCCCGGAAGTGGCCTCGGCGCCCCGCCCCGCGGGTGCTCGGCTAGTTTCGGACACTTTGTAAGTACGGGGCGCGCGAGCGGTGCGCGTCCGGCCTCCGCTTTGTGGTGTGGGGTGCCGTCGGCTCCGTGGTTCCCTTCCGGCCGGCCCTGCAGGAGGATGTTGGCGGGGCCTGGGTGTGGCGCGACGCCCGCCCCTCACCGTCCCCAGCAGCCCCTTCTCCAGAGCTGGGAGAGCCTGGGGAGGCGGCGGGGCCCCCAGAGTCCCCGCCTAGGGCTCCCTGCGCTCCGAGGCCCTGTCCCCGTGCCTGGGTCGGCCCTTGGGGCAGTTGGAGACGGGATTCTTGGGTCACACAGACAAGTCTTGAGAATGGGGGCCGTTATATTTTTCTCTACCAGAAGACAAGGTCAGTTCCAAGGTCTTTCAGCTAATCTGTGCTACTGGATAACATCCAGAATTTTGCAGTCGGGTTTCCAGTTCGAGATCCTGCCTCTGCCGCTTACTGACTGTGTGACTTTTGGTCTCTCCCATAACCTCTCTGCTTCATTTTATTGCTTTGTTAAACGAGGATCATATTACCGAACTCGCTGGGTGGTTGTGAGGATTAAATGCATTAATATTAGGCATTTAAGATGCTACCAGGCTCAGAAATTTACAGGCTTGCTTTTATTATTATTATTACTATTATTATTATTATTACTACTACTACTACTGTTATTTCTAACTATCAGAGCTCATTATCTTCGTTGGGGTTCAGACCCCAATAAAGTGCTGCTGACTTTTATTACTGTTTCTTTAGATTTTAGTGTTATTTATCAGTTCTCTTTGTAATGGATAATTTGTGTTTTTTCTTTTTAAAGTGGGGAAGCCACTTTAAAAAAAAAAAAGTTTATTTCTTTGCAAGTTAGAGTTACAGAGACAGAGGGAGAGAGAGAGGTGGTCTTCCACACACTGCCAAGAACTTCAGCCCAGTCTCCCAGGTGGGTGGCAGGGATTCCAACACTTGGGCCATCATCCATTGCTTTTCCCAGGCCACTGGCAGGGAACTGGATCAGAAGTGGAGCAGCCAGCACATGAACTGGCGCCTATATGGGAAGTTGGCACCGCTGGCTGCAGCTTTTTTCTCATATGCACAAAATTGGCCCCTCATTTCTGTATATTAGGAAGGAAAAATAAGATATAAGAGCCTGTCCCAAAGCGAAGACTCAAGCTGATTTGTGTTAGGATGCTCAACGGTTGAAGACTTAGAGATACCTTTTCCTTAAGGGAGATTCAGGGAGAGCAAGAGAGAGGTTTTTAATAGTAGAGAGGTAAAACCCCTGGTATTAGTAGAAATCACTGTTCCTGCTCAGTGCCCGAGTCAGATTTTGAGCATCCAGGAGTCAACCTGAGTGGGGGATCACGTATGATAGCTGCACTTAAATGTAACTTTAAGTGTTGGAAACTCAGTTCACACTGACACCCTTCATTTCAATCTAACATTACAGGATTCACTCTAGCTCTCTCTTTTCCATATTTGTAACTCTTTTCTGATAATAATACTCTGCTCTGATTGTGTCCGATATATTTAGTTGATCTACACTTTCGCTTTCCAACTAATCTCCCAATCCCTTGTCTTCTCACTGTGCTCAGCTGGGTTCAGACCCTAAATAGGGCAGGTGTTGCAAACTGACTGGGGTTTGTGGAGTAGATGGTGGTGGATACTGGTGCTTTTCCTGCCACAGTCTTAGACACACTCTTAGACAAACTCCCCACTGCATATGGGCTGCACGTGTGCCCTGGGCTAGCTGTGGCCTTCCCTTCACCTCCCTTGACGTGGCTCAAATATTTTTAGGAGTATATTATTCAAGAAGGCAAGTAGAAGTTCTCTTAATTTTTGAAGCTTTTTTTTGGAAAATTTTACACATATACTGGTATAATTGTAGAGAGAGTATTACAGTGAACCCCAATATTATCACTCAATCTCAATAACCACCAGTTTTTGGTCATTTTCTTTCATTCTTCTTTTCCCTCCCTTCCCTTCCCTTTTTCTTCTTCCTCCCTCCCTCCCTCTCCCCTCCTTCTCTTTCTTTCATTTTACAGCAAATTGGAGACTGAAACATAACAGCTCATACATATATACAAGTACTTCAGTGTTAGTCTCTTACATGTAGGGATTTTGATCTTAACCTAACCATAGTCTTGTTACACACTCAACAAAATTGATAGCAGTTCCTTAATATCTTATGTTGAAATTTTCCCAATTGTCTCCACTATGTCTTTTTATAGTTTTTCTCCTAGTAAGAGCCAAACAGAGTTTACAGTTTGTATTTCATGTCTATTTAGTCTTTCAATCTGTGACAGTCCCCCTTCTCTACCCCTCCTGTTTTTTTCTTAAAAGAAGTCATTTACTTATTGAATAACTTGGGTCTCCTGTCCTATAACATGTTTCATATTCTGTTTGACCAATTGCTTCTTTTTAGTACCTTTAACTTGTTAGTTCTCAAACTCAGATACACATTGGAATCAACTAGAAAGTTTTAAAGGCTTTTGGTGCCAGAGTCCCACTCCTACAGACTAGTTTAATTAATCTGAGTTGCAGTCCAGGTATCAGGATGTTTAAAAGCTCCCCAGTGATTCTAATATGTAGCAAAGGTGAAAAATGATGTATGAGCTACTATATTTCACCCTCCTGGAATTTGGATCTAGAGACTTGATTAATTGAGGCTCAGTTATTTGGGAAGATTAGCTCACGTAGCAATGCCCCATTAGGAGGAATTATTATCTGTTATCTTTTACTTTTTTCTTAAGATTTATTTTATTTATTTGAAAGGCAGAGTTAGAGATATCTTCCATCTGCTGGTTCACTTCCCAAATGGTTGTAATGATCAGGGCTGGGCCAGGCCAAAGCCAGGAGCCAGGAGCTTTTTCCAGGTCTCCCATGTGAGTGCAGGGGCCCAAACACTTGGGCCATCCCCTACTGCCCTGCCAGGCACATTAACGGGGAGCTAGATTGGAAGTGGAACAGCTGGGACTTGAAACCGTGCCCATATATAATGTCAGCATTGCAGGTGGTGGATTTACCCCCTGGTACTTTTCATTTGTAACAACTGTCTCCTAAATTCCATCTCTCCCTACTCATCCTTTGAGCTGAGGAATTGTAGATTAAGAAATAGAAACTCAGGAAGGTGTAGACTTGAAATTGTTTTCCCTTAGTGACCTCTGCCAGACGTACAGTTTTCTAACCTCTTGATTCCACTGAGTAAAGAAAGACTTACTGAGATAGCGCAGTCATATAACTTTGCAGTTATTTCACTAAAATTCTAATTCCCTGTTAGGGCAAGCTCAGATCTCATGGCTCCTGGGGACATCTTTGAAGAGAGAATAACTGGAGGGAAATGAGAAACTGAGTAGTTTCTGAGTGACATGTCCAGATCAGGCAGCTGTAGTGGCAGAGGTAGGACTGGAATCCAGGCTGCTTGTTCCAGGGCCTGGTTTATAGCTATAACATGTAGCACTTCATCCCGTCTGGTTCTGGCATCATTGCCACATTTTATTTATTTTATTTATTTATTTCAGAGGTAGAGTTACAGATTGTGAGAGAGAGACAGAGAGAAAGGTCTTCCATCTGCTGGTTCACTCCTGAATGGCAACAACAGCCAGAGCTGAGCTGAGCTGAAGCCAGGAGCCAGGAGCTGCTTCTGGGTCTCCCACATGGGTGCCAAGCACTTGGGCCATCTTCTACTGTTTTCCCAGGCCATATCAGAAAGCTGGATCAGAAGAGGAGCAGCCAGGACTAGAACCAGCACCCATATGGGATGCCGGCACCACCCGCGGAAGATTAATTTACTGTGCCACAGCACCAGCCCCACCACCAGATTTTACAATTCACATTTTCACTCTTTAAAACAGCAATTGTAAGCCCCCAGGTAACATTTTGCGATTTCTAGAGATGCTTTTTTTTTTTTAAAGATTTATTTTATTTATTTTAAAGACAGATTACACAGAGAGGTAGAGACAGAGAGCATCCTCCATCCGCTGGTTCACTCCCCGAATGGCTACAATGGCCAGAGCTAAGCCGATCTGAAGCCAGGAGCTAGGAGCTTCCTCTGGGTCACCCAAATGGGTGCAGGGGCCCAAGGACTCGGGCCATTCTCCACTGCCTCTCAGGCGTATTAGCAGGGAGCTGGATAGCAAGTGGAGCAGCCAGGACCTGAACCTATGCCCACAAGGGATGCCAGTACTGCAGCCTGGGGCTTTAACCCTCTGTGCCACAGCACCAGCCCTGAGATGCTTTTTGATTGTGATGACTGGAGTGGGTGGCACCACTGGTGGGCAGAGGCCACGGGTGTTGCTAAACATCTTCATATTTGTAGGAAAACTCTCACTGTTCCCCATAACAGAATCAATCCCACCCACATGTCAGTAGTGCTGAACTTGAGAAACAGAGCTTAATAGAAAGAACTGTTCACCTAATGCTTTTGCATTTATTCATCCTTTCACTAAAAGCAAGCAGACAAAACTGCCACAACTTATTCTTTTTCTACTATGTGTCAGGCCTCAGGGGATACAAAAATGAGTAAGCTAAGGATAGAATTGTTTTCAAGGAACTCAGTGTCTCAGGGTAGACCCCCCTCCTTTTTTTTTTTTTTTTTTTTTAAAGATTTATTTATTTATTTGAGAGAGTTACAGAGAGGTAGAGGCAGAGAGGAGAGAGAGAAGTCTTCCATCGCTGGTTCACTTCCCAGATGGCTGTAGTGGCCGGAGCTGGGCCAGTCCAAAGCCAGGAGCCAGGAGCTTCTTCTGGGTCTCCCACGCAGGTATAGGGGCTCAAGGACTTGGGCCATCTTTTACTGCTTTCCCAAGCCATAGCAGAGAGCTGAATTGGAAGTGGAGCAGCCGGGTCTCGAACCAGCGCCCATATGGGTTGCTGGCATTGCAGATGGTGGCTTTACCTGCTATGCCACAGCACTGGCCCTGTTAGACCCATTTTTTTAGACCTATTTTTAATAGAGAACAAATATGCATATGTACTGGGCTCCTTCTTTCCTCCCTCCCTCCCTCCCTCTCTCCCTCTCTCCTTCCCTCTCTTTCTCCCTCCCTCCCTCCCTTCCTTCCTAATAAAGAACAAATATGCATATATACTGGGCCCCTCCCTCCCTCCTTCCTTCCTTCCTTCTTTCCTTCCTTCCTTCCTTCGACTTTTACTGAGCATTCTCCATGTGCTGTTTCCTTAAGTTATTTATTTTGCACAGAAGAAAGGAATTGTCATAGGATGATACTTATTCTCCTGAGGGGAAAATCTAGAGAAGAGGGGACATTTAAGTTGAGCTTTGGAGCTTGTGTGCAGAGATATGGAAGCATAAACAAAAATGCTATATTCATAGTATAGTAAACAGTTTGCTAGGACAGCTGCTGGCGTCTTTTTACAAGTTCAGGGAATCTTTGTGCGTATTAAAGAGTAGATGCCTCTGTTGAGTGGACATAGTCTGGAGGGCACAAGTTTCTGGCCCCTTGGGCTGGGTACACTGAGCAGTGCACAACCTGCATGACCATATGTGAGAATCCCAGATGAATTACCAGTCTGTGGGGCAGAGGATCAGCACTGGGCATGAGTATAAATATGAGTGGTTTTAGGCAAGGGGATGCCTTGATTAGTTATTTTAGAAAAAGTTCTCTGGTGGCTGCCCACTAGGAAGGGAAGGAAGGAAGTAGGGAGGTTGAAGGTACTTAGTAGGCTTGAGACAGTGATGAGGAACGGGGCCATGATGATAGCAAGGAGAAGAGAGAAAAGGGAACAGATCTGAGTGACACTGACAAGTCCCAGAGGTAGATTCAAAGTGATCTATTGTGCGCACTGAACGAGATGAACAAGTCAGCGATTCTGAGGAAGCCTGGCGGGTAGTGCTGCAGTTTCTAGAGAATGCTGTTCTGGAGAATAATGTGGGGCATGTGCTTTTGGGTTTGTTTGCAGGAGTTCCAGGTAGAACTGTCTGGAAGGCAGCTCAGGACAGGGATCAGGAGTCTTCAGCCTAGAAATAAGAATGAAACTCTTGCAAGTGATTAAAGATCGTTCTAGAGAAGAATGTGAGGAGCAGGTAAAAAAAGGGGTCCAAAACAAAATACAAAGCAGGCCCAGTCTGACTTAAATGGTGCAAGGCCAGTGAGTTATACCATTGGCTGACATTCATATAACACTCACCACAGGCCAGGCACTGTCCTAAGAACTTTATGTGCAGACTTACTGCTTACAACCCTATTTGCTGTTACTGTCCCTATCACAGATGAGGAAACTGAGGCACAGAGATACTGTGTAATTTACCCAAATCGCCCAGCTACTACTAGATACTAAAAGCAGGACCTGGAGCCCAGGAAACCTGGCTAGTGTGCATCTAACCAGACTGTGATGGAGGAGCTGGGAAGAAACAGGAAGGAGGAAAGCAGAAGAGGTTGGGGTCCCTAAACCCAGGGACAAGTGCGTTTCTAGAAGTTGCCAGCAGCATCAGCCTGGATGGTTGAGAAGAGGCCGTAGAAGATGGGAACTGAGGGAAGCCGCCCTGCTGACTTCAGCAGGAGCAGCGTTGGTGGCCTTGGTGGCAATTTGCTCCCGGAAGGCTTAGAGGGAGGTGTGGACTAGAGTTGGGGTCTGGAGGATTTTGTTTCAAGAATTTTGGCTTTGAAGGGGAGAAAAGAGGGTGACAGATTAGGGGGTGGCAAGTAGCAGGGGCAGTTACTACGCTCTCTATGGTGAGGGCTTGGTGGTATTTTCTGTTGCTTTGAGGCTTTGGAGAGAAACTGAGGGTCGGTCCTCTCATCTGAAGTTTAAAGGGGTCTGAAAGCCCTATGTTCAGCTGAATTTACGTGTGAACTTTATGCCAGTTATGTGAGCGAGCCTCACATCACAGGGAATTGAGAGTCTCACCAACAGGCACCCAGAATTAAAAGATTAGTCCTGTCTCTTAATGTAGGGGCTGCCGTCTTTTCTTTCTCCATCCCCTAATTGCAGTGCCTTGACTGCAGATAAGACCGAGGTTAGTTTCCTGTGGCTGAGTAGCAATTTATGAGAAGGGTATGGCTTAGAACAAAGCTTGGGTATTATTTCCAGTTTTGTAGGTCAGAAGGGTAGGCAGGCTCAGCTGAGGTCTCCCTTTGGAATCACCCAAGGCTAAAGTAAAGCTGGGCTCTTATCTGGAGGCTCTGGAGTGGAATCCACTGAGATTTAGTTAAGTGTCCTTGTGATCACTTGGATGAGTCAGGCTTGCTAGCTCATCATATTCAGACTCCTAGGTATCAGAGCAGGAGACCTCTAGGGTCATCTTAGAATTCAGCCAACCCCATACCTGGCTGCTAATAAGTCAACTCCAAGCTAATCATTGAGAGAAACTTCTAGAGTCCAGGAAGTAGCCCAGGTAGCCACCAAAAGTTGACAGTGCCAATCTCAGTTTCTGTCGCATTTAGTCCTGAGTCCAGATACAGCCCCAGGACATCTGTTGGGAAGCTCACTGTGGGACTCAGGTTGGGGGTGATGCAGAGGGTGACGGTGCAGGTGCACTGGAATACGGAGAAGATGTCTCTGCACTGCCGGCTTTGTCTCTGAGCTTCTGGACATGAAGGGAGGGGAGTGCTTGCAGTTTACTGGTTAATAGTGATTTTCACCTTTCAGATATATTCTGCACATACTGAGCTCTCCACTGCAGTGAGGCCTGAGTACTGCCTTGGCACAGGATGGCTAGAGAATCGAGGGAAAGCGCATCCCTGGATGCCCACGCTGCGGAGGACCAGATGGAGCTTCTTGTCATAAAAGTGGAGGAGGAAGAAGCCTCTGTCTTTGCAGAGGAGGCCAGCTTGCCCACCAGCTCTGCTCCGGGCTCTGAACGCTCCCGCCAGCGCTTTCGTGGTTTCCGCTACCCAGAGGCCGTGGGTCCCCGCGAGGCACTGAGCCGGCTCCGGGAGCTCTGCCGACAGTGGCTGCGGCCCGACCTGCACAGCAAGGAGCAGATCCTGGAGCTGCTGGTGCTGGAGCAGTTCCTGACCATCCTGCCCGGGGACCTGCAGCGCTGGGTGCGCAAGCAGCGCCCAGAGAGCGGGGAGGAGGTCGTGGCGCTGTTGGAGTATTTGGAGAGGCAGCTGGAGGAGCCGCCGCCGCAGGTAGAAAGAGCAGGTTTAGTATCTGAGCGCTGCGGTCTGTGTCTTCCAGAAACCTCCAGATCCAGTGGAGGGCGTTACTCTCCCCATCTCCTTTTGTGCTGTGAACCTCCCTGGCAGTAGGTGAAGGCCCTCCCCTTTCTCAGAGGAATGTTTTTAAGTGCAAAGGAAGATTCAGACAGTTCCAAAAGAACTGAATGCTATTGGAATTCTGGGGGTTAAAGTACTACGTTTGCCATAAAATGATACATGTGCTTTTTACTTAGAGCACTAAATAATAAGACCTAGGGACAGGGCCAATGCCTGGTGATTTCAAAGTGGCAGTACGTGTGAGTGATGTTGACCGTATGTGCCTGGCTGTAATGTGATGTGAAAACACCTGTGGTTCCTATTGGTGCCAGAGTCCTATTGGTGTGGCACTGCTTATGCCACACTGGTTTGTTGCTTTCATTCATAATCAAAGGAAAAATAATGGTTTTTTCCTATCAGATTCATGGACCACTTGGGAAGGAGTCCATGGGCCATTGGTTACAAACCTCAGGGAGAAGATGGATCCATTTGGAACCTCCATCTCCTCTCCTATTTAATGAGGCAGTCTCCCTGGCATCTTCCTGTGTCCTTTGCACATTCCCTCAGAGGTCATTGGCGCAAGCCTTCCAACCAGTAACCTGGAGTCCAAGATTCTTGACTTGGAACTATTGCACCTGAGCCCTGAGACAGTGAACAGTCATGTCAAATATCGTAGCTTCGATCTTTGTATAGGACATGAGAAATTCTTAGCTGTACACGTGGAGAAGTATCTTGAAAAGTATAATTTAACTATAAATGTCCTGGGGAGAAAATGAAGACATGTCATATGCTGGACTCTATGTTAGATGACTTCACATACTGTGACCTCACTGGTCCCAACAAACCTTAGGCTAGAAATTATTATCCTCATTTTTTCAGAGAAGATACTAGTATTCTGTGAGAATTTATCAGCAATTTCCAAACAGTTTTCATAGAAGCACAACTGTATGTGATGAGGGAGTGTAGACTAATGGTTAAGAGCATGGGCTGGGGAGTCATCCTGCCCAAGCTGTCACCCTAGCATTGCTACATTAGTTGAATTACTATGAGCAAGCTACTTAAGCTCACCACACTTCTGTTTCCCCATCAATAGATGGGAAATAGATGAGAATGATAATAGTACCTCTCTTATAAGGTGGTTGTTTTTGTTAAATAAGTTAATATTTGTAAGGCTTTTGAAAAGAGTTTCAGGCTCTTAGAAAGTGCTACAGAAGTGTTTGATGGATTAATGAAAATCAAAATAAATGAATGATTTCTAGGTCCCACCTGACAGCCAGGGGCAAGAACTGCTAGGCTACAAGATGTCACTGTTGACACCAGCTCAGGGGTCACAGAGTAGCCAGTTCCAACCAGTGAAGGCTTTATTGAAGCACAGACCTCTGGGATCCCAGCCTTTGCAAGACAGAGGTGAGTACCATTTTCTAGGCTGTGTAGATTCTATAAATCCATTTTTATTTAAGGGTCTCTTGCAAGATCCATAGACGGTTACTGTATTTGCCTGTCCTGGTTGACTCTCCTTTGAGATTCAGCCTGAAAGGGCAATTTCAAACCCATTGATGAAAAGTTTTCCGAACTAAGTCTAGGCAGAGTAAATAAAATTTTACTAAAATTTGGGCTTTCAAAGAATTGGTTCTCCATTAATTTAGCATATAATTATGGAGGTCTCTAATGCAGTAGCCAGTGTTGTTGGCACTGGGGTTCAAACTGTCAGTGAGAAGAGTCCTTGTTCCAGTGTTGCTATATTCAGATGGTGAAGATGGCAGATAAACAGATTAACAATACACTTTTAGATAGTGGTCAGTTTTATGAAGAAAATAAACTGAATTTGTAAAGCCAGCCAGAATATTCCACAGACTGTATGACTGATACAAATTAAAATGTATAAACCTTGTAAACTTTACATCTGTGATTAAAATAACTTTAAGATTCACTCCAAAGGAATGACTGTATGTTCTGAAATGTTCTCTCGTGTGTCCTAAACATGGATGTAAGTTTCCAAAACAAGTAACATTGGGATACATCATCCAAAATGCAATCTTTATTTCTCAACAGTTTCTAACCAACTGTTTTCTGTTGCTTTTGTTTGCCTCCCATAAAGAAATCTCACATTTTGAAATTTTTTCTCTCCCTTGAATCTGAGCAGATTTCTATTTCCTCCCGTCTAAGCTCAGATCTGTTTGTTTTTGATTTTTTAAAACCAAAGCAGAAAACTGTTACTAAAATTGTACTAACCCAAATGTTACTCCCCCCCCCTCAGCAAAATTCAAGGAATCTTCAAAGAGCAGCTTTATTTTTTTTAAATATGTATTTGAAAGACAGAGTGGGAAAGATGGAGAGGGAGAATCTTCTATCCACTGGCTCACTCCCCAAGTGGCTGCAACAGTCAGGCCTGGGCCAGGGGACAGCCAGGAGCTAGGAGCTCCCTCTCAGTCTCCCACATGGATAGCAGGGGTCTAAGTACTGGGGCAGTCATCTGCTGCCTTCCCAGCACGTTAGCAGGGAGCTGGATCAGAAGTTAGGACTTGAGTTGGAGTTCTGATAAGGGATGCTGGAAAGCAAGGCTTAACCTGCTGTGCCTCAGCACTGACCCCTAAAGAGAAGCTTTTTAATGTTATTTTATTCATCTTAGCACTTTCAACAAGGACCCTGCCTTTTTGTTTTTGTGTGGTTTTGTATGTGTATAGAGCACACCATATTGGATCTGGTAGGGATCATATTTTGGAAAGGAACGCACTCTGTATAAACTTGTTTGGCAGGGATTTATTAATCTAGTTTTGAACCTGGATTCCATAGGCAGGGAGACTGCGTACCAGGGCAGATCTCATCCGGAGCATCTTTCCCTCTTAGTTCTCCAGGTTCCTTGGCTTACCCAGGAAGGGAGCTGCAGAGAAGACACAGTGGTAGCCGCCAGGCTCACTCCAGAGTCCCAGGTGAGCTGGGGCCCTGTCCCTCCACAAATGCCCTTTACTTGTGTTGTGCTTCCTGTGGAGGTCCCTCCCTCCCCACTCCACCTTTACCCTCATCCTGGATCTTCCACTCAGATCCTAGGTTGGACCTAAATATTCTTATTTTTCTCAAGGTTGTTTATCACTAACTTCATTTTGGTGTCCACTTACGGCACTTTTTCTATTTTATTATTAGCTGGGGGAAGGGGGGTGCAGTCTGTGCTACCCAGATCCTGTTTGGTTGGTCTCTTCTTATACTGCTTTAGGGGTTGCTGAAAATGGACAGTGTGGCCCTGTCCCTCACTCCTGAGTGGACACAGCCGGATTCATCTCAGATGAACCTCTACAGGGATGAAAGGCTGGAGAACTATAGCAGCCTCATCTCCTTAGGTAAGACAAGTGGACATTCATCTCTCTTCAGGTTTCTTGACATGCTTTGTATACTACATGCTACTGGGCTCTTAAAAGCTGTTGAGCCCCCTTGTGTTTGGATTCAGAACTACCATTTTTGAGACTTTGTACTGACTAGCTCCTTAAACCCTCTGATCTTGCTTTGCTCTTTGCCAGTGAAGTGGGATGAAGTATAGGTCCGGCTCACAGGACATGCACAGCAAATGTTGATTTCTTCCCCTCTCTTTGCGTTCCTAGCCGACGAGGAGGAAAATGGGCCACGGGGCCGTGTTCCACGTGACCTCAGACATTGACTGCAGACCTGACCGTAGTGGTCAGAGTGCAGAGGTGCTCGTTACCTGACTTGTCCGAGATCACACAGTTAACCAGTGACACAGTGATCTCCCTCGCTAAAGCGCACTATGTTGGGGGAGCTGCCTCTGCCTGGGGCACAGTCAGAGATAACAACCCTTTATCACTGGGGACTAATTTCGGAGCATGCTTTTCCTGCTTCTTACAGAATGCTTCAGAAATCCTTTCACTTGCTCTGTTTACTGTTGCTCGTAGTGTAGTGTCTGCCATCCTAAGTGCATGGCCCTGGCTCACTGTTCTTAGAGCTTAGAGCATATATTCCCAGCACAGTCTTTGCTCCTCACCGCCCTCCCCCATTCCCAACACCCTTCTTCCTGTGGCCCCCTCCCCATTTTCGGGTGTTCCTCCTCCCCAGCGCTCTGTCTCCCCTTTATTCTCATCCTGATTGTGCACTTAAAGCCTTATCCTTGACCTGTGTGTAGACCTCTGTCATGCTTGCCCCTTAACTCATCACAGCGCTTTCCTCCACGGCAGTGCAGAACTAACAGTGGACATTGTTGTTCCAGGTGCTGACGAACAGACCAAGGTCAGGGACTTGCCTCCAGCCGAGCCACATCCAGAACAGGAGCCCGGCCAGACACCAGGGCACCTGGGTGGTGACACTGCCCGGATTACCACAGGTGCACAAGCTGGTGAGCTGGAGGGCAGGCTGCAGAGAAAGCCGAGAAATGCCTCAGGGAGGAGGCAGCACATTTGCCTTGAATGTGGGAAGAGTTTTGCTCAGAGTTCAGGCCTTAGTAAACACAGGAGAATCCACACTGGAGAGAAACCCTACGAATGCGAAGAGTGTGGCAAAGCCTTCATTGGGAGTTCTGCCCTCATTATTCACCAGAGAGTCCACACTGGGGAGAAGCCATATGAGTGTGAGGAATGCGGCAAGGCCTTTAGTCACAGCTCAGACCTTATCAAGCACCAGAGAACCCACACTGGGGAGAAGCCCTACGAGTGTGAGGACTGTGGGAAAACCTTCAGCCAAAGCTGCAGCCTTCTTGAACATCACAGAATCCACACAGGGGAGAAGCCATACCAGTGCAACCTGTGCGGCAAAGCCTTTAGGCGGAGTTCCCATCTCCTGAGACATCAGAGGATCCATGGTGATAAAAACGCTCCGGAACCTGGGCATGGGGAGGCCTGGGAATGCCAGAGTCGGGTGGAAGGCCAGTGGGAAAATGTTGAAACTCCTGTGTCTTACAAATGCAGTGAGTGTGAAAGAAGTTTTACTCAGAATATAGGCCTCCTTGAACATCAAAAAATCCACACTGGTGAGAAGCCCTATCAGTGTGACACGTGTGGAAAAGGCTTCACCCGAACCTCATACCTTGTTCAGCATCGGCGAAGCCATGTAGGGAAGAGAATTTCATCACACTGATCCATGCTGTGCGTGACACAGTAGGTGCTCATTCCTCATGGAGCTGAGGCCACCCTGGGGCCCAGTCCATCCTGACTACAAAGTGTGGCCTGGGGCTTTATTTACCACCACATATCACTACGTGTTAGAAAATATGAAGTCTGACTGACAGAAATTGTTTTCTAGTTTCTGGAACATGATTAGACAAAAGCTTACTTGATGGGAGGCTAGGGGAGAGTTGTCTGGAAGAGGTGGGACCTGCTTTGTTTCCCAGCCACTGGGATTAAATGGACTCAGATTGACTACTTCCTCTCAGCCAGCACTTTATGATGTCTACTGGGTGGTGGGTATGATGGAGGCTGCCTTGTGACTGTTGACTAGAATTAGTCATCCACGGTGGGTCAGATTCATGGAGTCTTATATCCCTCTTTGTGCCTTGCAAACAGGTGCTAATTAAATATGTAATAAATGTGCCAGTGAGAGTACCTACCTAGCTCGGGAGGTTTTACATTATTTAGATTTCTTTGGAATTTATCACCAAAGAAAACTTGTATCTAATTTCTGGGATTCTACCGTTTTGAGTCAATTTTGTGCATTTTTTTGCCAGTACATGGGATTGGCAGAGTAGAGGCACAGGTGGGGTTACTGTGATAGGAAGGATCCATGTTTCTCTACAATACCTGTATTTATTTCTTAGTCTTTAAATCATTGTGAATGTGTGTCATCCATCGAATTCCATTTTTTAGTTAATTTTTCCTTGATGTTAATTTTGGTACTTTTTAGGGAAAAATTTTCCTATTCATGCAGTTATCAAGATGAAATCGGTTATCCAGTCAGAATAAAATCATCAATTTTCTAATGCTTAGCCTCTTGGTACTTGGCCTTTTAGTTCTCTTTGGCCTAACCAAGTGCCCTCAGTGCTGTAGACATTATCCTGCCCCCTCCAACATACTGTGTAAATTGCATCAAAGCTCATCCCTGCTAAATTCACACTTCCTCCAGGTCAGTGGAGTCACATCAGATATTTAAAGTAAGAAATCATGGTTTCAGAACCCTACTATTAGTGTCTGATAGTTTTAGTCTTATTATAGATTGATTCCCAAATCACCTGGGTAGTAACATCACAGTCATTTCTGATGAGAACTTTAACCATTAAGCTAACTCCTCAGGCTGTCTGCCTTCCATTAAACGTACTTTCTGGACCATCCATTTTTCTTCTTCATAGGAGTCAAAATTTCAGCGTTGTGAATTCAAATGAGAAAATGTTTTTTAATCACATTACACAAGTAGTACTTATGTTTCAAATGAAATTGTTTCTACAAGAGTATTTTGGAGTGACTACTTTCTTACAAACTTTTGTTAGCGTTATCAGTTCTTACTAAAGAAATATTCTTTCATTAGTACATCAGTTCTCATTGCTCACCTGGCTTCTGGCCACTGCAGTCTCTTCCATATTTATAGTATCTGTCTAAGATTCTGATTTGGATATAGCAGATTTTCAGTCATTTTCCACAACTAATGGTTAGGCAACATGATATATTATTTCCTGCTGTACTCATTTTTACTTTATTTATTAGGAATTGAACTGTCATCCAAAATCCTTTGTAGATCTACCCAAGTCCCTTTTTTTTTTTTTTTTTTTTTTGCCAGTTTCCAAGGCCTGGTACTTCCAGGATTTCAGAGATCTAATGTAAATTGTTTTTATTACAGTAATAAATCATATTGTTATTTTAATTGAATGGATTCTTAAGTTGTTGATAAGAATACATTCCATGGTTCCCAAACTTTCTGAGCATATATTAGTCAGGAGTCTGCAGAGAAGCAAACCAGTAGTGTGTGTGTGTGTGTGTGTGTGTGTATGTGTTGGGGGTGGGGGTTAAGGAATTGGTTCCTGTGACTATGGAAGCTGGGAATTCACTGAAGCAATGTTTCCACTGTCTGCCCGCTAGAGACCCAGGAGAGCCTAGGGGTGCGAGTTCCAGTCCCAGTGCCATCAGACTTGATCAGAGAGGAGCCACTTTTTCAGTCTGAGTCTAAAAGTCAGAAATGATTGATGTGTCAGCTCATTGTAGTTAGGTGGAAAGCATACACATTTCTTGTGGAAATAGCCTTTCTTCTCTTGAGGCCTTCAACTGATTGAGTGAGGGCTACCTACATTAAGGAGGCAATCTATGAGTCTACTGGTTAAACTATTTTTTTTCTCATCGCAAAACACCCTCAGATGCACACTCAGAATGTTAGACCAAATATCTGGTACCTCATGGCCCAGATAGATTGGTATATACAATTAATCAGCACAATACTATACTTAAGGCACTGAAATACTAACCATGCTCCCCCTCTCTGACCTTTAGTCACTTTAATTGGCAGTAGGAGCCTGGGAAATGATGTCTGTAGCCCCCTACCTGGCTTACAGATCAGGATGGAGGATTGGTCTGAAGACTGGAGACAAGGTAAGTGGGCTGGCTCACCATCACAGCATCCTCTAGCAGAGTTCTTTGGGGACTCACTTGCAAAATAGAAATTGACAAGAGCCCGCTGTGCAACCCAGACAAGGCTTATTGGGGGCTTTATGCTCCAGCACAAGGGAGACAGCAGTGAAGGAGGGAGATTTGAGGGTTAGTTCTGCCAAGTGGTTCGATGAGGGAAGCTGGACAGTGGGGAGGCACAGTGGCTCTCTGCTGGCACACAGCACTTGGATCTGCACCCAGCCTAGAGCTCTGGCTTATGCTCCTTGGCACATAACACTTTGGTTTGCACCTGCCTCGTTCTTCTGTTACACACAACAAGCTCAAAATGTTTGTGGGAAAAGGGACATAGTGTTGCTAACTACCAGAAAGGACGCACATTGGTCACACTGAGCTATCCTGGGAATGTGTGTGAGTCAGGGAAGTTCCTAACAGGGCAGTAGGAGGTCTTTTGTGGTCAGGGCAGGGTCTGGATTCTCTTTTTTACAGACTGGTTTGGAGCTGGAGGTGGGTCCATGGAAGGGTCTTAATTTAGTGGGTCTGCTTCTAGCCTGTTTCATTCCTGTTGAATAAATGATTCCAAAAGTTAGCTTTACTTGTTCTTTTGAATTATTAACATAAAATTGCCTGAGACCAGAGTGTTCACATTCCTATTTCCAGAATAAAAGTCTTTCCTATTTCTAAACAACTTACATCTGACAGTCATTCATTCAGCAAAACTGATTGTTAGATCAGGAGCTAAGGAATTAATGATAAACAACACAATGTCTCTACCTTTAAAAAGCATAAGAACTAAATTCTCTTCCATCTTCTAACCTAAGGTGTTTCATCCATGTCTGTCCTCATTTTCTTGTCAACTTTATAGTGTTTTTTCAAAAGAATGACTGTACCATAGCTGCCTGGTAGCTTCCATGCCTCCATCCATGACGCATCGACCAGGACTCAGCTGCTGATTGAAGCTCTAATCCTCCCTGAACGTGAACTCCTGGTAAGTTTTGTGAGGCACTGGGACAAGGCTATTTCCCTCTCATCTCCCTATCTAACGTGCATGTTGTCTTCCTCGCCAATCGTAAGGTCTACCTGAATGGTATGAAACTGCGGATCTGCAGCATTACCGCTCCACAGCAGCACAATATTCTACCATATGAGTTTTAGTCAAATGGCCTCTTTAGGCGATGTTTGTGGGAAAAGGGACATAGGGAGCTTGCACATTTTGTATTCTTGCCTTTGCTGTCTATATAAATTAAGAAACTGAATCCAAGAAGGGCCTGCTTTCTTTCCTAACCAAATATGCCTGCCTTTCCTTGATAAATTTGGTGCCAAACACGGGGCTGGTGTGGCCACAATGCCCTTTCAAAAGAAAGACTAATGCAGCCATCCAGGACAGAATAGGATAAGTGGGAAGACCTCCCGGGATTTGATAGCTCGTGTTTTTGGCCCACAAGAGGGGGAGAAGTAAAGGCCTTCCAACTGTTGCACTTTACCATTCACTGACTGAGGTTATAGGATGTGAATAGATTCCCAGTAGTCTACCTGCTGACAGATGTTTGGGGTCAAGTCACTGAAGGCTGGATTGAATCCAGTTGCCCAGTGCCTTAGTTGTCCAAATTTTGATTGTTGAGGCCACTTACAAATGAGTCAATGCAAATATCTGTCTACTGATGTGGAACTGATCCTTTGAACCCCTTGAACTCTCCTGCTATATATCTTACGTTACCTTAAGAGAAAAAGGCCTCTGAACCCCATCCAACTCTTCCACACAGTTCCTGGCTCCTAATCAAGCAGACAAATACTTTCCTGACTGTTACTGTCTTAACCCTATAAATGCCTACATTAAACTTACCTGTTTCTGTTTTAAAAAGACAAAGGAGGGGAGCTGTTTCAAAATTCAGCTGACAAGAGTTTGGAAAAACTTTGCAATGAAGAGAAAAAAGTTGCCCGGGTGGTGATCGGGGCGCGAATGACTCGGTGAACGACACAGGTGGCTGCCTCTTCTTGGCACTCTTCAGTACTCTCGGCACCGTTCAGGACTTCTCATATCTAAGGGATTTGTGTGTCGTTTAGCCGGTGAGATGAATGAGTCCTTTTTATAGTCTAGATGAAAGTCCCCTCAGAATTGTGGTTTGCAAAATTTCCCCCTGTATGTAGCTTATCATTTTTAGCCTCTTAAGAGGATCTTTCAGAGCAAGAGTTTTAAATTTTCCTGAAGACTTAATTGTAGTTTTTTTAATAAATTGTACTTTTGATGTCGATTCAAATATTTGCCTAGCCCTAGACTCTGATTTTGTCTTACGTTTTCCTCTTAAAGTTTTAGGCCAGGCCGGCGCCGTGGCTCAATAGGCTAATCCTCCACCTTGCGGCGCCGGCACACCGGGTTCTAGTCCCGGTCGGGGCGCCGGATTCTGTCCCGGTTGCCCCTCTTCCAGGCCAGCTCTCTGCTGTGGCCCAGGAGTGCAGTGGAGGATGGCCCAGGTGCTTGGGCCCTGCACCCCATGGGAGACCAGGAAAAAGCACCTGGATCCTGGCTCCTGCCATCGGATCAGCGCGGTGCGCCGGCTGCAGCGGCGGCCATTGGAGGGTGAACCAACGGCAAAAGGAAGACCTTTCTCTCTCTGTCTCTCTCTCTCACTGTCCACTCTGCCTGTCAAAAAAAAAAAAAAAAAGTTTTAGGCCTTACGTTTTAGCTCATGATTCATTTGGAGTTTGTTTCTTCCTGGCTTATGGTGTCCAGTGCTCCAGCACCATTTCCGCGAAAGGCTTTACTTCCTAGGCTGACATGCTTTGTGCATCTGGGAGGAGTCAGCTGGTTGTTTTCACTGAATTGTACGTCCACCTCTGAACAGTGCCTGCTGTTGATCACCACAGCTGTTTGGTTTCTTCCTTCCGCATCTTATCATTTTCAGCATACAAATCTCTTATGTCTTTGTTAGATTTATACCTAAATATTTTATTCTCTTTGGAGTGTTTACAAATGGCACTGCATATTAAGTGTCAATTTCCAAGTGTTCACTATTATTATACAGAAATAGTATTAATTTTTTGCATGTTGATTCTGTATCTTGCAATTTTGCTGAATTAATTCATCTGCCAATAATAACTTTTTTTTTTAGATCTCTTGGCATTTGCTAGATATAGAATCATATCATCAGCAACTAGGAACTTTTTTTCTTTCTTTTGACAGGCAGAGTGGAGAGTGAGAGAGAGAGAGAGAGAGAGAGAGAAAGGTCTTCCTTTTTCTGTTGATTCACCCCCCAATGGCCGCTGTGGCGGGCGCACCGCACTGATCTGAAGCCAGGAGCCAGGTGCTTCCCCTGGTCTCCCATGCGGGTGCAGGGGCCAAGCACTTGGGCCATCCTCCACTACCCTCCCGGGCCACAGCAGACAGCTGGACTGGAAGAGGGGCAACTGGGACAGAAGCCGGCGCCCCGACCGGGACTAGAACCTGGTGTGCCGGCGCCGCAGGCAGAGGAGTAGCCTAGTGAGCCGCGGCGCCGGCCCGAACTTTTTTTCAATTTGTATGTTTTCCCCCCTTTTTTATTTATTTATTTTTTCTTATTGCACTGGCTTGTACTTTCAGTATTGTGTTGAATAAGAGTGATGAGAGTGTGAGGCCAGCACTGTGGTGCAGTAGGTTAATGCTCTGCCTGCGGCGCCGGCCTCCCATCTGGGTAACATTCATTACCCTAATATCCTTTTTATTCTTGATGTTTTCCAATATTGAGTAACTGGTATGTGCTAATGATCTAGAATACAGCTGTGAACAAGACATGGCCCCACCTCCAAAGAGCTTGTAGTTACTTAACACCCAGCTTTATTTCTTATGCTCTATTATCAGATATTGAGAAACAGGTGTCACTGATACATATTAGAGGGTTGCATAACCTTTGGCTCAAATATCTGTTTTAACCCTGATTAAAATTAACTGGCAATATCTTCTGAAGTTGGATATAGGCATGAGCCAACAATTCCACACCTAGGTGTATTTCCAACAGCAATATGTATATAGTCACATCTTCACCTAAAGACATGTAGACTAATATTTATATAGCTATCCTATTTTACATATTTTATGAAGTTATTTAAATGCCCAACAGTAGTATGGATAAACTCTATTTACTTGGCCTGTGCCCACTTACTGCCATCCTCCTAATACTCATCCACAAGCAAGAACTCTTTTATAAAGTTTGTATTCTTGGTCCCAGGTAGAACACAGTAGGTGTTTAATAATAGTGGAACATAAAAGAGCTGAGCATTTATTGATTGATATTGAAGGAGTAGCTAAAGAAAGACCTAGGTGACAGATTTAAAACTGATTTGCTCTCTTTTTTGGGGGGGGGGGGGGGCTATCTCCTAATTCAGGCCTCTCTTTTTTTTTTTTTTCCCCTCTGCCTATGAAAATTCTCCTGGTGGCTTAGATCAGATTCTAAGAATCCAGAACCTTACTACTAATATTTTCTCCACTTTCACTTGAATGAGGTGAGTTTGTGATTCACGCTTAAAGTTGCACTTAATAGGATAAGGCTGTGGTTTCCAGTCGTTTCATCTAATAGGAGTCTCCTGTTTTGCCCTGAGTAATTCACAAGGCAGAGCTACAAAACTGCCAGGAAGCTAGCTGATCACCCTAGAAAATGGTGCATAGGGGAATTCTGTGGTTTCTGCTTTTGTCAGATTGGGTACAACCTAGCCTCTGACTAGGTTGGCCTTGGTGAATGGAAGTCCATGATTTGAGCCCATGCATAACCCCAAACCCTGTATTCATGGCCACACTGTTCATGAGCCCATTAAGTAATGACAAGTGATGATGTCTAGGGAAAGAGGTTGACCGGTATTCACAAGTCATCCCATTCCCTTGATTAAAATGCTCCACTCTGGAGATCATCTTTTGGTACGCATTCAGTAGTACACACACATTTTCATATTGTGTGCTCATTTGGAGGGGTCTATCTCAATACTTTTCTCCAGACTTCCTTGTCTTAGGTATTTCAGTCAGGTTCCTTCTGAGTCCGACCATTCAACCAAGCCAATGATAAGAGCCCACAAATGATTATGGACTCATATTTCTGGCCATCTCTACTTATAGGCAAAATTAACAAGGTGCCTTGCACAAAATTCTGTATCCTGGGAGAATTGTGCCTTATCACTGTCCTTTAGGGATATCCCAGATATCCAGGTTGTAGTGCCACAGCTCTCCACTACTTTCGGATATTGCCTGCGTGTCATTCATAATCTTCTGCAAATCAGACCCAAGTATTTTCTTCCTGTCAATTGGCCACAGAGAGCTTCCTGGTAGGTTCAGGTAGATTGAGTACATCGCAGTAGAGGCCATGAGTATTTGGGTCACTTTCTTATGCGACTTGTGCTGTCATGGCCTCCTTCAGCCTGCTCTTCTCACTTCTACTTAATAATCCAGTGCTGCTGTGCTAGCTCAACTTGGTGATTTCGGTGATCAGGCAATAACTAGTGGTAGGCAGATCATGGCACATAACCTGGTCATTGATGGCCAAGCATTTATCCTCCACCAAGGTCCCATAGCAAGGTAAAAGTTGTATCTGATAGGAGAGTAATTTTCTGCAGAAAATGACATGGTTTGGCTCCAAAATTCTAAGGATCTGTGTTATGATTAAAAAGATCCTGCCAAAAAAGTCTCCAAAAAAACATCTGCCATTGACAGTTCAAGATCCATCGGATCTACTCTGTTACAGAAGAGTTTCTAGTTCCAAAGTATCAGTAATGGGGCCTGTAATCTACTTACTCAAAGGGTAATGTCTCATGAGCAGGAAAGCACCTGAGGAGACAGATGCTAACATATATCGATTACCCTTTATATGCCACTAGGTGCTAGTTAGGTGCTTATGTTTATTAATGAATTAGGGGATCATATTCCCTGTTTACAAATGAGGAAATGGAAGATCAAAGTAGTTTAGTGACTCAAGTGGAAAAAAAAAATTGATGTAATCAACCACATGGATGAATCTCAAAATAATTATGCTAAATGCTAAATGAAGCCACATTGAGAGAGAGATCATTAATATAAAATTCCAGGACATACTAATTTTATTCATAGCCATAGAAAGCAGAGTAGATTGCTTGGAGATGGGGATATAGTATAAGTAATTATCAAAGTTATCATTAAGGAATTATCAAAGAACATGAAGAAGACTTTCTCAGGAGGTAGATTTGTTCATTATATTGATTATGGTGGCTGTTTCACAGGTGTACATAGCAAAACATCAAATTGTACATTTCTGCTGTTCACTGTATTTCAGTTATTCTCAATAAAGCTATTTAAAAGGTCATTAACAAATTACATTGCATAAAATGAAAATAAATTTGAAAACCTTAATAAAATAAATAATTTCCTAAGCAAATAGACATTAACAAAATGAACTCACACTATAAATAAAAATCTCAAATAGACCAAGGAACTGTTTCACAAAAATGTACCCAGCTCACAGAGTTTCACGTCAGAATCTATCCTTCAGAGACCAATAGTTCCAATGCTTCTTGAATTGTTCTAGGACTTTACAAATGAAAAATAATTCTTTTTATGATATTAAGAGTGAAAATTAAAAATACAGTATAAAAATTACATACTGATTTCATGTGAATATTGGAGAAAACATACTAAAGATATTAGCAAGGTAGCTTATTTGGCATATTCAGAATGTGGTGTGACTAGAGTGAGCATTTTGCCTACTGGTGCTCACATCCCATACTGGAGTACATCCCATATTGGAGTATCTGGGTTCAGTTTCTGGCTCTGGTTGCTGACTGTGGCTTCTTGCCAAGCATACCCTGGAAGGTATCAGTGATGGTTCAAGTATTTTGATTCCTGCCACCCACATGGGAGAACTGGATTGAGTTTCTGGCTTCTGCCCGGCACAGCCCTAGCTATTGCGGGCATCTGGGGAGTGAACAAGCAGATGATGCGAGCTCTCCCTGTTTTTCTGCTTCTCAAGTAAGTAAAAATACAGATGACTAAGTGAGATTTATTCCAGGAATACAAGGTTGGTGTGACATTAGGAAATCCTTTTATATAAATACAGAGTTAAGGAAAAACAACGTGGTTTCTGTAGATAATGGAAAAGCCTTATACAGAATACAGTGTACCTTTTAAAATACTGACTGTATGCCTATATAAAAAACTGAAGGACATACAATAGGTTAAAAACCACAATTCTGAAATAATCACTGCAAAGTTTCAAAATACATAGTTTCTACAGTTAGTGACCTACTATAAAATACATAAGCGTCCTTATTCTATGGATGGGTACAGAGTGGACTCTTACCAACATGCAGGAGGATGCTTTCTAAAGATTTTCCCATCTTGTTGCCTGTAGTTTTTAAAATGGAAAAGGAAAAGGAAAAAAAAAGTTTCTTAAAGTACTAGCTTCCACAATGTTAAATTTGCATTTTCTAGAAGGAAACATATTTGTCAACGTGCTAGATGTAAAGTGTTTTTCTATTGTAAAAAACAAACCAAAGCTAAAAGAAATATAATCTCTGAAGGACACCTACACGGCCTTCTGTTGGAGAACACAGAGGCAGTCCCAAATATGCAAGTGCCCAGCAATGCACTGATGGGATTTTTAAAAACTAATTCACTAAATCGTTATGTGTGTGATTTTTTTTATGTGTCCTAGGGTGCTCATTCAAGGCTCTTTAGCCTATCAATAAAATACTGTATGTGAGAGGACTTCAAAAAGCTCATGGAAAACTGGAATTAAAACATGTGCTTGTTTTGGTGCAAAAAAATTTTGAAATCCATGCATATTTTCCTAATATGTATTGCTCATGAACTTTTTGAAGACCACTAGTGTGCACAAGAGTAGATGGTAATAATAATATAATAATAATAATAATACAGTCTATACTTGTTGAATTAAAGCTTTATGGAGGTGGGTGCTGCGGCTCACTAGGCTAATCCTCCGCCTGCGGTACCAGTACCCCGGGTTCTAGTCCCGGCTTCGGTCCTGGTTGCTCCTCTTCCAGTCCAGCTCTCTGCTGTGGCCCAGGAACACAGTGGAGGATGGCCCAAGTCCTTGGGCCCTGCACCCTCATGGGAGACCAGGAGAAGCACCTGGCTCCTGGCTTTGGATCGGCACAGCCTACTGGCCATAGCGGCCATTTTGGGGGGGGGTGAACCAACAGAAGGAAGATCTTTCTCTCTCTCTCTCTCTCTCTCTCTCTCTCTCACTAACTCTGCCTGTCAAAACAAAAACAAAAGCAAACAAACAAAAAAACAAGCTTTATGGCTGGTGCAGGCACAAGGGAAATAACATGTTCTCCAACCCACAGATAATAATATAGAAGACAGGGATGCTGGTAAACAGCTTATCTCAAAAGTCCTGGTTGCTTACATATACAACTCTTTAGGAAGTGAAAAATAACTCCTGACCTTTTCTTTTTTTGAGCTGAGCAATCACTTAATTTTTTTAAAAATTATTTATTTATTTGAAAGGCAAAGTCACAGAGAGGCAGAGGCAGTGGCAGAGAGGGAGAAAGAGGTTTTCCATCCACTGGTTCTCTCCCCAGATGGCCACAACGACTGGAGCTGTGCCAATCCGAAGCCAGGAGCCAGGAGCTTCTTCTGGGTCCCACGTGGATGCAGGGACCCAAGGACTTGGGGCCACCTTCTACTGCTTTCCCAGGCCACAGCAGAGAGCTGGATCAGAAGTGGAGCAACCAGGATTTGAACTGTTGCCCATATGGGATGCCGGCACTGCAGGCAGTGGCTTTATCCGCTCCGCCACAGTGCCAGGCCCCACTTAACATTTTTATTGGTTAAAATGGGCAATTCAGAATATCCCTCCCCCTCTATTTCGCCTATTTACATTAATTATTTTAACTTTTCAGCATTGTGAAGACTGTTGAAGTTTGACCTCTGTCCTTATAATTTCTCACAATCCTCTCATCTATAGGAGCTTCCCTAATGTATCATCACTGGTGTTTCCCAGGGCCCAGTCTCTGTCTGCAGCCTTTCCCACACTTAGCACACTGGCAAGCTTTCTCCTCAGTGTAACATTTTCAATGCGAAATATAGTTGGCGAGTCCTGGGAAAGCACTGCACATTTACCTGTTTTTTGGAGTTCTCTCCTGTGCATGCTCTGGAGCACAGTGAGGTCTGACATTAACACAAGGTTCCAGAAGACCTCCTTGTTGAATGAAGGCCTCCTCATATCTCATTTACCAGTCTCTCTCTCTCTCGTGGATTCTTTGATGTCAAGCAACGCCACAATGGTTGAACTCTTTCCTACTTTCCATATACTGATAGCTTTTCTTTTCCTTGTGGTAGATTCTCTGATAGGAAAAGACAGACCCATTATAAACAAAAGTCTCAACACTTGCTGATCTCAGGTTCTCCTCAGGATGCTAACTAATGACCCACTAGTAATTAAAATTTTCATTCTACCTACTGCACTGATATTGCAATTTTTATAGAGATTCTCCATACATGATTCATCATCTTTAGAACTTTTTTGTGTTGCAGCCATGTTCTTATTTTCATTTTTCAGTTACACCATTAGAAAAAAAAATTGCAGACAATTCAAATGTCAGTTTCCTCTTCTGAGATAATAAGACTTCAGAAACACAGTAAAAATAAAAACCTAAAGTGCATGCTTTGCTAAAGTCTCTGAGTTGGCATCTCAGTTTGTGAAGTACCCAAGAAGGCATGTATGGGTGCAGTCTAAGTGAGAAAAAGAGATAGAGGGGCAGAAAGAGAATGGAAGGACTTGGAAGATTTTCTCACAAAATGCGGCAGATCAGGAAGGCAGAATCAAAGAAGAGGAGCTCAGTTTGAATTCAGAGCTGACAAACAAATAATATAATGAAATAAGTTTAATTTGCTAAGTTAAAAGGAATACTTGCAGAGCCAGCATTGTGGCACAGTGGGTAAAGCTGCCCCCTGTGATGCCGGCATCCCCTGTGGGCAATGGTTCATGTTGGCTGCTCCACTTCTGATCCAGCTCCCTGCTAATGGTCTGGGAAAAGCAGCAGCAAATGGCCCAAGTGTTTTGCCTCCTGCCATCCATGTAGGAAACCCAAATGAAGCACTGGCTCCAGGCTTCAGCCTGGCCCAGCACTGGCCATTGTGGCCATCTGGGGAGTGAACCAGGGGATGGAAGAGCTTTTTCTGTCTGTCTGTCTGTCTGTCTGTCTCTCTCTCTCTCTCTCTCTCTCTATATATATATATATATAAAACTCTGACTTTCAAAATAAATAAATCCTTAAAAAAAGAATACTTATGATATATATCTAGGATACTACTAGACCTACATAATGTTCAATAAATATTTGTTGAAAGGATCAATAAACAGTGGAAGATAATAAAAGTTAACCTGAAATAACTAAACCAGTTTCAAAATACATACTAATTTGATGTGAAGAAATCAAGCAATGTGGAAAACTTACAGGGAACAACTTTTCCAGGTCATGTTCATTCATAAAACCCAAGGAGAAAGCAACGCTCTGAAGCTAAAGAAGTCAACCAGGCCAAAACACTAAAAACCTACAAAAATGGCTGAAGGTTTTTACTGCCGGAATCAGTAGTGTATGAGGAGGTGGGTGAAGGCAAGGTTTCGAGGGAGAGGGCACTACTAAGAGCTCTGTAAGCTTCCCCCAGGAGGCTCTCCTCTCCTTCTCTCCAGGGATCTTCCTCATCGGCCTTCTCTATCAAAAGGCAATGCTGAGAGCCAAACTATGATAGGATCTTAGTTTCTGATCTGAAACCTTTGATTCGAAGGTACTCTGTCTGCCGTAAGGAAATCTTGTTCTGTCCTTTAGCAATAGGTTGAAATTGGTCTTGAAAACTGAATTTGAAGCTAAAACCTCAAGGAAAAACACCCAAGTACACGCGAGTACAAACAAAAAAAAAACTGAATCTAGAAAGTTACAGAGGTGCACATGAATAACAGAGGAAATTAAAGCCCATAAGGGCCCCAAAGGCATTTAGTTGATCTTAAGGGTTCACGTTTTGTGTGTGTGTGTGCTGTTCCCAACGACTTTCACTAGTGGAGTCATAGGGATCCTCCTGACCTTTCCCACCTGTGGTTTGTCCTTCATTCAGGCTGTGTCGTCCACCTTTCCAGCACAATCAACACCTCCTTTGCACATTCTGGATGACGTTCCCCTACCTAGGTCTGCACCTGCTCCTGGGTGCGTATTTCTGGTCTCAGTAACTGCAGGCAGAGCTCCCTGGGTCTCTGGACAACCTGCTGAGGTCAGTGCATCTATCACCTGAGAGTGACAACTTAAAAGCTTGAAGAAAGATCTGTGATTTCTTTGCGAGTCTCACTCCTGGCTCCAGGTTCAGCTCTCTTCCTGTATCCTCATTCACTATTAGAGATCATTCCTGCAAGAGGATTGCCATTCTGGAATGAGAGAACTCAGGAGAAGATTCACTCCAGCCTGGGGTTCACACTGCTTTTTCATAAGCATTTCCTTGTAGCTAGTCTTCTTCCTGAGGCATAAAATAACAGTGTTAACAGAAACTGTAAATTTTATTTAGCACTTTTAGCCAAGAATTCACTTACCTGGACAATGCACTGAAAGAAAATGGTACTCCGTCAGAAAGTTAAGTTAGAGGAGAGCTCGGGAGTGACACTGCGATACCTTCTGCTAGTATTGTACTTCCTAAATGTTAACAAGTTGGATAGCAACCAAGATCTTTGGTTCTCTCCTTGAGAAAATCCCATATAAACAGTAGACCAAAAAAAATCATAAGTGAGAAAACAATAGCAAAAATTTATTTTGAATATACTATGAGTTTAGTCATTTAAATAGATTAAATAATCTGCTCAAAATCACGCAACTGGTGGGAGGAGTCTGCCGTCGTTTCCAAGCGTTGATCTTGGACATCACATCATTTCCCCCGAACGAACCTGGCTTCCCTTTTACCGGATTGGTAATCCCGACTTTCCTCCTCTTCTCAACAGTTCAGGATCCTGATGCCTCAAAACGTGGAAGCCATTCTTTAACATTCCCAGTCCTCGATCACATTCTACCAGGCAGTCTAACCTCCCCCAAGTCCCTAAAGGGCCGGGCTGGGCACTGCGTTCGAACCTGGAGACCAGGAACCAGGCCACCAGCACCTCCAGAAATACGTCACAGAGGCCGCTCTCAGGCGCGCCGCGGTCAGCGGCCGCCTCAGCATTCGGGCTTCTTTAGGATGCTGGAGGGTTTTCTCCTCTCTGTGGTTGCCCGGCTGCACCCGCCGTGCCGAGCCGCACAGGTTCGGGCTGTGCAGCCAGCTAACTCCACGGGTCTAATCTAGCAGGCTGGGGCGCTGAAGACCCCACTAGCATCGTCCTTTCGAACAGAATTTCCCAAGATCCGCTCCGAAGCTAAAAATTGGGAACCATAGTCCGCTCGTTATCTCTGGTAACTAACGGGGTGGAGGTAAGAATAATTTCTCTGTTCCAGTTTAGGTGATGTTTATCCCCTGCCGGCCACTGTTCAGCAGTTCCCAAGGCAAGAAAGTAAAAGCAGAGCTGAATGGGAGCTTTGATCCCGCCCCTTTGTGTCGCAGTTTGCTCCACTTCTGCTAATGGTCTGGGAAAAGCAGTGGAAAATGGCCCAAGTGTTTGGGCCCCTGCCACGCACGCAGGAGCCTGGAAGAAGCTCCTGGGTGTTGCAGCCATCTGGGGAGTGAGCCAGCAGCTGGAAGATCCTTCTCTGTCTCTGCTTCTCTCTATAACTCTTTCAAATAAATAAATCTTAAAAAAACGGGGGGTCCCACCACATATTGTTACCTTGAGCAGTTTAATTCATTGATTTCAATTTCTCTAGCTGAAAGTGAAAAAAACATAAAGTACTTAGGGATGTTAACAGGTGTAAAGTATTATTGTTAGTAAATCCTTTTCTCAGTTCCAAAAGATGGCCAATAAAAATGGCGGATGGTTTTGACTGTAACACCCTACAATCAATAACCTACTGAGTTGTCTTCCTACAGAGATAGCTTCTCTTCTGAGTACAGGAGTGTGGAGCATTTTTAGTTCGTTTTTCTTGGTGCCACCCACCTTCGTCCTCACTGTGTAGTTGAGATCTATCAGATCAGAGCCTGGCTTAATTCCATTATCGTTCTTTCTCTCATACTTCAATTTCCAGCATCCTCTTCAGTCCTTTTTTGGGGGGTGGGGTACATGGCCCCATCTTTTTTCCATTGCAACACCTTTCTCCTGTGCTGTCTGGATTGTTGGGCTATTTTTTCTTCCACAGGTCATGTCTAAGCTCACGTTACTTTTTATTGCTTTAGAAACGTGGCTTTTCCCTGCTGTCTCCCGGTGCTCTCATTATACATACACTGTTTTGGTTAACGTGGGTCAGTTAGAAAAGCAGGTCCGTCTTCTTCTCATCCTCACTTGTAAACCACTGCTTCATGATTCACCGTTTGTGTCTACAACACTCAGTACTACGACCGCCATTGCTTCCACCTCAGATCTGCTTTACTTTCCTATTTGTCCTCACTGTTCTGCCTCCAGCTGCTGGTGAGTTCAAAATCCATGAACACAAGGAGCTTCAAAGGTCTCTGATTTCTTAGGTTCCAGCACTGTCACGCCACACGTCTTTTATCCATTAAGATGTTTGATTTCATCACAAAGCATTCTGTTTACTGTGCTTCCCAACGTAACACCACCATTCTCTAACATCTGCCATATTCTCTACTTGCCCTTCAGGGACTTCAAATATTTCTGTAATGGCAATTTAGTTCCAATTAGTTAGCGTACTCCACCATATTTTCTTTATCCCATATAAATAACTTAATAGCCTTTGAAAATTCCATGTCCCTCACTGATTTTCCCCCTTAGGTAGTGTGACTACATTTAAGCTCAAGAAACAACTAGAACAAATACTCATTTATTTTTAAACAAATTACGAACTGTAACTTTCTATATAATAGGCATAGTCCTCTGTTCTAGGTCTTTGTTTATGGCCCCTTTATTGTATTAAATACTGAAGAGTTAAATTAACTAGCATACAGAAAGGCAAATGGAGCAACATGTGTGCAGAGACAGAACACGTTAAGTAGAAAATGAACTGAAAACACTTCAAGTAAAGGCATCAAGAGGAGCAGAAATCAAGTTTTAAAAAACAAGCGTTACATTTCAACGAGCAGATTAATCGAGTAATTTCAGTTTTGTTATAAAGCTGCGAAATCATGTTAGATGAGTATGGACAGCATTGGATTGGTGACAAGGACATTCTCATAAAGGGGGTTGTCACTAAGTAAATCCTCTCCAATAGAGTCTGTACAAAAGTCAGAAATGGGGGGCTGGTGGTGTGGCGTAGCAGGTTAAGCCTCTGCCTGTGACACTGGCATCCTATATGGGTGTTGGTTCAAGACCTGGCTTCTCCACTTCTGATCCAGCTCCCTGCTAATATGCCTGGAGAAGCAGTGGAAGATGGTCCAAGTGCTTGACCCCTCTACCCACGTGGAAGAAGCTCCAGGCTTTTGGCTTCAGTCAGCCCAGCCTGGGCTGTAGCAGCCGTTTGGAGGGTGAACCAGTAAACAGAAATCTTTCTCTGTCTGTCTTCCTCTCTATGTAACTTTGTCTTTCAAATAAAACAAGAAGATGAGAGAGAGAGAGAGAGAGAGAGAGAGATGGGAGGCAGGGTAAGCTTCAGGAGGAATAGGTCTTATATAATTACAGCTACACAACACTTGGGCTCACTCTGGGGTATATTTTTTTCCTAGTGCTGTATATGTGTAACCTCCAATGTTGGTGTTTATGAGATCCTAAATAAACTGTCCTAGATTTATGAATTTAAAAAAAAAAGATTTATGAAAGGCAGAGTTACAGAGAGGCAGAGAGAGAAAGAAAGAGGTCCTCCATCCGCTGGTTCTTTCCCCAAATGGCTGCAAGGGCTGGAGCTGGGCTGATCCGAAGCCAGGAACCAGAAGCTTCTTCCAGGTCTCCCACATGGGTGCAGGAGCCCAATGAGCTTTTACTGCTTTCCCAGACCATAGAGGAGAGGTGGATTGGAAGTGGAGCAGCCGGGACTCAAAACTAGTACCCATATAGGACAGAGGCAGTGCAGGCAGCAGCTTTACCAGCTATGCCACAGTGCTGGCCCCTGAATGTGTGTTTTAACTGTTCATTTGATTCTTCCTGTGACAAACTTAAGAATGTTTTGCTATACAGAATTGGTTCATGTAAATTCCAACCCCAAAGGCAAATTTGACAATAAATGCTATATCATAGTACTACCACTATCATTTCTATGAGAAAAATGTGTTCATATTTATAACTTGCAGAGCTAGGAACACACGTATTCTATATGATTAAGAACTCTTCTAATTCCAACCCAGTGATGATATTGTGTTGGGGCTATGGATAGAGGGGCAAGAGACAGGGGCACTAGGGAAATGGGAAAAGTGTATGTTAACATGTGTGGGAAGAAGATGCAACAAAGACACAGGCCTGGGCAGAAAAGGAAATTAGCAGTGGGACTGAAGAAGAATTTGAATTACCCTTCATTTCCTTTCTCCTCCTTCCCTTTTGTCTCTGTAGCGCTACTTCAAACTGAGGGGAGAACCTGTGTTAGACTGGGGTGGGAAGGTAGTCCCTGAAATTGTGGACCTTATCATGCAAGGTAGAAACATTTAAGTCTGAATAGATGGAAAGACCATGTGAAACCCTAGTTCTGGGCATGGTGGTATCTCATTTCCAATTCACCCTCAAGAACTGGGGGCATGTGTTCCTTGTGCTAAAAATCTACAGTGGACTCTTGTTTCTAAGGGCTGTGTTCAGCTTCTTCAGTTCACAGGCAACCATGAAGGCATCTGTGATTCAACAGAATGTCTCTGAAATTTTAGAATATATCAGGTGGTCCTGAGCTATAAAAATGAACATTGTCAAGTCCATCCTAGGCCCAGTGAAGCAGAGTATCTGTGAGTGGGACTCGGGTGGTTGCAACAGCTCCCCAGGTGATCCTGACGTCCATCAAAACTGGCGAGGCTCTAGAGTAACAGACAGAACTAGAAGTCATATAAAACTGCATGTAAGCTGTGTAGTATCACAGCTAACATAGCTATGACACACCATCTCCATGAACAAGAGGCTCTTCATCTTTAAAATGGGAAATAATTTTGGTTACAGAGGTCCTTTATAAATTGAATGAGAAAAGTCCTAGTTGTCAAAATGCTCTAAAGTATTAAATGAAATTACTGGCATTCCAGTCCTCTCACAGTCTATCTCCAAGATGTTTCCAACTTAAGACCATCAACTGCCCAATTTGAATGAACTCTCTTAATTTTGTCATGACTGCTTCCAGATTACACGCATTCTGACTTCTGCTTGTACTTGTTTGACCTTAATGTTTTATCCCTTTTGCTTTCCACATCTTCCCATCAAATCCTTGTCAGTAAAAAACTGATCACACTAGGCAAAATAATCTGTTCTACAGAATTTATAGCACTTATTGTCTGTCAAGTGTCACTTTCTATGCCACACTGAGCATCAACTCTACCATCCTGTAGTCTTATTTAACTAAATATGTGCATGTAGCAATCTCAAACTAGATTGTAAACTGAGAAAAGAAATCGGATGTTAATGCGTCTTGTTTTCCACAGTGCCTAACATAATGGACATTATACAGTGGGTTCCTGTTTAAAGATTGGATGGTTCCCTAGAGCAATAGTGACTGAAGTTTTGCCCCAAATCATGACAAAGCTGGTCTTCCTCACCAGCCTGCTGGTGAGGGAGCTTCCCTAGAGTCATCACACAGAAACTGATTTTTCTCCTTTGTGGAGAGTCTGATGTTGAATAAGAACTGAGTTCTGCCTGAACAATTCCCCACACTTATTACATGTATAGGGACCACCTCTATTATGGGTTCTCTGATGTTTACTAAGATCTGACCTCTGTCTGAAGGCTTTGCCGCACTCATCACATTGGTAGGGTTTCTCCCCCGTGTGGATCCGCTGATGCTGAATGAGGCTGGTGATTCCCCGGAAGGCATTCCCACACTCATCACACGTGTAGGGCCTCTCTCCAGTGTGGATTCTCTGATGCTCCGTGAGGACTGACCTTTGAGTAAAGGCCTTCCCACATCTGTCACATTTATAGGGTCTCTCTCCAGTGTGAGTCCGCTGGTGTTCAATAAGACTTGTTCTTTGAATAAAGGCTTTTTCACACACGTCACACTTGTAAGGTTTCTCCCCAATGTGGATTCGCTGATGCTGAATAAGGCCACTGTGGCTGAAGGCTTTCCCACATTCTTTGCACTGATAGCATTTTTCTTTATGGTGGATCTCCTGATGGGAAACCAGGGAGGAGCTGTAAACAAAAGCCTTCCCACAGTCATTGCACTCAAAGGGCTTCGCCCCGGTGTGCATTCCCTGGTGCTGAAGAAGTATGGAATGCCGACTAAAACTCTTATCACACTGGGTACACTGATAAGGTTTGTCTCACGTGTGGATCTTAAGATGGTGAAAGAGGCCTGCTTTTTGGCTAAAGGCTTTGCCACACTCATTACAATGGTAGTGTTTCTCTCCTGTGTGAAGTCTCTGATGTTGATTAAGAGCGGACCAGCGGCCAAAGGCTTTGCCACACTCATTGCATTTATATGGTTTCTCTCCAGTGTATATTATTTTGTGTCGAATAAGCACAGTTCTCCCACGGAAAGTCTTTCCACATTCTTCACACTTGTAGGGCCTGTCTCCAGTATGGGTTCTCTGATGTTCTGTAAGGCGTGAGTGCTGACTAAAAGCTTTTCCACGGTTATCACATTCATGGGAGTTTGCTCCGGGACAGAGTCTCTGGTGTTCGGTGTGCTCCGTGTTTGCAGTCAGACTCACTCCATTTTCATCACATGCAGGTGGTTTCTCTTGCCTGGAGTACTGATAAGATTCTGTTTTTCCTTTAGGTTCATGGGTAGCTCCACCTTCGGCAGCCTGGGGTGTATCATTCTCAAATCTTCTGCATATAGTCCCACGTGATTCCATTTCTTCTGCAACTTCTTGCTTTAAATTCCTGTACTCATTTCCAGCCTCAACATCTGAAACTACAAGGGGATCATAAATATTACCTAGTTTCCAGTTATAGCAGAGTAACTTCAGCAGGCGATTAAAATGATTCAAATGGAAAACATGTAACAATCTAGAGTTTCTATGTGACAATAAAATGGCATTAGATTATAGGAAGGCCCTCATACACAATGTACTGCAACAATTGTGAAGGGAGACATCAATAACCCAGCAGAGGACTGGGCAAAGGAAAAGTTGATGGTTTCTAGTGAAGCAAGCAAAATAGTTCTTAACCAAAAGAAAAGATGTTCCATCTCACAATCTTGGAAAAGCAAATTTAAACGATATTGAGATATAACTTTTCACCCATCAGAGTGTATCTAATCAGTTTGATATAACACTGTTAATGAAATAGATATCACACATTCTTGGCAGGAGTATGAACTGATCCAAACCCAAGCCTATATAGAAGAGCATTTTATAAAATCTATCAAATCACAATAGTATGTAACCCTCTTCCTAAAAGTTCCTCATATAGGAATGTATGCTACAGATGTATTCACATACACAGTTATTCACTGTAACATAATTTATTGGAGCAAAACAACAGAGACAAGTGACATCAGTAAGAAACTGGCTAATAATTGTGTGGTTTATCCATACATTTTAATATAAAGCAGCCATTAAGACATTTTTTAAATGTGAGATTCTATCATATTCATGATAAATAGAGGAAAAGATATCTGTTTCTATATTAAAAATGCACACGTAGAAAAACTCTCTGGGAGGACATACAAGAAACTAATAATTAGGGGGAGGAGACTAGATGGCTGTGCAAACTGAGTAGGAGGGAAACTTGGTTTTGAACAATTCAGACTTATTTAAAAAATTACATGGGTGAAAAAAATATAGAGGAAGTAGTAGCAAACATTTTATCACATTTGCCTTATTATTTCTTCATTATTCCTTCTCTTTATAATTTGCACAGTTTTTTCCTCTAAGAGTTGTAGACATCATGGCACAAAGGTTTATTTACTGAAGGAGGAAGTACAGAGTCCTAGCAGAAGACAGCGGGAATGTCTGGTAGGGCAAATGTTAGAAATAAAAGGGAGTTGAGTACAAAGTAGTAAATTAAGTGATTTCAAATAACATATAGTCTGAATTTAGAAAAATATGAATGTAAAAATAAAAAAGAATTAGAGAGGGGCCAGTGTTGTGGCACAGTGGGTTGAGCTGCTGCCTGAGACACTGGCATCCCATAGCAGAGTCTTGGCTGCTCTGTTTCTGATCCAGCTTCCTGGGCAAGCAGCAGAACATGGCTCAAGTGCTTGGCCCTCTGTCACCCATGTAGGAGGCCTGGATAGAATTCCAGGCTCCTGGCTTCTGGCTGAATCAGCTCTGGCCATTGTGGCCATTTGGGAGAGTGAACCAGAGGATGGAAGATCTCTCCTCTCTCTCTCTCTCTCTCTCTCTCTCTCTCTCTGTCTCTCCCACTATCTCTGTACTCTGTCTTTCAAATAAATAAAATAAAGCTTTTTTTTTTAAAAAAAAGATTTATTCAAAAGGCAGAGTTATAGAGAGGTAGAGAGACAGAGAACTCTTCCATCCACTGGTTCACTCCAAATGGTTACAACGCCTGGAGCTGGGCCAATACAAAGCCAGGAGCCAGAAGCTTCTTCTGGGTCTCCCATGCAGATGCACTTGGGCCATCTTCCACTGCTTTCCCAGGCCATAGCAAAGAGCTAGATTGGCAGTGAGGCAGCTGGGACTTGAACTGGTGCACATATGGGATGCTGGCACTGCGGGTGATGGCTTTTCCTGCTACGCCACAACGTTGGCCCCTAAAATAAATCTTAAAAAAGAGAGAGAGAGAGAGAGAGAGAGAGAGAGAGAGAGAAAGAGAAATCAGGTTGTCTGAGCTGAGCTGTAGATTCCTAGAAATTCTAGATGTTCATGATTAGAAACAGTACTAAGTATAAAAGAGCCTCAGGGAGGCCAGTGTTGTGGCATAACAGGTTAAGCCCCCACCTGCAATGCTGGCATCCAGTTCTGGCTGCTCCACTTGCGATCCAGCTCCCTGCTAATGTGCCTGGGAAAGCAGTGGAAGATGGCACCATACAACCCAAGCGAGAGACCCAGAAGTTCCTGGCTCCTGGCTTTGGCCTGACCCAGACCTGGTCATTGCAGCCCCTTGAAGAATGGACCAGCAGAGGGAAGATGTATCTCTCCCTGCTTTCCCCTGCCCCTCCCCCCAATAACTCTACCTTTCAAATAAATAAAATAAATCTTAAAAAAAAAAAAAAAGAATCTGTGTATGTCACTCTATCTTCCTGCTCCTCCTGAGATGGATCTCTCCTCCTTACCTTGCTCCTGTTGGGCTTCATGGTCTGGTGATTCACACTTTATTTGGGCTTTTGTGGACTGGAGGAATATACCGGGTTCTGGTTCTGTTCCTAGTGGTACCATCTCTTGCAAGGACATTTCCTGTTTCTCAGTGTGGACTAAGACCTGGGGAAACATGAGATACAGCTCAGAGACTTGCTGTGGGAACAGAGAACAAAAGGAAATGCTATTTACAGCAGTGGCACCAAGCTCGCTCAAACTTGAAATGGCTTTTGTAGATATGAGCTGGCCATAATCCTACCTATTCTTCAAGGTCAAAGTAAATGTTGCCTCCTGTAGGGCTTCCCTTCCCTGACCAGAAATAATGTCCCTTGTTGTTAACAGCTAAAGAATATTGATCGTACTACTTTAACTTCTTCGTCTTAAAGAAGTAGAGAAGGGAAAGAAAGAACAAATAAAGCAGAGAAGGAAAACAAGTGTTTTTTAAAAAAAAGGGCAGAAGGGAGGAAAAATACATAATTTAGGAGAACATAACACAGAAGAGAAAAAGGAGAAAGGACAGGTGAAAGGAAATAATATAGAGAAATGTTAAAGAAGAAAATCAGAAGGGAATAGAAGAGAAAGAAGAAAAGAAAGATGAGAAAAGCTGGGACAGGAGAGGAATCTCTGGCATATTCATTCCAGAAGCTGTTCTCAGGAGTGGCCCTTCTGAAGTTCCCATCCCACTTCCCGCTGGGAAGATGCTTTTATTTTCTATTTATCTGAGATCCGGACTATCTCAGAACTCATTTACCCCTCGCTACACCCGTCTCTACCCACATCATCTCCTTCCCTTCTATCTCACAGAAACACATCTTTTTTATTTTTTAAGGCTCATCTCTCTTTTCCTTTCATACCATCTCTCTCTGCTTTGTCCCTTGCTCCCCAAATTAATTGATTTAATCAGTAATTTCAGCCACTCTGTGAATTAAGTAAGCATCTTTAAAAAGTGGGTCTTCACTGTGTGCCAATTGCCTACCTCTCTTTGTAATTATTTTATTTCATCTCCACCTTAATGAGCACATTTCTATCATGACAAGTGCATTCTCACCTAAAGGCCTATCCATTATCCATTTCCTCTGCCTGAATCTGCTTATCCTTGGTAACTACTTGGCTGCCCTTTCATTTCAGTTGTCTGCTTTAAATGTCACCTCGTCTGAAGTCTTTCCTGGTGGATATATTGAACACAGCACTCAAATCCCAATCTTCATTTCCTTCACTTTTCCTTTCCTCTGCTTCACTTTTTTTTTTTTTTTTTGGACAGAGTGGACAGTGAGAGAGAGAGACAGAGAGAAAGGTCTTCCTTTTTCCGTTGGTTCACCCCCCAAGTGGCCGCTATGGCCGGTGGGTTGTGGCTAGCACACTGCACCAATCCAAAACCAGTTGCCAGGTGCTTCCTCCTGGTCTCCCATGCAGGTGCAGAGCCCAAGCACTTGGGCCATCCTCCACTGCCCTCCCAGGCCACAGCAGAGAGCTGGCCTGGAAGAGGAGCAACTGGGACAGAATCTGGTGCCCCAACTGGGACTAGAACCTGGGGTGCCGGCGCCACAGGTGGAGGATTAGCCTAGTGAGCTGCCGCGCCGGCCTCACTATTTTTTTTTTTATTTCAAAAGTTTTATTTATTGGGATTGGTGCTGTGACATAGCAGGTAAGGACACCACCTATGGTGCCAGCATCCCTGTGGGTGCCAGTTCAAGTCTTGGCTGCTCCTCTTCTGATCCAGGTCTCTGCTATGGCCTGGGAAAGCAGCAGAAGATGGCCCGAGTCCTTGGACCTCTGCATCCACATGGGAGACCCAGAGGAAGCTCCTGGCTCCTGGCTTCAGATCAGTGCAGCTCCAGCCATTGCGGTCATTTGGGGAGTGAACCAGCAGATGGAAGATCTCTCTGCCTCAGCCTCTCTGTAACTCTGCCTTTCAAATATATAAATCAATCTTTAAAAAATGTTTATTTATTTGAGAGAGACAGAGGGAGAGAAAGCTATCATTTGCTGGTTCATTCCCCAAATGCCTGTGATAGCTACGACTGAGCCACGGCTGAAGCAGGAGTTGGGAATCCAATCCAGGTCTCCCACCTGGATAGCAGGAAGCTAATTACTTGAAATGAGCAGTAGGAACCCAATGACTTGAGCCATCACTGCTGCCTCCCAGGGTCTGCATTAGCAGGAAGTTGGGAGTCAGGAGCTGGATTTCAAGCTCAGGCACTCCTTATAGGACACAAGCATTTTAACTGTGAGGCCAAATGCCTGCCCCTTTGTTTTATCAACACTTGATATCTTATGTTCGTTGATTCTTTGCTTACTGTCTGTTCTCTCAGTAGACTAGACTCTATATGACAACAGCAACCATCTTCGCTTTGTTCGTGCTGTATTCTCAGTGCCTAAAATGGTGCTTGGTACAAAATAGATATTTGCTAAATATCTGCTAAGTTATCCTCTGCAGTCTTTAACTGTATTAGGAGTGTACCTGTTCCAGCTGTGTTTCACACCTCAAATCTCTACTGCTTAGCCTTGAATAGATTATTCAGTAAAGAATTCTCCACTGGGGGCCAGCACTGTGGCCCAATGGATTAAGCTGTTTGCAACATCCACATCTCATAGTAGAGTGCTGTTGGAGACCCAGTTACTCTGCTTCTGATTTAGCTTCTTGCTAATGTACCTGGGAAAGCAGATGATGAAGACTCAATTGCTTGAGTCCCCGCCCCTACATGGGAGACCTGGATGGAGTTCCAGGCTCCTGGCTTTGGCCTGGCCCAATCCTGGCTGTTGCAGTCATTTGGGGAGTGAACTAGCAGATGGAGGATCTCTCTCTTCCTCTTTCCCTCTGTCACTGTACTTTTCAAATAAATAAAGGAATTTTCCTGAAAAAAAAAAAAGTTCTCCATTGGTTCTTCCTTCTTTAAAGATATAATGTGTCATTATTTCCAGTTGATTCTCCTATCCAAGTACTAAATAAGCCAGACCCTGTTTAGCTTGAGATTAGGGCATTCAAGGAAGGTGGTATGGCCATAGGCCATTTCCAGTTAATTCTTACCCAGGGCATGTTTCATTCTTTGTAGTCCCATTTCCCGACTGTATTTCAAACTTCCAACCTTTGTTTATTCCCCAGTGCTATATTAAACTTGTTTCATTACATCATCAAGTTTCATATTCTTTTTTTTTTTTTAAGGTTTACTTTATTTATTTGAAAGACAGAGTTACAGAGAGAGGTAGATACCGAGTGAGCGAAAAAGAGGTCTTCCATCTACCGGTTCACTCCCCACATGGTCACAATGACCAGAACTGAGCCAAACCAAAGCCAGGAGTCAAGAGCTTCTTCCAGGTCTCTCATGCAGGTGCAGGAGCCCAAGCACTTGGGCCATCTTCCACTGCTTTCCCGGGCCATCAGAAGGGAGCTGGATTGGAAGTGGAGCAGCCAGGACTCAAACCAGTGGCCAATGGGATGCTGGTGCTGCAGGCCAGGGCTTTAACCTGCTAAGCCAAAGCTCTTGCCCCAACTTTCATACTCTCTATACCAAAGTTTCCTAACATTGGGTCAACATATTGACATGTTGGGTCAGATAATTCTCTGTTGTTGGAGGCTGTCCTGCACACTGTAAGATGTTTAGCATTATCCCATTCTCTACTCACGAGATACCAGTAGCACCTCCCCCAGTTATGACAACCAAAAATGTCCCAAAAGATTGCCAAATGCCCTTCAGGGCACAAAACGGTCACTGGTCAAGAGCCATAGCCTTGTATCACTGTTATAACAAAAATGTTCTACCTAATTTGGTTCTCTTATATTTCAGGGTTAGTAAATCTCATTCAGACTCAAGGAGAAAAGGTTAGAAGCCTTGGATGGATGATCTCTCTCTTTCTCTCTCTCTCTCTCCCTCTTGTCTCTCTGTGTAACTCTGACTTTCAACTAAATAAATAAATCTTAAAAAAAAAATAAGCTTAGAAGCCTCTGTCTTATAGAATAAAATCTAAACTCCAGGGATTGATAGTCAAGGTCCTAGACGCTCTATCTTCTCATAACTAATGTTTCCAATATAGGTGGGTTTGAGAGAGAGAGAGAGAGGGAGAGAGGGAGAGAGAGAGAGAGAGAGAGAATCTGTCTGCCTCTCCCTCCCTAACTTTACAATGTGCTTCTACACCTCAAAGTCTGCTTCCTCTAAGATGATTTCTCTATCTGCTGAGATCAGACAAGATTGGGCGTGGTATGGGGGTGGTATGGCCATAGACTTCTCTATCTTTAATCTTTTAAAGAAGGCCAGGACAGCAGATTACCTGTAAAACTTTCCTAATTATTTGTATTGTGCAGCAGGAGCGATGCCCGTTTCAGGGGCTGCTTCCCACTCTGCTAGCATCATCTCTCTTCACACCTTCTCTCTTATACTAAAAACCTTCTATTTCTCAGCTGAGTAGCATGTTCCTAAAATCAGAATTTTGTAGCTCGGTTCAGAAATACGCAGTCCCTCCATAGAAAAGGTATAAATAGGTTAGGAACACATTAGCCACTTTTCCATGAAACTCTCTGATGCATCAAAGCATCAAGAACAATATTTATTTATTTATTTATTTAGACAGGCAGAGTGGACAGTGAGAGAGACAGAGAGAAACGTCTTCCTTTGTCGTTGGTTCACCCTTCAATGGCCACCACGGCCGGCGCGCTGCGAAGGCAGGAGTCAGGTACTCATCCTGGTCTCCCATGGGGTGCAGGGCCCAAGCACTTGGGCCATCCTCCACTGCACTCCCTGGCCACAGCAGAGAGCTGGCCTGGAAGAGGGGCAACCGGGACAGAATCCGGCGCCCCGACTGGGACTAGAACCTGGTGTGCCGGCGCCGCAAGGCGGAGGATTAGCCTAGTGAGCCGCCGCCCCGGCCAAGAACAATTTTATAAAAGAAACCCACCATTCATCTGTTCTCACACAGACATCACACCATTTTCCCCCTCACCTGGCATCCCGGCTCATCCAGCTCTCGCTCCAAATCCTCCAGCACCGTCACCGCCTCCTCCCCGCTCTCTGGGTGGTGCTGCCTCACCCAGGCTCGCAGCTCCTCTGGCAGGATGGCCAGGAACTGCTCCAGCACCAGCAGCTCCAGGATCTGCTCCGTGGTGTGCGTCTCTGGCCTCAACCACTGACGGCAAAGTTCCCGGAGGCGGTCCAGAGCCTCACGAGGTCCAGAAGTTTCCTGGTAGCAGAAGTGCCTGAAGTCCCACCGGAAAACCTCTCTGTTAGGGGTGGTGTCCTGCAGGCTCCAGTCCTGTCTGGTAGTGTGCTTATACTTCTCTTCCTCCTCCTCTATCTTTACTTCCAAAACCTCATCCCGTTCCTTACGGGACTGGCTATCCCAAGTAGATGCCATCACAGCGGTGCCAAAGCTCTATCCGGGCTTCAAGTAAGACCTCCCCGCAAAGCGTCTTCCTAGGTGGACCTGAGGGACAAGTCATCATTATCAACAAAAACTGCACCACAAACAAGTGCAAACTCTGGGAAGCATCACCTTTGAACACCTGCTTCCAGGTTAATTTACTAGATTCAGGAAATACAGAAAAGACTTAAGAATGGACTGAAAACAAAGACGAAAGGAAAAGCTGTCAATTTGTTTTAGGGATTTCAGAAGAAACAGTGAGATCTGGTAGGGCATTTATTTTCATTTAGTCCTAAAATAAAGGATAACTAAATGGAATAAAACTGACATTTAGAATAAGTGCATACAGTAATAAAAGATGCTTTAAATAGTCTTTATTTTAAACAATATGGTAAGTTATTTTTAAAAATTTGTATTTGTTATACAGGTTTCATGCATTTCAGATATACAGATTTAGAACAGCCTTGATTAGTTGCTTTTTACACCTTTCTAAATGTCCAGATGTTTGTTGGAAACCTTGACATCCCACGAATTTATGTCCTCAGATTTAGTCTCTCTGATTTGCACTTTATATAAAGAAAGCTGGGGAGGTTCCTCTTCTAGGTTCCTCCTACCTTCCTTTTCTGTGACTCTAAGTGTAAACAGGATGGGCGCACTTAACGGTCGCTGGGATGCTGGCCAAAGATCGGGAGAGAAGGAATCCGAGGATACAAGGTGTGAGGTCCAAACTGCGAGACAAAACCGGGACCACGCGGTGCGCACCACCGACTCACTGCAGAGGCGGGGCGGACCACAGCGGCCCGGGCTCCGGCCGGTCTCCAAGGGGCAGGGAGGCGGGGGCTCCTGGCCCGCACCGCACCTGCTGGAAACGGGTGGGAGGGATCCGGCAGTGGGAACGCTGCAACCCCCGCCCACTCCCCGGACTCAGGTTCGCTCACCCGCGGCCCCAAGAGGCCAGCAGAGCTCTCCCTCCTCTGGGCGAAGGGCAGAGGCCGTGAACCCCTGCGGGGCCGGAGCCCACCGCGGAGCCCACAAAGGCCGGAAGCGGCGGCAGGTGCGGGGCAGGGCGTCGCCGAGCTCGCGCGTGGCGCACTTCCGCGGCAGCGCCGGGAAGGGGCAGCGGGGGCTCCGACTCGGTCGTTTTTCCGCGAGTAAATGAACATGATTTCTCTTTCTCGTCTTCACGCAGCCCTTGTCCCCGCTTCCCCCGACCTGAGGGGTACCCACTACGCCAGAGCGCCGGCCCCAGCTGTAATTGTTAATCTTATGCGTACAGTGATCTTCTATGGACGATTACAGAGTTCCTTCCTTTTCTTCTCTTTTTCCTTTCCTTTCCGTCTTTCTCCCTCCCTCCCCCATCCCTCCTCTTCCTCCCTCCCTCTTCTCTCTCCATTTTGTTTGAAAGGCAGAGAGAGAGAGAGAGAGAGAGAGAGAGAGAGAGAGAGAGAGAGAGAGAATCTTCACTCCTCAAATATCCACAATAGCCAGGGCTGGGGCAGATTGAAGTCAGGAGCCAGGAGCTCCATCTGTGTCTCCCAAGTGGGCAGAAGCAGCCCAAGCACTTTGGCCGCTGTTTGCTCCCTCCTAGGATGCGTCAGCAAGAAACTGGATCAGAATGAGAGTAACTGGGCGGGAACTGGCACCCTGAAATGAGATGTGAGTGTCCTAAGTGGTGGCTTAACTTTCTGCATAACATCCTTCCATATGTTTGTATTTTAAATCCATATATCTCATCTGAAAGAGATGTAAACAAACTCAATATAATATTTAACATTTAGCTAACTTTGAAAATTTCATATTTTTATTGAAAATACTTTTAGTTCTAATACATCACAAATGATCATAAAAGAAGGATTTCACTTCCAGATTTGAAATCAGAAGCCAAAAGCAAAGCAAGGTTTTGTGATGTGAATTCTGTGAGCATCTAGAAGCACATAATTTAGAATACAGGCAAAACATGTCAACAAAGGAGGAACTTTCAGCGTTTACATGGAGACAACAGAATGTTTTGCTTCCTTTTCACACATCTAATGGGAGAAGATACAAGCAGCTGTTTAAATAGAATCAGTGTGTGTCTATTGAAAAACCACTGATGCCATTTTGTGTGTGTGTGCAGACCAAGCAGCTCATCCAATTTTAAGATATGTGAAACGGACAGGAAAAGGCGCAGGAATATTTCAGTAGGTCCATGCTGCTAAGCAGAAGCTATGCCTTATAACAAGACATAAACTGTGATGCAGAGTGTACAGTAAATCCTTGTTTAAAATAAATGAGTAAAAAATTGAAGCCCCTCCCCAAGGTAATAAAAGGAGGAACCAAGAATAATAACATAGTTTGGATATTGTGACTTAAACTCCAATTGAACATAGCAAATATTCAGCATCTGATGTCTAGAGTAAACAAAAACTAGTAGCAGAACATCATTCAATGATATGGAAACAACAATTACGAGAATCAGAGACAGAAAAAGTATCACCCCTCAGGTGGGTCAGGGAGTGAGGCTATTGGTAAAGCAAGATCTGTTGCTTTTCATCATAAAACCTGTGCCATTTGATCTTTTCAAAATTATAAGCCTATATTGCTTTTGTTAAAGAAAAAAAAAAACAGAAAAAGGGAAAATTAACATTTTGAGTACTTGCCAAAATGTGGATGCTAATGCCTAAGGTAAACAATTGAATATATTAACAGAGAGTAAAATGTACCTATCTGCAGAGCATCAACTGGTCAGTTTCATTGTTTACCACAGAAGATTTCTTTGGGGGGGATGCATGTTACCTGAGTTACAGTTTCATAAGTCTTGGATTCGTGAGTCACTAATATCTCATGGCCCATCTATACCACGTACACACACACACACACATGCCACACACTTTATATATATTGTTAGCTAATTTCTTTTTAAATATAGGCCTTTATCTTTTGGTAAAACAGTTTTTGTGACCACCTGGAGGTGCTACAGGAAATGATTCTTAATTGGAAGACTGCTATGATTGGATCAAAACATTGGATCCAAGTATGAGGATTGCTGTGCTTTGAATATGGTTTGAGTGCATCCTCCAGAAGTTCATGCTGGAAGCGTGGTCCCCAGTGTGGTGTTGAAGCGACAGAATCTTTAAGAGCTGGGGCCCAGTGGAAGGCGATCAGGTCATCGAGGACACTGCCCTCAGAAGGGACTAATGTAGTTCTTGATGGACCCTGTTCAGCTCCCGCAAAAGGGAGTTATGAGAGGAGTGAGCCTGGCCCCTGAATCTCTTTTTCTTCCTGTTTCATGATGTGATCTCTCTCTCTCTTTTTACTCCCCGCCCCCCCCCCTTCCTCTCTCTTCTCTCTTCCTTTCTCCCACTCTCCTACAAATGTTTTCAAAGGAGTTATTTCACCGAAATAAGAAAGGAGTCTAGAGGCTGGCATTGTGGCACGCTGGTAAAGTTGTCGCCTTTACGGCACATTATGGGCCTCGGTTCTATTCCTATACATTTACAAACTAGTTCATAAAAACATTCCTCTGGCTCGTACAAGAAGGGAGACAGGGACCACTGGTAACGCATGGTGTATGATGTTCATCGGACTTGGCTGCTTTCTCTTCTGCTTCACCAGAGGCAGAGGCTGGGTTCTCCTCATGTTGAGTTTCTCTGTTTCCTCCAGGCAACTTTAGCTTCTTGGTGAGCACCTTGGCCTGGTTTCCCTTTGCTTCTCTCTCCCTCTTTGCTTGCACACTTTTTTGTCTGATGACTTATCCTTCCTTCCTGGGCTTCGCTGACAGCCGCTCCGACCCCCTCTTGGGCTCTTCCATCGCTTCCCCTCGGGCAGAGCTGACCTGTGGGAACGAGCAGAGCTGCCACAGTGGGCACAGCCCGCGAACGAAGTCACCGTGCGCCCCGCGGCTGCCGGCCACCTCTGATTCTGTTTTGTAAACCATGAAACAAGGGGTTGGATCACTAGATTTCCATCTCAGGTTCCCTCCTTTTTGGTTTGTTTTTCAGACTAGGAAAGAGTCCTCTGAGGAGCTTCAGCTGTCTGTTATTTTAGGCTTAGCTGGGCTGCTTGAATCCACAGCATTAGTCAGCTTTTTGTTACAGCAACAAAATACCTAAGGCAAGCTACTTGTAAAGGAAGGAGTTTTTTTTTTTTTTTTGGGGGGGGGGTGTTTGGAGGTTCAGAAGCCAAGATTGGATATTCCCATTGGTTTGGTCATCTGGTGATAAAATAACTTGCAGGACACTAAAATATAATTCTCACCAAATATGGAGAAATCAGTCCATTTAATCATAAACCAATCGTTTCATTCTTGTTAGTGACTGTTTAAACACAAGTTCAACCTCTAGCACTACTTACTGATGTCTTGACAGCAGGAAAAATGCGTACATTGTCATGGCTCTAGGAGGAAAAATACCCTAACGTGTGAGAACCAGCTGCCAAAGGCATACTGGCCTAGAGAGCAAAGAGAGGCAAAAACAGGATTACAGAAAATGTCATTTATTAGAGGGATTTAAGGACATAGTGTGGTCTTGGGCTGCTGCAAGACATATGGATCTCCATGCCAGGAGCCAAGAGAAAAAGGGTTTTATAGACAAAACTGTCCCAAGGCTAATTGGAACATCCCTAGACTTTTTCAAGAAATATTAACATTCCTAAGCAATACTCCAGGTGTCAGATAAGAGTAGCAGGTTATTTTAATGACTTTGCTTATCTAACAGGGCTTAGGATGGCCTGCAGGGTAATCTAAAGGGCAAGATGATGTATACAACCCAAATGGTTGTGGCTACGCCAAGCTGAACCCCTACAAATATGCAATTTAAAGGGCGAAATAAATGTTTCATTCTACCCAGTGCCTTCCTTCCTAACTTTGAAACACCCAGTTGACATTGTTTCAGTATTTGAGGAGGTAACCTTGTGCTTTTATGGTACACAATAGGCACTCAATTTTTTTTTTAACATTTCTTTAGTTGCTCACAGTGTTAGGAATTTATAGAAGCTGATGGATTTTGAGGTGGACTGAACGCTGAGCTGTATCCACATCCCAGGGCTCATTCTGGCTTACCATTTTATAACACTGGACAAATCTTCATCTTCCTTGGCCTCATCATCTGTAGAAAACAGACACTAACTAGCTCAGAGCTGTAAGGATTAAAGGAGAACATGTGAAAATACTCAGTAAGCATTATAAAACCGTAGATATTAACTCCAAATTCGTCACAATGGATTTTAGTACAAGGCAGGCTTGTACTGGGGACTTTCACACTTGTCCCCTGGGCCTTCAAACTGTTTCATGAAATACAATCACTTATTCTTTAACAAACCTAATGAGGCATTTTGTTTAACCGTTCACGGGCTCTTGGCAATGAAACATACTTGGGAGGTTTTCCAGGGAGAATTGGGGAAATAGGACAGACGGATGCTGCTAAGTTTAAGGTATTGCAACAATGCACACTGACTCAGGAAGTCTGGGTGATGCCCCAACTATTGGTCTACTGAGCATTTTCAGTAACAAGGGACTAAATGTGTTGCGGGAGGACAGTAAACAATCATCCTGCTCACACTTGTTACTAAAGAAAGCATCTACCTGAGTTTTCTGGCATAGATAATTTGCGGGACTTTAAGACATATTTTAAAAGCACTATGTACATTTGTTAATCCTTGATACCTGAAGTAACTGAGGAAAATATAATTTGATTTGTCTCAGAGTTGGAGACCAAATACTTAAAAGGTAAGTATTGGAGAGCTTATAAGAGATGTTGAGAGGCCAGAGCTATGGTTAAGCCTCTGACTGTGGCGCCAGCATCCCAAGTGGGCACTGGTTTGTGTCTGGGCTGCTCTTCTTCTGAACCAGCTCCCTGCTTATGGCCTGGGAAAGCAGTGGAAGGTGGCCCAAGTGCTTGGGCCCCTGCACCAGCCAGCACAGGACACTGGGAAGAAGCTCCTGGCTCTGGATCCACCCAGCTTCAGGCTTTGCAGCCATTTTGGGAGTGAACCAGCAGATGGAAGATCTCTCTCTCTAACTACCTCTCAAATAAATAATACAAATCTTTTTTTTAAGAGAGATGTGGATTGTTTTCTCTATGCTACTCTAGAGGGAGAGAACAGTTGCTTTAAAATAGTTTACGGGGAGCGGGCAGTTAGCCTAGACGTTTGATTTCTGGGTCCCATATCGGTGTACCAGAGTTTGACTCCCAGCTCCAGTCCTGACTCCAGCTCCCTGCCAGTACAGGCTCTGGTAGGCGTTAGTGATGACCCAAATAACTGGGTCCCTGCTCCCCACCTGGAGGGCATTCTCAGCTCCCAGCCTCCACCAGGGTCACACAGTGCACAGGAGGAAGAGCATCTTAATCTGAGATTTTTTTTTAAGGTGTGCGCCCTTATTTTCTGGCAGGTGCGTCCTTAGCACTTCCGGTTACTTCCTCTGCTGTGCTTCCTCCTTAGTGTTGAGGAGGGGCATCAGCTAGGAGCGCTGCTTCCACCGCAAGTCCGTCACTTTCTGAGAGGACATATCCTGCAACTGGTTGAGGTCCACTACAGGGACTATATCTCTTTGATTTATTACCAATTTCTGCCTGGTACATAAAGCCTGGTACACCTTTGGCACTCAATAAATATTTGTTCGATGAATATACTAACTTCTGAACCTGTTTTCTTACCACTAAAATTCACATAGCTTTTCCCATTGTTTTTGCAAAATTGTTTCAAATGATGGTAGAATACTTTCACAAAGTGCTAGGCTTTTACAGTGCAAACATGTAATATGGCCACTACTATAGGATATTTTTACGAAAACTCGGAAAAACTGTTCCTGTAAAACGGCGCCAAGATTTAAGAAAAGCACAAGCAAAGAAGTCAACTTTTTGCAGCAAGGACCCGTCAGCAAGGACCCCCAGAGGTCTCCCTGCTAAATCTGTGTCCTCATTTGAGAAGCTGCTGGTCTGCACAGACCTAGTCCTGTACAGCGCTTATGTCCAGTTCTCTGGGTCTTCGAAACGTCTGGACTCGCAGCCACGGAACAGGAAATCTGGATTCTGAAGGCTCTACAGAAAGCAGGGGCGCCTGAGCCAGGCCTGGGCAAAGGGGGCAAGACACCCCCACCCCACCCCGCCTCCAGTATTGTGATCTCTGCACAGAGGGCTTTGCACAGGGAAAGGAAGATAAGTTCAGGCGTACACCCACTCAGAGTCGGCGGTGAGGGGCACTACAGACAAGGCGTATTTGGTCCACAACCCTTTGGAGACACCGGAAGTACATCCAGGGATCGCCGCCTCGGCCGGCTCCCAGCGCCGCTCTAGGAAGCTTGGAGGACCCGCCATCTCGGTGGTTGGTCTGTGCTCAGCACCGACCCCGCCTTCGCGAGCTGAGAAGCCTCCTCAGGACCCCTCTGGCAGGGGTGGGAGATCAGGGCTCTACCTGGGCCGACTTCTCTCCCTCAACACTTTCGATCGCTCTCATCTGACAGATCCTGCCCGGCCCTGTGTTCCCGTCCTCCGAGGTCCAGGACTTTTTGAACCTGCTGCCCCATGAGTCAACACTAATCTGAGGAAAGCGTCTACGAGAGGGGCAGATGTTTGCTCTCCACTGTCTCAAATCTTTAAGTAAATCAGATCCCTATTGTTTATAGCCCTTGCCTATTTTCCTGCTGAACTATGGTCTTTCACTTTATATTTGTTGAAATCCTTGGGGAGTATTAAGACTTTGACTACAGCGTAAATTAAAAATGGTATCTCAAAAATAATAAAATATTAAATTGGAAAAAAAAGGTAATTCTGAGAACTTACTAGCAAGTGTGAGTGTATAGGTTCTTGACTATTTAGCTTTCTATGACGAATCACCAGCAAGCTCAGAAAATGTAGCGGGGGGGGGGGCAGCGAAAGCCTTCATTACTCCCCCCCCCCCCCATCCGTCTCGTGCAGAGAATGATCTAGAGGCAACCCCTGCAAGGAGGCGGGGTCAGCTAGGGCAGTTTGTCTTTGTAACTATGTCGTTTGTAAAGAGAGCTCGGACTCCACAGTGAGTTCTATGGATTAAATGTGATAATTTATGAAACTATTCGGCACAGTGTCTTGCCTCCTTTCATCCTAACTACCTACTCGCCCTCTGCCTTATCCCTACCAGCTTCTGACCCATGCCCACCTTCCACTTTCCTCCACGATGTGAGTTGGACGTCCCTGCTGTTCCGTTGATCTGTGTACCACTGAAGTCTCTTGTGCTTCTAGGATGTCATCCATCTTGCCTGATAAATCACTCACTCAACAGCTTCATTTTAAGCGGAGCTATTTTAATCATTGTTTTATTTGGGGGGGGTGGTGAGAGTCATTTATCTTTGTTTTTATAGCCACACTGTTCTGCTCTTTCTTAGCTAATTCAATAGATCTGTTATTGGGGATTATTTCAAGCAAAGAAGGTGCTGGCTTCCTTGGTCCAGTGACTACAATCAACTTGTCTTCAGCCTCTTTCCTGTATGTTCTGCCTTGGCTTTGTGAACACTGTACTCTTTCTGATTCTGTCTCATCTTCTGTCTCCTAATTGAAAAGATACTGCCTATTGCAAAAGTCATCAGTAGGGGGCCTATACATGCTGGCTCATTATTAATCATCAACAGCAATTACTAATAGCGTTTTTTATTCTCATGTGTTCCAGGCTGGACAACAAATTACACAGTTACCTTATGTCTAAGAACCAGGGATAGGCTAGTTAAAAGGCAGATCCCCAGGCCCTGCACAAGAATCTGATTCAGTAGCTTGGGGTGGGGGCCAAGAAACTTCTCGTCAAATAAACCCAGGTGATTCTACATTGAGAAATGCAGCAAGAAATACAGCTTTCATCACTGCATAGTGATAAAGGAGAAGTAGGTGGCATATAAAACTGGGAGTGCGTTCAGCGACATAAATATTATAGTGATTTATAGACCGTGCTGTTCTCCCTATTATCTTTTGTATGAAAAATACTAAGAGTGAAGAATGAAGGGAACTGAGACAATTTTCACTGATGAAGAGAATGGTACTTAACACACTTGGACTGCTTTAAAGATGCAGATTCCTAATAAGTAGTATGAAAATGAAGCACTTTTTGGTAATACACCATCTCTGCATCTTTTTATTTTACCTCTTTGGTCACCATTTGCTAGCCTTATTCAGAGTTTTAGCATCTACTTTTGCCTTCAGATTCGTTTATATTCTTATATTTTCTTCTTCCTTTTTCTTTTTCCAGCCTATTCTGTTGCTGCTACTGTTTTCAGATGGTTAAAATGTGTCTCTCGGCTCTAAGTGTCTATAAAATGACATATAACTCACAATGCTCTTTGGTCATAGCTGGTTTTGTTTTAAAATTTTGTGATGTAATAAAAAAAAAGATCATTACAAAAAAACTAAAGCATTTTGGGCTTCTCTTTTCTCATGTAGGCATGAAATGGGCTAAATTCCAAAGACAGCTTTTTAAAGCTAATATTCTCTTACCAAACAAGGATTAAATTCATTGCAAGTGTTCAAGCAGGGCCAACACTGTGGCACAGTGGGTTAAAGCCCCAGCCTACGGTGCCAGTATCCCATATGGGTGCTGATCCCAGCTGCTCCTCTCCTGATCAGCTCTCTGCTATGGCCTGGGAAAGCAATGGACGATGGCCCAATTGCTTGGACCTGCGTGGGAGACCTAGTAGAAGCTCCTGGCTTTGGAACAGCTCAGCTCTGGCCATTGTGGTCATTTGAGGAGTGAGCCAGTGGATAGAAGACCTTTCTCTCTCTCTGGCTCTACCTCTCTCTGTAACTCTTTCAAATAAATAAAATTTTAAAAATCTTTAAAAATAAATAAATAAAATAAAAAAAAAGTGTTCAAAGCCCTCCCCATCTGGCTCCTAGCTACAATCTCTCATTCCTATACTTCCTTACAGGAATTCTGCGATCCAGTTAAAACGGAGAATTCCTGGTTCCTGAGCAAATCTCTTATAGGCTTTGCCTTACCTTGTTCCCACTCTATCTCCCACTGTCAAGGATCTACTTTTATCTTAATTACTGGCTCAACATTTAACCAATGATGCGAGTATTCTGGTGTATGTTTTGTACTTCAAAGTTTCTCACAGATAATCTCAAACTGTACTGTAACCTTGATCTTAGACATACTTTAATTTTAAAATCTACTCAGGGATAATTTTTGTAAAAATATAACCTTTCCTTATAAATAATCTTTTAAAAGAAAATATCTCAGTTATAGAAAATAAGTCATTTTCAAATATAAAATACTGGCAGAGTCTTGAGACCCCTGAAATCAAAATGATAAAGTTTTCAGGACCCTATCTGTAGCTCTAAGCAGGTTTTGGTTACAAGACCTCAGCCATTCTTGATGTATAGTGTTCACTGTCCTGAACTGTGCACAGAGGGATGCAAGATTACCCTCAAGAACAGATGTGGCTATTGGATTGGATTTGAGTCAGTATTTCCTATACCTTTCTCAGCCACAGAGCTTGCACGGCCCTGTTATTTCAAACTGGATATAAAGGAGTAGATACTGGTCCAGTGAAGACCTGGAAGGAGAACAAGGCTAGAGATTTCACAGGTTAAATAAAAGGCACCAGGATAGAAAGAGGTAAATAAAGAAGCAAGGGAAATTTAGAAATGTGAAAGGGAGACAACCAAAATCTTCCAGCCAGGAATAATCACAGAGGAAGCCACACTCTACCTACCACTCTCTACCAGTTAATTCAAATATTGTTTCGCAAGTAATGAGACATATGCATCCTAGATAAAAGAATTAGTACAATTAGTATCATAAACAAGGAAAATTAGTTTGGTGAACTATTAGCCACTTTAATCATTAGGCAGATAGTACACCTGTCTCTACAGCGTACACAACACCTTTTGTCTCTTAGTATTTCACCAGTTGCTGAGAAAAATAATTTTTGAGAAGCTGTAAAAAAAAAAAAGCATAAAACAATCCAAATGTCCAATGTTCCACTGCAGGTACAAAAACTCATTCTATAAGAAATAAATCTTTTGGGGCTGGCATTGTGGCGCAACAGGCTAAGCCACTACCTGTGACAAGGGCATCCCACATTGGAGAGCCAGTTTGAGTCCAGACTGCTCTGCTTCCAATCCAGTTTCCTGCTAGCATGCCTGGGAAAGCAGCCTAGGATGGCCCAGGTAGTCGGGTCCCTACCACTCAGGTGGGAGACCTGGATGGACTTCCAGGATCCTGGCTTCAACCTGGACCAGTCCCAGCCGTTGTGGCCATTTGGAGAGTGTATAGATCTCTTTCTCTGTGTGTCTCTTCTTCTCTTTTTTCACTGTCACTCTACCTTTCAAATAAAATAAAATAAAAAATAAATAAAAGAAAATCTTTTTTTTAAAAAAAGCCACAGCACAGGCCCCTGCTCATATTAAACTTTTAAGATCTGTTGTAATGGAATCATCCAAACATGCTGCTTCAACTTATGGAAAGGCATTTAATTAAGATACTTACAAACTCAGATTATTATAGAATATGTAATATATAATTTTATAAAGTGGATATTAACTTGAGAAGTTGATTCTACTTCATACTTAAGCCTACTATATTTTCCTTAATTTTACTCTAATTTCACATGTAAATAATTTAACCTGAGGACACAAAGAAATATTATCTTGAGAAAATTTAAGATTTTTGAAATATGCACAATTAGCCATAAGTGGTGACAAAGATATTTTGTATGTCATGTCTAAGAATATATAATAAAATCAAAATTACTAAACTGAAAATACCACCTATCACTTCTCCATCTGTCTATAGAATAATATTGCTCAAACCCTGCTTCCTAGCTCATGTGAAAGCTGTCAGCTTCAGAGGAGGAAGAACTTGACTTGGGCTGTACTGGGGAGAAGAAGGAAACCAAATATGTAACTTTTTTAAATGGTGCTTTTGTTTCATCTATAGGGGTTTCTTATGGAGTACCAGCAAATGAAATACTATCTAGTCATAAAAAAGAATCAGCAAATTCTTTTTGTTGTGATGTGGAAATCTCTAAAGAGTCTGTCCTCTCATGGAACAGCAAGGTGTAAAAGAGTACAGTGTCATTTTTCTGCAAGATGGAGGAAAGAGAATGTTAGCATTTTCTTATATTTACATAAAGAAACAGTGAAACAACTCACAAGGAACCAGTACAATGGCTACCTGTAAGATGCAAAATGGGCACCTTTTTATTATTGTTTGGATTTTTGAATCAAGTGAAGAATGAATTTTCTTTTATTTTAAAGTCCCACTAAGCAAACTAAATTTTAAAAACTGAAAATAAATGATCTTCACAAAAAATAAGTAAAATGCTGCAAATGAGGGATAAGTGGGAGGGGTCTTTTTTTGGACTCGACTGTAAATTATGTAGAGCAACTGTGGCTTTATTGAAACATACATGGGAGGGTTTGTGGAGTTACAAAGCAAAACATCAGTGACATAAATCCTTTAAGATCCATATACTTATCATTTCTGTTGGATGATTTAATGCCTGGTAGAAAGAGTACTGTACTAGGAATCAGAAGACAGGGTTCCGGTTCCAGCTCTGCTAGAACTGGCTGTAGGATCTGAACTACTTCAGACTCCTTTCCCTGTCAAATAAAGGTATGTGAAAGTGACTCCAAGGTCCTGACAGTGATTCTATTATTCTTTTTTTTTGGGGGGGGGGGGGTTCTTCAGGAAATAACCTTTAATTGAATTCCTCTCATGAAGCATATGCATGAACTCTGCAGGGAAATGCAGGCCACTTTTAGAGTTTCTAGAATCTGGTGATGCTGATACATTTCCAATTTCCTGCTTTAAGACACTATGTAGCACCATTCTCCTTTATGAGCCAATAGTAAATGACAATCTGATGAACTCTTAGCCTTGTCCGGCACAAAGCAATCTGAACAGAAGCTGACAAACCACAGTTAAGAAAGGATATGTGCATGTAATTCAGGAAAGAATGACCCGTGTTTCCCCAGCTCTCCTTTCTACAATGTCTGGGTCTGAGGCCCTGGGCAGTGGGAAGTTGGCAAGGAAGTCAAAGGTTACCCCTTGGCTTGTGGGCCTGGGGCCAAGGCTAACCAAATACCCTGGGGAAGTAGGAGACACCAGAAAGCAGATGGAGGCCAAGAACCAACCCGAAGCACTGAGCAGACAGAGCTAGCCTGTGCTCTGGGAATTGGCTAGAGTGTTTTCCTGGGCCCACAGGACGGAATGTGCACCAGGTCACACAGGCAGCCTTGTTCACAGGGCACCTCTGGCCAAGGGCCAGACCATTCAAAGCTCTCAATCAGTGATGAAGGTAAGGAAGAAATGGACAGAGAATGGAGTACATTCTATTATTCTTAAGTTCTGTGTTGCATATTTGGTCTTCCAGTTCTGACTGCTAAGACCACTGGTTTTTCATTTCTTTGTCTCCTGGATTGAGTATAAAGCTTTGTAGACAGTTCATCAATGTTAAGGGTAAGAAATCTGTTTATGTAGAATGCTGTTAAGATCACCAGGGAGTGCCAAGAAGTGCTAAAGTTATACAAACCAGTTAATAAGGAAGGCTGCTCATACTCTGCTCTTGTCATGTTTGAAGTGTTTCATATGGAACTTGGAATAAGGAGGAAAAGGCAAAAAAACAAAAATGTTCATTATACTTGTATGTCACAGGAAAAATGCAAGGAAGCCTACGTTTTCAAGGCAAAGATTCTTGTTCCCTGTATAAATTCAAAAGCATGAGCAATACATCGTGATGAGCTATGGAGCTGCTAGTAACCTATGGTGCTTCAATTCTTTGACACATGACTGATGCTGAGTTACTAAAAACTGCTGGGAGGAAGTCACTTGTACATGTATTTAAGAGGATTTGCCTGCTCCCCTTTTGTAGGTTAAAAAGCTAATTGTCATATCTTATATAAATTAAAAGAAATCAGCTAGTTTAAACATTTCACTATAATTTCTTTAAAATTAATTTTTAAATAGCAAAATTTTTAAATAGCCATCTTCACTGGCTTTCCCTGGAACTTTCTATGTAGATGAAACCTCATGGAACTCCCTATGCTCCAAGGTGAAACTGTTTTTGTTCTCTCAGGGATAAACGAAGAAACATTTCTTGCTACCTTGCCCAGGTCGGGTGTGGGGAAATCTTGCCCTACCTGATCCAAGGAGCTAGCTCACTTCAGCCCCAGCGTGGACCTTCCGATGCTGGATAAGGTTGCACTGGTATATGAAGTTCTTGCCACATTCTTCACATTCATAAGGTCTCTCTCCAGTGTGAATTCTTTGATGCTTAACGAGGACAGAACGTCGGCTAAAACTCTTGCTGCACTGATGGCACTGGTGAGGTTTCTCGCCAGTATGGATTCGGAGGTGATGGAACAGCCCGGCGTTCTGGCTGAAGGCTTTGCCGCACACGCTGCACTGGTAGCGCTTCTCCCCGGTGTGGAGCCTCTGGTGCTGGAACAAGCCTGACCGCTGGCTGAAGGCGCGCCCACACTCATCACATTCGTAGGGCTTCTCGCCGGTGTGCGTTCTCTGGTGCTCGATCAGGATGGAATTCTGGGTGAAGCTTTTTCCACATTCACCACAAATATAGGGTCTCTCCGTGGAAGAGCTTACCCGCTGCCTGTCTGACCTTCCATCAGGGTCACAGGTGTCTCCACATTCAGGAACCCGAGCAAGATCACCATTCAGTTTTGCAGGTGTTTCGACAAGAGACTTCATTTCTTTAGAAGTCTCTTTCTTCGTGGCTAATTCCACACTCTGAGTTCCGGCCTCACCATCTGAAATAATAAGTGGGCTACGTGAATGTAATTTTTCCAAAGACAAACTTTTAGAAAAGTGATTAGGAGGATCAGAGGAATGGAACAAGTAACCACTTTCTGTTTACTTTCCCACCCTCAAACAGTTACACCGGGACCTCAGGGAGAAGATGCACTGCACTGTAACTGCTCGTCTGAATTTCTGCTTCCCCCACCAGACTACAACAGCGAGAGCAGGGACCACGTTGCCTCGCTCATCACTGTCTCCCCAGTGTCTCCTGGAACAGTGCCTGTACACAGCAGACACTAAATAAATGTGTCGAACTGGTGAATATCCAGAGAACGAGGAAGGCTCCCCTAGGAAGTGCTAATTCTCACCCATCTCCTGACCTGGGCGCGCATCTCGCAAACTACACGGAAGCTGCTCTTCCAAGCCTCGGGGCTGGCCACCCGATGCCTCCTCGGCTGCTCTTAGAGTTGTCTTCACCTTTGTGAACGCCTCCTGCTCAGCATGGGTTTGCGCCTGGTGGAAACGAAAGACAGTTGGGAAACAAATTCAGAGGGGGCCTTCTCTGGGCCATGGGAGAAAAAAAAGAAGACCCCCCCCCCTGAAAAAAAAATAAGGGAGATTAAGAGCCTAAAGTGGATCAAGCATGTATAAAGAAATCGTCCTCCTCTTCTCCTGTTGACAGAAACCTCAAACTTGCTCCTAAAGGTACAAACTCCTGCTCTTCCATCTCCCTACCTGCTGTGCCGGCTCATCCAGCTCTCGCTCCAAATCCTCCAGCACCGTCACCGCCTCCTCCCCGCTCTCTGGGTGGTGCTGCCTCACCCAGGCCCGCAGCTCCTCAGGCAGGATGGCCAGAAACTGCTCCAGCACCAGCAGCTCCAGGATCTGCTCCTTGCTGTGCGTCTCTGGCCTCAGCCACTGATGGCAGAGCTCGCGGAGTCTTCGAAGAGCTTCCCGGGGCCCAGGGGTCTCCTGGTAGCAGAAGTGCCTGAAGCGTCTGCGAAAGATCTCTCTGGTATGAGGGTCGTTTCCTGGCCGGCCAGATTCTTGCCCACAGCTGTGGTCCCTATCCTCCTCCTCGACTTTCACTGCCAGAAGGTGCGCTTCTTGCATCTCTGCAGTCTGAAGGGCCAAGGTCGTGGCCATTTTAGGTTTAACTATTCAGAAAAAGAATCTGTGCTTGATAATTCCCCCTTGGTCTTTCCTTCTGGAAATCCCGAGATCTAAGAAACAATCTGCAAAGAAAAAAAATTACAAAAATGCACAAAATCTAATGAACAGCAGGCACTTGAAGCATTTATAGCAAAATCAGTCCACTTTGTCTCATGAAGAAAGGGCACTGAATGCATGATGAATGAGAAGGACTATGCAAATACTGATGTGAGTAGCATAGGAGGGAAAACAAATGAAACAAACAAGAAACCTCCCAGCTTAATCAAGGAAGGAACCATTTTGATCATCCTGAATGCAATAGTGCGAATCAGCGTGAATGGCAAGTACTAGGCTCACAATCTCAGATCAAAGTGATCTTCCCCAGTCTTGGGCTTCCTGTTTTGAGTTTTAAACATCTCAGTCTATAAAACAGGAATCCTAAAACAACACTGTCTTTCTAGGTTGTCAGTATTATTCAAGGAATAATACTCCTTCTGCTGGTTCACTCTCCAAAAGCCTGCAATAGCCAGGGCTAGGCTAGGGGAAAGCCATAAGCGCAGATCTCCATTCAGATCTCCCACATGGGTGGCAGGGACCCAACTACTTGAGCCACTAGGTGCTGCCACCCAGAGAGCTCACCACCAGGAAGCTGTATCTTTACCAACTATGCCACAGCACCAGTATCCCATATAGGCACTGGTTTGAGTCCCAAGAGGCCATCTGGAGTGTAAAAGTGGATGGACGACCTCTCTCTCTCCCTCTCTCTCAGCCTCTGCCTCTCTGTAACTCTGCTTTTCAAATAAATAAATTAATTTTTTAAAAAGTGAAGGTGGGACTTGATCCCAGGCACTCTGACATATGACACAAGCCTCCCAAGCTGCAGCTTATCCCACTGTGCCACAACACCCACACCGGCCTGTAGCTTAAAAAAATTTTTTTTAAGTTTTTTTTTTTTTTTTTTTGACAAGCAGAGTTAGTGAGAGAGAGAGAGACAGAGAGAAAGGTCTTCCTTCCATTGGTTCACCCCCCAAATGGCCGCCAGGAGCCAGGAGCCAGGTGCTTCCTCCTGGTCTCCCATGTGGGTGCAGGGCCCAAGGACCTGGCCATCCTCCACTGCACTCCGGGGCCACAGCAGAGAGCTGGACTGGAAGAGGGGCAACCAGGACAGAATCCAGTGCCCTGACTGGGACTAGAACCCAGGGTGCTGGTGCCACAGGTGCAGGATTAGCCTAGTGAGTCACGGTGACGGCCTTTTTTTAAGATTTTTTTTTTTTTTTAATTTCTTTGAAAGTTAGAGCAACAGAGACAGAGGGAGAGACTGAAAAAGAGATCTTCCATCTGCTGATTCACTCCCCAAATGGCTGCAACAGCTGGGTCTGTGCCAGGCAGAAGCCAGCAACCAGGAAGCATGTGATCACCCATGTGGGTGACAGGAACTCAAGAACTCAAGAACCATCTTATGCTGCCTTCCCAGGCACAACAGCAGGGAGCTGGATCAGAAACGGAGTATTTGGGACTTGAATGGGCACTTTGATATGGGATACTGTTGGTTTAATCACTGGGCCCTTAAAATGTTTTTCTCTTAAGAAGATATTAAGTAAGTTTATTACAATCTACTTTAAAAAGAACCCCTTTACTATTCTTAGGTATTGACATGCATTTCAAAAATAACTAAGAATAGGGTATTCAAATCACAAGTGAACACCCGCCCCATCAGAAGAAAAGTTAAATTCCTATTGTCATTATTGGCTATATTTATCAAAGGGGAAAAAAACTCCATGCGATGAGACAACATCCTTCCAGGTAACTTGCAAACATAATCACCTCCACAAATTTCTGAAATCTCTGGGGTGGTTGACTTCAGTAATCACCACCCCAGGAACCATGGAGAGGATTTTTTCCTCCAAAGATACACCCCTCAAGTTCATGTTTTTCCCTAACTTTTCTTGGTGCTGACTCATCACCGCTGAGGAGCACCTTACTTCTTCCAAGCCTGTTCATCCATCACACATTCAGTTAACAAATATTTATTCAGAGTTTACCATATTCCAAGTATTAGTAACAGCGGGCATGTGCAGTGTTTTTAACGTGCCAGGCATTGTTCCAGATACTTCAGATGTAATGACCCACTTCATCTTCAAAACGTAAGAGACTATCATTGGCCCCGTGTTACAGATGAGAAAACCGAGACACAGAGTTTAAACAGGACCTGTAATGGTTCACAGGTAGGAAGCGATGAAGTTGCAAGATGAACCTGAATCCGCCTTCAGGATTATAGTCTCAACAGCTACATCACCATCCCTTTGTGGGAGGAAGGAAGGTACGGAGAGATGGCCTTGGCAAGACTTTTAGAGATGGCTTTGGCAAGACTTTTAAACTGGTTGTCTTCTTAAACATGAAAACAAGCGGGAGAGGGGTTGCGGGGTGGGAGGAGTAAGAGGGGCTACATAATAGCAATGCCTACCTCATGGAGTTCTAAGTAAATAAATGTAGAGTGCTTAGTTAGACCAGCGCTTGTCCCGCACATATTACTACGGAATTATGTTTCAAAAATCAACAGCTATTATGTGAACCGGACTAACAGAAGTTGTGCTATATTTTAAAACCATCCTTGCTCGCTGTTTAAAACAAGAGCACAGAAGAGGATGGGCATGGGAAGAAAACACGAACATTCCAGGACCTGAATGTATTCAGACCCTCAGAGGGTGGGCAGGGAGAGCCTGGAGGAGCACTGGCACTGGGGCAGAGACCGGGGAGCTCTGGAATAGACGGAGAGAGCTGGGTGGGGTGGGGGCGAGGGCTCGGACTCAGACCCCAGGGCTCCCCCGGGCTCCGGAGCAACCCTTCACCTGCCTCCTCGCGCGCCCCGTCTGGGACCCCCGCGTGAAGACCCGCCCATCCGAAGGCCCTCGGCAGGAGCCCAACTCCGAAGCTCACCGAGGCATCCGTGAGGAGAGATGCCACCAAGCCCCGGTCACGCCACCTCTGAATCCTTGCCAACCGTAGCCCAGAGAAAGATAAACTACAAAGGCCGGAAGTGCGTCACAGCGGCCCGCACGGTGTAGAACAGCGGTTCTGGCTCCGTTCCTTCTAGGAAGCCCGGAGGTTTGCACTCCTCTGTGGTCGCCTCGCCGAGTTCCCTCTCTGGGCGCAGTGAGATGCCAGGCGACACTTTCTCTTCCGGGGCGATGGAATAGCTAACGAAGTGCTTTCCTCAGCCGCCGAACAACCCTGTGAGTTAGGTACCATTATCCCCATTGAACGGAGGAGGAACTGAGGCGCGTCTCGTCTACGTTTGCTAGTTGCGTTTTCCCAGCTCGCTCGTGGATCCTTAAAAATTCATAAAGAGCCACTGTCGTGATTTTAGTGCTCAAATTATAGAAAACGTTATTAGCTGGAGCCCTTTCAGACTGCTTTCCGTGTCCATAGACAAGTTCCCAACACCGTTTGTGCACTTCACTTTCCCACGCAACACATTTCAAGCTCCTTGAATACTCAGCCTTTCCTCCATCAGTGCTCCCTTCCACCTGGTGCAGCACAGTACCCAGAAATTCCAGATCTGAGTTTTGGGCAATTAATAAACTCATCGCTAGTAGGATATGTCATTGCTTCTAGGTCCCATCAGTGGACAAGCACTGGGAAGTATGTGTACAATGAGGGTTTTACAGGATACTTCGTGTTCAAGTACAAATCTGCAGAATCCTTCTCCATTTTCACTATTGTACATCTGGTTTTTTTCCTATAGTGAAAAATTCCTAACAGCATCAATATCGTCACTCAAATTGTTGTGTCACACAAGCACAAAATTACAAAACCAATTTACAAACTAGAAAACAACATTATAACACCAGTATTACCAGCAATAGCATTCTACTATGTAGAATTGGAAGTAGATTATTTTACTGTTCTTGAATTATATTCCATTTAGGGAATATTGTCAAAATTCTGTGCACATACCTTATTTGAGTTAATTTCCCCTATCTGGTTATATTACAAACTTGATAAACAGGCTTATTTCCTTCAGGGTTTTCTTCCTTTAAATCCCTCTTCAAGCCCTTTTTGAATATGCAAAACATTACCTTAGTTGAAAGTCAACATTATATAGAAATGTGTATTCAGTATTTTGCTTCCATCCCTAACCCCTATACTTTGTATATACTCAGACCTCATTTTCATTAGTGCTTTGTTTTTCTTTCCTCCTCTCTTACCTTTCCTTCCCCCATTCCTTGCTCCTTTCCCTTCCTCCATTCTTTGTCTCACAAAAAGAAGTATTTACCTCGCTTACCCCTATTAAGTTGTCATTACACACACTCTTCTGTAGAGTTTTTGTTTAACAAAAGAACCAGGAAACTTTTCTAAATTAGTTCATAGAAATACACTTGTTTTTAAATGCCTACATAATATATCCTTTGTGGGTATATATTTTACTTTTAAATAATATTTTAATTATTAAGTTATTAAAATATAATAGTATTTTGAAACTATTTTCTTAACAATGAATATTTGGGTTGTTTCTAGTATTTTGCTTCAACACATCAAGCTGCTGTGAAGAAAGAGGAGGGGATGTCCTTGTAGGGTTGTAGCATTCTGCACTCTCAGCAGCAAAGTGGGAGACTGCTTGTTGTCACACAGTCTTCTGAACTGTACGTTTTCAGGCTTCTGAATTTTTCCAGTATCTCAGGTTGCTAGATATTTCTTAAGGAACCACAGAGCCAATGCCAAAATCCCTAATAAAATGGATTTACAAACCAAGTGTTGGCCAGGATTATGGGACTTTTCATGCAGTCTTCGTGGAGAGACAGAGAGGGGTCTTCTCCCTGTATTGGTTCACCACCCACATGCCTGCAGTAGCTGAGGCTGAGCCAGGCTGAAACCAGGAGCCTGGAACCCAGTTTGAGTCTCCCAAGTGGATACCAAGGATTAGCAGGAAGCCGGAAGTGGAGGAGCTGGGGCTCAAACCAGGCACCCAATATGGAATGCAGGCATCCTGAGCAGTGTTTTAACCACCGAGCCAAATGCTTGCCTCAGTTGCGTTTATTTTTTAGGTTGAAAGAGATCTGACCTCTGTGTGGAAGATTTTCAGCAACTCTTACTCACATGAGGTTTTTCGTTGTGTGAATTTCCTGGTGTGAGAAGGCCTTCACTCAATGGTCACATCCACAGGGTTTCTCCCCAGAGTTCATTCTCTCATTTCTGTTAAGGTCAGAACTTCCACTGAACCGAAGGTCAGAACTTCAACTGAAAGTTGTTCCACATTCGTCGCATGATGCAGTTTTGCTTCTGTATGAATCTGCTGATGTCTAGTGAGGTTTGAACTTTACCCTGAAAACCTTCCCACGCTCAACACTGGTTACGTTTTGTTAAGGTATGATAATGTTTCTGATGTTGGGGAAGGGCAGTGCTCCCCAGGGTGATTTCCCTAACGTGTATTAAGGACTGAGCCTTAAACGGAACTTTGCCACAACGATAGCACAGGTGAGGCTTTTCACCAGTGTGAACCAGGAGGTGTTTGAAAAGAGCCGTGTTTGGACAGAAGGCTCCCCCGTACTCTACACTGAAAGGGTTTTGCTGTTCTTTTTTTTTGTTTTGTTTTTTGATTCGCTGATGTCCAATAAGATTGACGCTGCACCTGAAACCTTTCCCACACTGATAACATCTGTCTTCTTTTCCTTTCTCTGAATTTCCCTAATGGCTTTCAGTCTTATCCATGCGGTCACGCAGGTCTCCCAGATGAGCACCCTGGACCCCACTCCTGCCTCTGCAGATTCTGTTGAGTATCATTCTCTGTGATTCCATCTCTTCAGATGCTCACTGCTTTGGAGTCAATTTTCCTGTCTCAGGTACCACCTCACTTTCTTTAGCATTTTTTTTAAAGATTTTTATTTGTTTATTTGACAGGTAGAATTACAGACAGTAAGAGAGAGAGAGAGAGAAAGAGAGAGAAAGGTCTTCTTTCTGTTGGCTCACTCCCCAAATAGCCGCCACGGTCGGAGCTACGCCGATCCGAAGCAGGAGCCAGGTACTTATCCTGGTCTCCCATGGGGTGCAGGGCCCAAGCACTTGGGCCATCCTCCACTGCACTCCCGGGCCACAGCAGAGAGCTGGACTGGAAGAAGATCAGAACCCGGTGCCCATATGGGATGCCGGTGCCGCAGGCGGAGGATTAACCAAGTGTGCCACCGCGCCGGCCCGCCACCTCACTTTCTAAAATAAGAAATGGATCATGCAAAGGTCACTTTCTTTTTAAATCTTTCATTATGGAAAATTTGAGACATTGGTAAAGGTACACTGAAATGTCATCTTTTGAACTTTTGAAATATGAAGGGTCTTTAAAAATTTCATGAGCAATGTTTTATGAAAAACTATGCATGGATTTCAAAAAAATTTTTGCACTAAAATAAGGTTATCATTTAATCCCATTTTCCATGAACTTTTTGAAGTACCATCATAGTAAACTCCTGAGGGATCATTGCTTTTTTTAATCTATGCTGTCTCAACAATACATAAATATTTATGAAGCTCAGTCAAGGAAGTAAACATACCCAAGGAATAAATATGTAATATTGGGGTGGGAATAGGAACAATTTTTTTTAAAGATTTATTTATTTATTTGAAAGTCAGAGTTACACAGAGAAGAGGCGGGGGTGGGGGGAAGAGGCTGGTTCACTCTCCAATTGGCCGCAATGGCTGGAGCTGCACAGACCCGAAGCCAGGAGCCAGGAGCTTCATCAGGGCCTCCCACATGGGTGCAGGGGCCCAAGGACTTGGGCCATTTTCTGCTGCTTTCCCAGGTGCATTACGAAGGAGCTGGATTGCAGCTGGACATGTACTGGTGCCCATATTGGATGCCAGCATTGCAGGCGGTGACTTAACGTGTTATGCCATGACACTGGCCCCTTCTTTACTTTTTTTTTTATGAGGAATCTTTGAAAAATTCATGGAGAATGTACATTGTGAGAAACTATTCATGGATTTCCAAATGTTTCCCCACCAAAATAAACTTATCTTTTAGTTCCATTTCCACAAGCTTTCTGAAGTATACTCATACAGATATTGAACAAGTTTAGTAAGTATTTCTATTTAAAATCTCTTAGGTATTAGGGGAGTCTATAGCTATTATGTTGTCCTTGCTTATAGACCTTTTTAATGAATATAAAATAAATCTTTTCAAAAGGAAGAAAGATTATGAGTCCATATTGATATGATTCTCTCATATGCTCTTCAATGAAGCGACCTTCCTCAGAAGCCTCTTCAAAGCTCCTATAACATCCTTGTTCCTCAGGGTGTAGATGAATGGATTGGCCATAGGAGTAATCACGCAGTAAAACAAGGTCAAGACTTTGACAAGGTCTTGAGGACCATCTCCCAAGGGCTGCATGTAAATGTAGATGCCAGGCCCGTAAAATAAAGACACCACGAGTAAGTGTGATGAGCAAGTGTTGAAGGCCTTAAGTCTCCCAGCAGCAGAAGGAATTTGAAATACAGCTTTGGCAATGTAACTGTAGGAGACAAGAATCATGGAGAGAGGACCCATTATCAGGAGGGTGGCCACCACTGCTAAAGTCATCTCGTTGACTGTGGTGTCCACACAAGCCATCTTAATAAGACCAGGCAACTCACAAAAGAAGTGGTCCAGCACCTGGTTCCCACAGAGAGGCAGCTGGACTGTGAGTGTGGACTGCAGTAGGGAATTGGCCAGACCACTGAGCCATGCAGTGCTGGACAGGTGCAGGCAGAGTTTATGATCCATGATCACAGAGTACCTCAGAGGCTTACACACAGCCACATAGCGGTCTAGGGCCATGATACCAAGCAAGACACATTCAGTACAGCCTAGCCAGTGGAATACATAGGCCTGGGCCATGCAGCCTATGTAAGTGATGTTCTTGTTTGCTCCCCCTAAGTTGAACAGCATTTGAGGTACTGTTGTAGTGGTGAAACAGAGATCCAAAAACGAAAGGTTGGTGAGAAAAAAATACATAGGACTTTTGAGGTGAGAATCGAATTGAGATACCAGGATAATAGCAATGTTTCCCAGCAACGTGAGCGTGTAGGAGGTCAGGAAGATGAAGAAAAGAGGAAGATCCAGCCATGGGTATTTGGTAAAGCCCACAAGGATAAAAGCTTCTGGAAAACTCGCATTCATGGGCTTCACTGAGTTTTGATGGGAAGGATCTGCTAAAACCAAGGAAGATGAGCGTGGTTAAAGAGAATTCTGAGTTGACAGAAGCTCTAAAGACACTAGGAAAAAAGGTGTGTTATAAGGAAGAGATGGGGCAAACTCCCAGTAGGAATCAGAAAAATAATACTTAATGACATAGTTACTATACCTAACTTCACAAAGTCACATTTGAAAGGCTTTGCCAGTCGCAAAAGTGGTTTCATATTTTTCCCCCACGTCGAAGCCCTGTGTGGTAGGTGAGTGGATGCTAATAAGCATTATACCAGTGGAAGAAAGGCACCACATTCTTCTCCCAGATCCCAGAGAGCTGGATAAATGTGTGAGCTAGAGACTGTCGATCAGGTGGTTCTGCCCAGGATTTGAGTGTAGCGAAATGATACAAAGAAATGAGGAGGGGAAGGGAGTATCAGAAATTCAGAGCAGCTTCCTTCCCGATGACTGCCCCCTGGTGGTGACAGCACCAAAGTGTCCTTACATACACAGTCTCTTCCAAAGCTGGGCTACTGGCTGTGTCTTGCTGCTGCTGCTGCTTCTTTGCCAAGTTCTGTTCCTCAACTTTCCCACTGGTTCTGTGAACTACCACTTTTCTTCTATTCTCTTTTCCTGTTTTGGCTGTTAGTCTTGTTCTTGTTTTCAAGCAAGCACCTTGACTAATACAGAAAATGAATTGAAATATTCTGCAGGTCTGTTGTAAGTCAGGTCACTGATGAAGACAAGTGTTCGATTCCAAGAATTAGAATTAGAATAAATTAGAATATGTGGGCATCTGAAATGATTGTGGCACTGCACCACCTACAACCCGTCCTAGCCCAGGCAGTCTTCCTTTTTTTTTGGGGGGGGGTGTCTGTTTTATCTCTCAATTATCAATTTTATAATAATAAATAATAACAACTAATAATATATTATAATATATGTAATAATTTATAATAATATATAATCAAAATAATAAATAAAGTGTTAAATAATAATGCTTCTTTCCGAATTCATTACAAATGAAAAATGTAGAAAGAGAAATGAATGAATGTATCTGTGTCTATAATTCAAGGCATGGAGGAGCTGAGCAGAACGAATCCCAGGACAGGCTGTAGATTCAACTAGATTCAACTAGAGGAAAAAGAAGTGGCTAAACCAAGCGTACTCAGATCTGTCAAAGTTACCAAACTGGTAAATTCCTACTTCTTTTGTGAAACTATGAATGAGAGTTGAGATAAACTGAAAACATTCTTCCTGTACATTCCTTTCTTGGTGAATGTTATGCAAATTCTTCCACTCTGAAACCTGGAGGTGAGAGAATAAGTATTTCCTCCTCCCTTATCAAAGTTCTAATAAGAAAGGAGGAACAAAATATGAAAGGAATTTTTATAAGAAAATACCCACACTAAAGGACAGCGTTGGCCAAGTATTCGGCACATTGAAAGGATTTCAGATTAATTAAGATGAGAAGATCCCAAAGATTTCCAGAAGGGGAGACATACACATATAAACTAGAAAGTAAACAAAAATGGACTTGACTTCTGAGTAGCAACTGTGAAAGTAAGACTGTGAGGCTTAAAACATTCTGAGGAAAGGGTCATCAAAGAAGGAGGTACTCTTCTCTGAAGGGAGCAGAGAACATCCACATGCTGATGGCCATGTCCAAATACCGAAGGAGTCTATGGTCACAGAAGGCTTCCATAGCCTAGGCAGCCCATGGCAAGAGCCTCGGGTGATCACTGACATCATAAATAGGAGTGTTAATTGTTAAAGAGACAACAGAAGTCATTGTGCACTTACTCCCCATATAGGACCTCCGTCCCTAATGAGTTGTATTATGAGAATCAACTGCAAATTTTGTTTCCAAACTGTACTCTATATGTTGTGTGTGTGCACGGGTGCAAACTGTTGAAGTCGATGCTTAGCATAGAGTTGGTCCTCTGTATATAAAGTCAAACTAAAAATGAACCATAATGAAGAAGGAGACAGGAGAGGGAGAGGGAGGTGGGATGAGAGTTGGGGGGGGGGTGGTATGGGGGAAAGAACAACTGTATTCCTAAAGTTGTATCTTTAAAAAAATGCATTCATTAAATAAAAACTTTAAAAAATCCTGAGGAAATATTATTCCCAAACCTATTATTATTATTATTATTATTAAATTAAATAATATTAAAAATTATTCCCAATCTAGATTTCTACCTGCAACCAATCACTTGTGAAGTTAGCATAGAACATTTTAAGACATGGAAAATCCCCCAAAGTTTTATCTTCCAGGCAGCATTTTTTAGGGAGCTATCGGAGGGTATGTACCACCAAAATGAGAATGTAAAGAGAAAAAGAAGATATCCAAAAAACAGAAAATCCACCCAAGAGGATGAAGGGAACCTCCACGACCATGGAAAGAGAGCTTTCAGGAGACAACTTGGAAACAACCAAGATTGCAGGCACCAGGAGCCATTTCTCTAAGGGGGAAAAATGGCACAGCTTGTCGCTCTTGGTATGAGTGAAGAACTGAGCGAAGACTTCTAGGTAATCATAGTCCATTACAGCATTTCACTGTGACTAAGATTTGTGCAGTTAGGAAACTGCAAATAATATTGGAAAGTGAAAAACCAGAACAGAATAAAGCTTGTTGCTAAGAAACAGGAAAGATAGAAGAAAACTCTGAAATTATGAAGAATGTATTGCCTCAGGAGAGTGAGGAGCAATGAGGAAAGGAATCGCTGTTTTCATTGCAAACTCCTAGTAGTATTTGATTGTTTTTAACTCTTAACATTTATATCTTTAATAAAAATGAAAATTAAGTAAAAAGAATATAAAGTATCTTTCTTTAAAAAAGCTTTATTGGTTGATTTATTTATTTGAAAGAGATTTATTTATTTGAAAGAATTATAGAGACCGAGGTAGAGACAGAGAAACAGGGCAATCTTCTATCCATTGGTTCCTTACCCAAATGACTGCAACAGCTGGGGCTGATCTGGCTGAAGCCAGGAGCCCAGAACTCCACTAGGTCTCCCACATAGATGGCAGGAGTACCAGTACTTGGACTATTTTCTTCTGCTTTCCCAGGGGCATTAACAGGGAGCTGGATTGGAGGTAGAACAGTTGGGACTTGAAATGGAAGCTGTATGGAGCCCATTTGGGATGCTGGCGTCACAGGTGGCCGCTTAAACTGCTGTGCCACAATGCTGGCCCCAGAAAGTATCTTAATATTGATAAACTATGGTAAAGGGCATTATAGGTAAATGCCATGTTTGAACAGATAAAAACCACACATTGTCTATTCTTACCCAAGAGACAGGAAGTGTCTAAGTCAAGCATAGTTCCATCTATCAAATTTGCAGATCTGGTTGGTTCAAGTTCCGGCTGCTCCACTTCCAATCCAGCTCCCTGCTTATGTGCCTGGGAAAACAGTAGAAAATGGCCCAAGTGCTTGGGCCCCTGCACCCATGTGGGAGACCCAGAAGAAGCTCCTGGTTTCTGGCTTCAGATTGGGCCACCTCTGGCCGTTGCAGTCATTTGGAGAGTGAACCAGTGTATGGAAGATCTCCCTCTCTCTCCCTCTCCCTCTCCCTCTCCCACCCCTCTCCCCGCCTCTGCCTTTCTGAAACTCTGCCTTTCAAATAAATTTTTTAAAATCTTTTTAAAAAATTTGCAGATCTGATAGATTTAAATGCATAATATGCGCACACTGGTGTTTTGTCAAAAACTAAGAATAACTTGGGTCTTAAAACAGGAAAATCCTCAATATTAAGTTAAGGAGTCAAGTTAAAAAAATTTTCAGGAGGGGTATGATATGATGGAAGCAATACTTTAGAGCATTCGTTATGGCAACATAATGAGGGACTACAGAAAAGACTGGAAGTTGAGAGGTCATATGGCAGGCTGCTGCAAAGATGCTGAGAATGTTAGCTGGGATAAGAGCAACAGAAATCAAGAGCAAGGAGTGGGTGTCAAACAGAGGAAGCAGTTAAAAGAAACTGATGTTTTAATCTAAGATGCTGGGAGAATGAAAATGAAATTAACAGAAAGGGGCATGCATGTGAGGATTGACTGGAATAGACAATTTAACAACAACAACTACAAAAACTCTTTAAAAAGGTAAATTCTCCATTTGGCCTGTGAGGATTAGCCTGATGGTCCATTCACCAGAGGAGGGATTTCTGTCTCTCCCAGACAACTGCAGGTCAATTTCACCAGCTCCCATTTGCAAAATATCATACAACCGCCAGAGTCTGTGGCTAGGATGGTTTGCTGCAGTTGTTTAATTACCAAGGACAGGAGCTGGGGCAGATATAGAGTTAGAGATAATGACAAGGGAATATGTATCCAAAACCAGAGAGGATACTAATCTACACTTTACGGGAAGTCAATGTATTTGCATATAAAGTGGCAGAGGAAAAGAGCAGAACAATATCCTACTCTCTAACTAATAGCCTCAATATTTTGGCTTTTTAGTGGTCATCGTTCATATTGTTTGATCTTCAGAATACTAGATTTAAGATAATTGCTGTTTAGTGACTTGCTCTCTCATTCTTTGCTTTCTCCTAGACCGTTGGGTCTTTTGGACATGATTCTAGAATTGAGATGAATAAGTGACAGCCATTGGTTTGGCATAATGAAAATTCACTCAGCTCTTGAAGCATCTTACCCTGGTTGATCATGTGCAAGGCTCAGAAATTTAATTTTATCTCCTAAAACCAAACAAAACCCGAGGCCCTCTAGGCTGGTGTGAATAGAAACAAGCATCCTCAGAACATACCTTTTCTCATTTAGACTGGTATTAAGCCAGCGTCACTAGCTAGAGAAGCCTAACCAGGAGAAAGGTGACAGAGGGTTAGATTCCAAAGGTTTTGAGGGAAGGGGGCAGGCCAGTGCACAGTGAGAGTCACCAAGGTCTTGCTATGCCAGGTAGGATGAATCTCATTCTGCAGGCAGAGAATATTCTCTCTTGGTTCCAAGCCTAACATAAAGGCAGATAAGACACGTTCTCACCCAGTGTGCCAATGCTCCCTTAGGGACCATCACTAACGAAGGACTCTCCCTGGGGAAATAGTATCAGTCTTGTATTTACCATTTTGGCTATCATTATAGATTGCATCAGTTTTTCCACTCAGTAATCTCATCTTAATAGCAAGGGAGAGTGGGATTTACCCTCAACACTTTACAGAAGGCAAACAAATACTGCAGTAATAATAATAATAATTGCTGGCTAATCCTCCGCCTTGCGGCGCCAGCACACTGGGTTCTAGTCCCAGTCAGGGCACCGGATTCTGTCCCGGTTGCCCCTCTTCCAGGCCAGCTCTCTGCTGTGGCCCAGGAGTACAGTGGAGGATGGCCTAAGTGCTTGGGCCCTGCACCTCATGGGAGACCAGGATAAGCACCTGGCTCCTGCCTTCTGATAGGCGCAGTGCGCCGGCAGTAGCGTGCCAGCCAAGGCGGCCATTGGAGGGTGAACCAACAGCAAAGGAAGACCTTTCTCTCTGTCTCTCTCTCTCACTGTCCACTCTGCCTGTCAAAATAATAATAATAATAATAATTGCTTAACATATTCTGTGTTTCTGTGTGTAGCACATCCTTAAAGGATGGAGGGTGGAGAGAAATTCCACTTTGCTTATGGCCTTGGCCAAATACTGACAGAGTTTGTGGATTCAAAAGGCTTCCATAGCCTTGGCAGCTCATGTCAAGAGCCTCGGGTGATCACTGATGTCATACATAAGAGTGTTAATTGTTAAATTAACAACAGGAGTCACTGTGCACTTACTTCCCATGCAGGACTTCTGTCCTCAGTGAGTTGCATTATGAGAATTAGCTGTAAAACTTGTTCCCAAGCAGTTTGTGTGTGTGTGTGTGTGTGCAAATTGTTGAAAACTTTACGTAGTATAGAGTTGGTCTTCTGTGTATAAAGTTAATTGAAAATGAAATTTAATGGAGAATGGGAGGAGGAGGTGGAGTGGGAGGGCGGGTAGTGTGGGAAGAATCACTATATTCCTAAAGTTGTACTTATGAAATTTGTACTTATTAAATAAAAGGTTTATTGGGGGAAAAAAAAAGAAAACTAGCAATCTGGTCAGCAAGACTGATGCTTATAGGATAAACTGCAGTGGAATAAAGTCCTGAAGACTTCTATTTGGTCAAAAAAAAAAAAAAAAGCAACTTACTAGGCAAATAACTTCTTGCAGAAA